TTCTGGCCGGTCGGTCGCACACACGGTCGAGGGCGGTCGGCGGACTCGGGGTCTGGCGGAGGCGCGCTCCGCTGGCTGGGCGGTGGAGGTTGGGGGGCGTGTGCGATGCTGCTGGGCCTGTTCCTGTCGCTCGAATGCTCCGGCTGGAGGAAGATGGACGGGTGTGTGATCGCCCACGACACTTCGGCTGGCGGGCTGGTCCACGCCACGGCTCCCGCCCGTGCTCAAACTACGCGCGACGAACTTCTGGTTTTTCGCCCACAAACACGAGCAGCGCGGCGGGTCGCGGTCGCCAAAAGCGTGTAGACGACGGATGGAGTGCGCAAGCTGCGGCACGTTCGGGTGAGAAGCGATGGGACGAGTTGGGGAGGGAGCAGTTGGAGAGGGCGAGGTGTCAAGCGGTGCAGTGTGGTGTCAGTCAGGTGGGAAAGATGAGATGCACAGCTTCCTCCCGCCGCCAGACACAGACCCCTTTCGAGGACAGCTCTCTCTGCGCTGCACTCGCCCTCTTGCCCATGTACTTGGTGACATGCGCTATTCTTTCTCGCCTATACGATGCAACTCCTACTCTGTCCAGCTCACGCGTGTTGGTATATATTTACTGCAAAGCGTTGAAAGACCACTTGGCGAGTCTGCCCCGGCCGCGAGCACAGGATTCATGCGACGGGCGGGTGATAGGCCAGCAAGCCCGAAGAATAACAGGGCTCCCTCCCCTCGGGTGTCGAATTGCAGCCCGATGCTGGAAATCTGCCGCAATACACAGTGGCAAGGCTTTCATCATCTCAATGCGCGTATCTAGGTTCCGGTCTGCTAAAATTCGCCTGTGTCGCATACACACCGGAGAGCGGATGTAAAAGTATATCTTCTTGATGCCGTTGCAGTGCCGGCTTCCTCCCGCCCCAGCACGTGGGCTTGGAAATGTGGGATCAAGGGATCGTGAGCGCGTCCCAAGAATCTGGGAAGCGGTGACCTTTCGACGCCTGGCGCACGCACTAACACACCCATGATGGTTTGAGTGCGGCTACGTGCCTATCTCCCATATGCGACCGCTGTGTGCTGCATTCTCAACCGTCTGCTGTACCACCGACCGCGGGCTGTAAGCCCATTTTGGGCGCGGGCTGCATTCAGCGCGACCTTTCAGTCTCTCACTCGTCTTGTGCTCGTGCACTTCCCAAGTGAAGTGGCTTCTATGAGATATGTATTACATATTGAGCATGCGTGGCTCCGCGGACTGTTGCGTCGAGATCCCCAGTTCTGCGATCATGTACTGAGCGCAACGCTCGACCGTAGACTCAGCATCTCACTGTCTGTGGCGAGCTCTCAAGTCCAGTGTACCGTAAGTGCAGCCATGCAGGGTACGATGAGCTTGGCTTCTGCAAGTATCGCGGAGAGTGCGAGGAGACGTGCCTTCGCTCACTCGTCGTCTGGAGGCAACTCGTCCTCGATATATCGTATGAGCGTTACCCGCATCTCAGTCGTGTCATTTCCTCTCAGCACATCGCTCACAAAGTGCGCCTCGACCTGCATTTGTACCTGGTCCCATTGTCAGCACCTGCCTCATCAGGGAAGAATATGTGTGTCAACCTACCATCTCCAGCGCGCCTCGTATCACACCACACAAAATGTTGCTATACCACAACTCGTCTTGAGCCCTCCCATCATCGGGCAACTCCACAAAATCTGCCAGCGGATTCTCTTCGAACACTAAACCAAAGCCCTTGCCATCTGCCGTCCATCCTGTTACCGTGGGTGTAATGTTCATGAAGATCTTGAAGCCGACTTTGCTGATGATCTCTGCCGTCTCTTTGAAATTGCTGCAGCTACCAGTATTACTCTTCGCCAAAAAGTCCTCGATCAATCGCTGTCCAATGTTGAATCCCATACGGTCCAGTTCGGCATTGACTGCGCCATAGTCTGTTTGCGCTGAAGTGTTGGGCAGTAAGAGATCGCGGCAGAGTTGGGCGACGATGGTGCCGTAGGTTAAAGTGACGACTTCAGCGTTGACCTTTTCGACGCGAGACTTCCAGACCCTGGGTAGTATATTAGCAATGTCTGGCGATCAAGTGCAAGTGTGTACGCACTCGTCGCCGAGGCGGGCTGCTTTGGAAGTCATGGCAAGAGGATAATGAGTCGCGTGCAATGGGACACGCGCGTCAATCAAAGCTTCACCGCATTGCTCTCCAGACTGCGACTTGTGTGGACTTCCGCTGTGTGCCTGAAGTCGGAATAGAGTAGATGGGTGGCATGTGGGGAGGTCGAACTGTGGGAAAGTGCGGCTTGTGCGCAAGCTAGCGCGGTGGAGATCTTTGGAAAGTGAAGTCTTTTTTGGACTGCAAGCTTTACAGTCGCAAACACTCGCCTACAACGCTGCAAACCCGCGAAGCAGCGCGAATTGACTGGACAACAAAATCATTGGGAGAGTGGGAAATATTAGGCTTGTCAAGATGTCGGGCGAGAAGAGAGCTGCGGACCAGTCGTTTGGCAGCACACAGCTGGTCAAGAGGCAGAGATCCAATGGCGATATGAACGGAGCTCTGATACAGAGCAATGGCGTGGTAAGCACCTTCATCGGGACTGCTCGCGATCAAACAATGCTAAAGCGGCATGGAAAGGGAGCACTGGCTGATCAGGATGGATGAGTAGGGACAAGGCGCACAAGGCCTACAAGCACCAGTGATGGAGTTGAGCGGTAAGAAAGCAATGCATTCTAGACCGCACGAAGCAAAGGCACGATGCTGACGAATACCAGGTCATACGGGCGAAGTCTTCGCAGCTCGATTCGATCCCACAGGCGCACATATCGCATCCGGCTCTATGGACCGCAACATCCTGCTCTGGAATACATCTGGCGAATGCGCGAACTACGGCATCCTCACAGGCCACAAATCCGCCATCCTCGATCTCCACTGGTCGCGCGACAGCCAAGTCATCTACACGGCGAGCGCAGATAAACACGTCGCAAGCTTCAACGTCGAAACGGGAGAGCGAATACGGAGACACGTCGGACATGAAGAAGTTATCAACTGTCTTGACGTGAGCAAACGAGGCGAAGAATTTCTCGTGAGTGGAAGCGACGATGGTTCGATATCGATATGGGATCCGAGACAAAAAGCTGCGTTGGATTACATCGAAACCGATTTTCCTGTTACGGCTGTGTGTTTGGCTGAGGCGGGAAATGAGTTGTTCAGTGGAGGTATTGATAACGAGATCAAAGTGTGGGATCTGCGAATGAAGAAGACGACGTACGAGCTCAAAGGGCATACGGATACGATCACCAGTCTGGCCATTTCACCAGATCAGCAGAGTTTACTGTCCTACTCGCATGATTCCACAGTAAGGACATGGGATGTCAGGCCTTTTGCACCAGCGGACAGGGCGATCAGGACATTCGACGGGGCGCAAGCTGGGTTGGAGAAGAACCTTATTCGTGCGTGCTGGGATGGCGAGGGTCGCAGAGTGGCTGCTGGAGGTGGCGATGGGACAGTGACCATTTGGAACAGTAAGGATGGGAAGTTGATGCACAAGTTGCCAGGGCACAAGGGCACTGTGAACGATGTGCGGATATCGCCCGATGGATCAATGGGTAAGTTGCCGTTCAACGCTCCGCACATCTATAACCTCACTGACATTTTTCGCTAGTGCTCTCTGCCAGTACAGATCGCAGCTTGCTGCTAGGAGAATTGCCTCGATAGACAATCCTACAAGTGAAGATCCGAAGCGACCAAAAGCGGCAACACAGCGGACATTTCTCGCTTCCTGCCAACGCAAGCCACGGCCCACCATGTCCTCTGCCAGAAACACGCCTTTGCAGTCACGCAGCACGAGACATGGCGATTGTAGCTTGGCTGCAATCAGATCTCGCAAAGCGACGTTAAAGCTCCAGGCGCGAATAGAGGATGCACGAGTCAAGATTCATCATTCATCGCCTTCGCTCACGCAGAGTGTATCGCTCAACAGAATGCAAGGGAGCCAGACAACCGCGAAGAGCAATGACTATGTAATTCGCAGACACTTGAGATGTTTCAACGAGCTCGCAGAACGCATATGTAGAACCTGATGGAACCAGCCGTGCCTACAGTCGAGCAAGTCTTCGATCCCACCAATCCTCTGTCTTCGTTGTCTGCTATTGATCAGACTTGAAGACAAAGCAAGAGAGGGGTCTCTCGATACCGGCTCATCGATTTCTACGAGCCATTTGTGGGCCGTTCTGTGACTTGCCTACGCATGAATACTGACGATCTCAGAAGTGGCCTAGACTCGAAGGAAAAGGTGAAGCTCAAAACAATGTGCTAAATATACACAACAAAATCTACATTCGTTCAACAGCGCGCGCTGAGCAGCTCTCGACGAAGATAGACCTCGAGGAGATGTGGTTTCTATGAGATTACACTGTGTTTCTCTTTTTTGTTGCTACACACCACCTCTGTCTCCCCTTCTCCACCCCCCTTCTATCATCACTCCTCGTCTATGACAAATTCCGGCTCATATCGTTGCGGATTCTGTTGTAGTCGAGTAGACCCTCGATTTGTCCAACAGCCGAGACGGCAATATCACGATCCCACAGCTTCTCTTGTGCGAATCGCATGACGTCCTTGGCTGTGATGGCTCCGACTACTCGCTCAACCTCCTCTGGTGCAAGTCGGCGGCCGGTGGTGATGATTTGTCGTCCAATGTCCTCCGCGACTGCGGTGGTGCCGTCGAGCGAGAGGAGGATCGATGCCTTGAGCTGCTGCTTGGCACGCTCAGTCTCGGCCTCAGTGACGTTGAAAGACAGACGAGACCATTCGCGGAGGGTGAAGTGGACAAGATCATCAATGCGAGTCACGGCATCGGTCACAAGGTAAATTCCCCAGAGACCAGTGTCGGAGTATGAAGTCGAGAAGGACATGAAAGAGTTGGCGAGCTTGTGGTCGTGGACGAAGGTCGAGAGCTTGGAGCCGAGGTATGGAGAATTGCCCATGCTGCGGTCCCAGTTCCCAACAATGGCCTGTGTTACAAGCGCAGTGAAGTAATCATCGTCCTTCCAGCTGACACCCTCAACTGCAATTGCGATGTTGGCAGTAGGCAGCGTGTCATCTCGTATCCTGACCTCGGATCCAACAAAGTCTGGCTTTGAGCCCAGACCACGCTGGAAAGCGTTGTTCTGTGCGTTGGGGTTGTATGCTGGAATGTTGGCGAAGTACTTCTCAGCAAGCTGGACCATCTGATCGTGAGGGACGCCACCAGCACCGACAAGGACCATACGGTCAGCAGTGTAGTTGGTCTTGATATAGTTCTCAAGATCGTTGCGCTGGATGCTCAGAATGTTCTCCTTTGGACCCAGGATGGTGCGGCCGAGGGCCTGGTTCTGGAAGGCGGTTGCGTGCAAGTGGTCGAAGACAACCTCCTCTAATTGCTTGTCCACCTCTTCCTGCTCGCGGAGGATAACATCCCTCTCGCGCTCAATGGCAGAGTTCTCCAGCTTGCTGTTCTGCAGGATATCGGCAAGGATGTCGACGGAGGCGGGCACATCGCTGTTGAAGCTCTTGGCGTAGTAGACGGTGTTCTCGCGAGATGTGTAGGCGTTGAGGTGTCCACCCATGTTCTCAATCTCGAGCTCCAACTGCGACTGGCTGCGCTTTTGTGTGCCCTTGAAGGCCAAGTGCTCGAGGAAGTGTGCGGTGCCGTTGGTCTTATCCGTCTCTGCGCGCGAGCCGGCGTCAATCCACACGCCGACGGTGGACGTCTGCGCATAAGGAGAGTATTCCGTAGCGATCTATCATGCCCTCATCAGCTCTCCGGTCCTCCTCGTGGTGATGGCCATGTCCAATGGCTGCCTTACCGTGAAGCCGTTGCTCAGCGTGGTCGATTCGGTGGTGGATCCATGGCTAACAGGAGTCGCCAGAGCCCGGCGGGTGATGCTGGCCTTGACGGCGTTGATGGCGCGCTGGGCGCGGAGACCCGACTGCAGGCTCAGCGCCAGCCTTCGAGATGCCATGGCCTGTGGTGTGGTGTGGGAGGAGCGGTGGTGGATGCGGTGTTCGCGAGTCTCGACGGCCCAAGTGAAAGCTCGCTCATGTTTTCTCGGGAAGGACCGCAATGCTGACCTCAAAGCTGAGACCCGCGATCCAACAAGCACTGGTACAATTCACTCTGCGAATATGGATACAATACAACCACACAGCCTACACATATAGTACTCTCTATACGACGGTTTCTCGAAACTATTAAATACCGATACTTTCATGTCATTGCCGCAAGACACCTCGTAGCTATTCTGCATAATTCCTGCCAAAAGTCGTCCTCGCCTTCAGCAGCCAGTCACGGGGCAGGGAATTTGGATGAGCCTCGGGCATAATCGCCGGCAATAGCAGAGCGCATCCTTGACGACATTCCACCTGCACACCACGAACGTCCGTCTGCTCTTCCACCAGCTCCACCACCGCAGCCATGGCCTCCGCACTGCGACCCGCGCTCCTTCGCCAGGCCCAGGCCGCCTCCATGCAGCGCGCATCCTCGTCCATCATCGCCAGCCTGCGGGCGAGCCAGCAAACACCATTGACTACGCGGGTCGCGCGATCTGCTTTCCAGACCTCTGCCGCACGAAAGATCCTCCCTCCTCTTCCACAAGTCGTCCGAGGAGGTGTGAACGACCCTGCGCCTGTTCCAGATCCACATCCGACCCATGGAAGCTATCACTGGACAATGGAGAGGTACGCATGGAATGGTGCACATGGAGGACATGTTCAGACAAAATGTAACGGGTGTTTGGCAAAGAAGCATACTAAATCAAGTGCTGTACAGAGCCATCTCGATCGGCCTCGTTCCATTGACAGTCATGCCATTCGCAGTCGGCTCGCTAAACCCAATCTTGGACGGTACTTTGATCGGTCTGACCATTTTGCACACATATATTGGATTCGGGTAAGCTAGCCTCTGTCGAGACACCGGCTGTCAGTACATGACTGATGTCTTCTTCTCTAGCGCTGCGATAACAGATTACTTCCCAACATGGCGTGTACCAAAGACCCGCAAGATCTTCGACTGGCTTAACGTTCTGATGGTCTTCGTTGTTGGCTGGGGATACTACGAATTCGAGACGAACGATGTTGGTCTCACTGAGGGCATCAAGAGGATCTGGAAGGCGGGTGCAAACGCCAGGGATGCGGAAGCTCAGCTCGAGAAGAAGGCTGGCGGCCCTCTTGACCGACTTTAAATGGATGCTGAGGGTGTCAAGCGTGGTGTGAGCATAGAGTTGATGTGAAATCTGCGGAAATGCAGAAAGCTGTGAGGGAAGCGAATTTTACGAAGCTTCATGTGTATACAATACTCGGAACAAGCAGATACATGGCAAATGCGGAACTGTGAACTACAGGCCTTTTCTTTGTTGGATCCCGGAAACACAGTCAAATATCCGCGTCCCAAGAAGAAGAACAGAGATCCAGTGGATCCAAGGCATGCATTATCGACAAGAATGACTCTCTGGAGACTCTAACACTTGTCAGCTCGGACGTGCACACTCGGCTACTGAGATGGGGACAAGGCGAACAGTCACTCGCTCGCATGTGATACGAAGAATCGCGAGACGGCATTCTAGCATCACCTACATTGCGCGATTGGCAACACAGCCGACCTGAATTTTGCCCCATCTGAAGAAAAAAAATTGTCCACGTTAGCGACCTTTGCATCGGAACACTGCAAGCAGGCAATCGGCGGCCGACAGATTGATATTGACATCCTTTGTCTAGAACAATAGCCTTGTCCATGCAAATAAGGCTTGGGAAACAGTAGTCCGGTTGTCTTTGTCTTTCACGAAAGGCGACCCTTTCCCACGAGCGGCGAAAAGTTCGATACCTTTTCACTGGAACCTGCCAATGGTGCGAACAAAGCTAATATGGTAACACTAATCGCTGTAGCCGATAGAGCTTCGTGCATTTCGTCCTCGAACCCGCGCACAAAGGCAACAATGGTATTGTGCCTTTACACATCTCGGACGACGGCCAACTTCAACACAGTACAGCTCCTTGGCGTGACCTGCGCAAGAGTACAAGAGTCAGCGGGGAGCATCAAGAATTGTTGAGTTCTTTGATTATCAGTCCTTCGTCTCTTTTTCTCAACGTGGACTATCTAGTGCTGGCACAGATCGGAAGACCCAGAGCTACGAGCGGAAATCTGAAAAGAAGAGAACTATCAAACGAGTGAACGCTAAACACTTTGACAGAACCAAGTTGTGAAATGTCTACACATCGCAGACTCGCTCTCGCGAACCTGCGCATGTCGACTTCATCATTGCCGCCATCGGATTCTCCTAGCCCGATTATGGCTTCGTCGCTTGGGCGGCGCCGCCATGCGGTGTCTACCCATCTGCGGGAGGTCTTGAGAGATCTCGTCTCTCCTGCAAGCAGCGTACACTCGGAGCACTCGCTCCACCTTTCTATTATGGCCCCGTCAAGGGGCACACATCTCGATGCAGTCGACGAAGTCACATCAACCGATATTGGCAACAGCCGGCATGGTCTAGAAGAGCATCACGGAAACGTCGAGCCGGCATCAAGACGCTGCTCACGATTCCAGCATAGAGTCCCAGCACTCAAAGCTCTCACCCGCCACGCGAGTCCTATCTCCGCATCCGCATCACCTTTGTCGCCATCATCAGGATCTCCAACAAGATGGTCTTTCTACCCTCGCATGTCGACGGTCGATCCACTGCCGCCTCCCAGTTTGAGACCAGGGACTAGTCCACCCGACATCAACGACTCGCGCTTCCGAGCTCGCAGTCCAGGGGGCGCACTCAACTCCTCCCCTTTAAGCACGCTGGAACGCCGCTCCAACCGCAAAATGAAGCGTCACAATCGCAGAACCGTGGTGTTGGATGGTGAACTTCACTGTGCGCCATGTAGCCCACTCTCTCCGCTTTTTCGCCCCTACACTGCTGTGCAGCCACCACCTCTGTCGCCAGGATTCAACTCCTCGCGCGTAGGAGAAGAGTTCGGCATGTCGCAAGACGTTCGGCAAGCGATTGAGCATATGCACGAGACAAATTGTCAGAAAGGGGATGACTGGGAGCAGTTGGGTATACTGGGATGGCGCTAGGGCGGGAACTTATTAAGAATGCAGCGTGATATCAAGGTCAGATATTCCAGACTCGCTGGCTTCAACATATATAAACTTATTGAATCGAATGTGGTGACTTCCGCAAATGAACACCCAGAACAATTAATGTCAATATGCAAATGACTGTCCAGTCGGCTTTTCACATTATCTGTTATCTTTATCGAGTTGATTGTATCAGGAGCTTCATCCCGACAACCAGTGAGAATCGCTCAATTGCTTTTCACTCACGTCCTCTCCCTCTCCCTTCCCCAACGCGTGTCCGCAGGCGTCACAACTAGCCGTGTTAACAGTCTGCCTCGATCGCTCCAACCAGAGAGAGTGAATCCTGTCTTCGGAGGCTGTGAATGGGTGCCATATCGGCTCCGGAAGGCCTGGAGTATGCAATTGTGGGCCCAGGATAACTTTACGAGATCCAATGAGCGACAAGATGTTGCTGCTCGATGTGGCTGAGCCCGATTGTTTGGCTTCGGCTCCTAGATGGCCTACGCGTGAGGTGGTTCTCGCGTATCCTGAAGCGCCAACAATTGTGAGCCTGAATGTTGGGAAGAACTCTCACGGAAGGATTTGGCTCGCCAAATAGTAGACTCTCGTGAAAACTTATACTTTTATACTCAAAGGCGATTGACTCAATCTACCTTGATTGCGCTGTATATCCTCCGCACGAACGCATATGCCGTGAGGAAGCCGATGGTGCCAGTGAGGAGACCATGCGTCAGACATGCCAGAAAACTATAGCTGAAGAACAGCATCGTGCTCGCTAGGCCCGTGATGTGGAGGTGGTTGAAATAGTAATATACACAATAAAGGAATATCCAGATGGAAGAGGACCCGCCGACGAAGAAAGATTGCCACCACCAGTGATAGTTCTGTCGTATTTGTTAGTATGAGGACGGTAGTTTGTGGAGATTAATACACACCTCGGAGCAAAGCTGTACGTAGACAGCAATAACTGTCGTCTCCATGACAGCTAGAACGAGAATGGAGGAGACCACGGCCATGTAACCAAAGACGTAGTAATAACCGCTCTTGTCCTGCCAGAGGCTGCGGAAAACGAACATGAGCTCGATGAAGATGACAGCGAAGGGGATCAACCCGGCGAGCAAGATGGTCTGGGCTTGGCGGCTGTACCAAGCTTGCTGTGGGATCTGACGCGGCACTTTGGTGGGTCGAATGGGGTGTGCGTATGCGCCAGCCTTGTTGAAGCCATAGTAGCTGCCCACGTAGACAAGAGGCAACTGCACTAGAAGCCAAAGTGCGATTAGGCCGAGTAGGGTGCCGAACGGAATGGCAGTGGAAGAAGCCTGGATCCAGACGAAGAGATTGAGCACGAATGTTGTTGCAAAGAGAAGGCCAGGGAAGAGGGTCGCTGTGACAATGGCAATGTGCTGGAAGTTGTTGCCTCCGACCGTCTTGTAGATGCGTGCTGAGAAGTAGCCCGAGAAGGCTCCAGCGATAATGAAAAGCGCGAAGCCCACAGACACGAAGCCGCCACGGAAAGACGGATTGAGAACGCCAAAGCAGGAAAGAGCCAGGAGTCCGATAGACATGAACACCAGTTGCATGCCGGATCCGACTAGGGGCGCGAGGAGTCGCCCGTGTGCAGGCTCCCGAAAGACGTCGCCATGCACCAGCTTCCAGCCTGTGATGTCTTCCAGAACATCCTCGTCGTCCGAGTCGGCATCTTCGGGCTGTGCGAGAACATCGACCTTTTCGAGCAGTCCGCCTTTGTCTGCACCCGTCTTGGGTGGCGTTTTGGTGCCCTTGTTTCGCTTGCCAATGCGAAGCTTTCCTTCTTCCATGCCCAGCTCTCTATAGCCTGCAATTTCCCCTCGAATGGTGCGGGTCAGGATATAAGCGACTGCTGTGGACAGTCCACCAAAGATGACGAGTGAATTAATTATGGCAAGCCAGTGGATGCCATTGCTGTCCTCCTGATTGACGAAATACAAGTCCCATCGATTCGACCAGTCCACCCTGTCCTCTTCGCGGAAGTACACGGAGTAGGTATATGGAATGGTCACAGTCGCATCGTCTGGCATGTCGTCGATAGTGTCGTAGCCGTGGTACACATTGGGGTCGTGAAGCGCGCTCGCGTTGAGAGTAGAGTTGCCATATGCGAGCTCCATTCCAGCTTTGATGTCGTGGAGGTCCGCTGGAAGTCCGGATGCATCGCGATTCTCAGCTCCAATGGACTTTGCGTAGACTTCGAAGCCAACGATTACCTTCTTGCCTCGATCGCCGTCTCTTCCTGGGGCGCGATGCCAACGAATGACCAATGTGACGTGGTTGTTGAGAAAGTATCGTGGCTGTCCAGTGACCATTGAAACCTCCTCATAGCCCATTTTGAAACCCGAAGCATAGTACTTTCTGCTCTTGTCGACCGTAACGAAGCTCGTCGCTCCTGGAAGATTGTCGACGATCCATTCGGCGACATAGCCGTCCTTGACGACTTCGATGGCTTTCTTCAATGCACTCTTGTCCACCTTTTGACTGCAGAGATATCGCGCCTCTTGATCGGTACCCATCTCGAGCTCATAGTCGGACACCACGATGCGATCTCCACGCAGCACCTCCCCTAAGTTCAATGCGACATTGGATCCTGAGATGAGACCTGTTCCCGGCCGTTGTCGACCTGAAGGCGCGCAGACGAAAGGTAGTTCGGCGTAGGCATACTGGATCTGTGTGTTGTCGCTGTATATCTTGTTCACGAATAAAGGTATGGGCTCGCCTTCGGAATAGGACTTGACTGACCAGCCTGTTCGCAGTCAGCATTGTCTAAAATGTGATCGCGAAATCGAAGAGTCTTACCGGGAATGTAGAAAGCGTTTGCGAGCTGAAGACCAGCCAGAAGCAGTGTGATCAGGCGTATCCTGTAATCGGAAGCCATGTCTGGTGTATGTGGAAGTGTGTGCGAATCTCGACCCCTTCTACTCCCCACCAGTGCTGGGAAGCAGCAGATCGACTCCCCCTCTCAGCAATATCGGTCGTGTCGCACCCGGACGGAGAATTTGTACAAAACGGCGGGTTGTGGGCGATGCAGGCAGCTTGCGCAGTCTCGTGCTACAGCAGCTGCGCGTCGCGTCGTTTCCTATCTTACAGCCGGGCTAAGCGAGTGAAAGCGGTCCGGAGAACCTGGGAGGGAGAAGGAGGGAGGAGCGGAGCGGTGGTGCGGTGGTGCGGTGATAATGGGTGGATGTGAACAGTCGGTGATGTGAAAAGGCAATGAATCGCCAACTTCCCCTTTGGCACGCTGCGAGTCGAAAGTTAACGTCTAGACACTCGTCCCTGCAGAGGTGGAGCTGACCCGCAGGAGGAAGGCAGAAGACGACGCTCCGCCTTGGCAGCCAAAGCTTCATCCCATTTTACATGTAGCTCGTGCATGTGATTGCTCCTGTGACACCACACGCGTTGCACTTTTCATCTCGCTCTGACACCCACCCCTGCACTATCATCTACTCACCACCCCTCTAGAATCTTCCAGTACTGCAATACCGTCAGGCATTCCGCAGTAATCGTAAGCTGCTCAGACCTACCTCTACTAAGTCGCTCGTTACACTTACATTGCCATCAAGCTCACTGCAATCACGTCAGCCATTCCGCCGCATGAGCAAGCTGCTGAGAAACTCATGCAGGTTTGATATACATTGCACAAGAAGTCTACGAAGAAGTGCCGAAAGTTCTACGGTACTGTGTCTGAATCAAATATTGCGCTTCATAATCTTTACATAGCAGGTATTTTCGTCGTCTCACACCATCGATACGGACTTGCATATCAGTCTCGCTCTCCCGAGATTCGTCCCATTCTCAGAGGTCTACTCGCACCTCGAAAGTGTAGACCTACTCGAACTTCCACCAGGACGACGACTGACGGCCGCAATCCTGCTTCTTGGTCGCTGTGTTCTCTTGCTCACCATTCCTCTCGCGGCCATTACGAAAATCGTCCGGCATCGACCGAGTACGAAGCTCATTCGGGCTACTCAACACGCTGTCCTTCCGTAGCTGCTGGCGACTGACTCCTCCAGAACCTCGTACTGAGATTTCCAAGTCGGGAACAGCTTTTTCTTCGCGGCTACTCTTCTTCGAGGCTTCGGTGGAGTCGTGCCCACCGAATTCAAGTCCTGTCATCATTGAGTCGGAAATTGCCTCGTCTACACACTTCATCAGATTCGAATACTCACTCCAATAATCAAGGGAAGCAAATGCTGCGGCCATCTCCTCTTCTTCTTCGTCCGGTTCCCCTTCCTCTTCCCGAACATCTTCCATGATCTGGCGGTGGAAGTCCATGAGCTGTTCGTACACACTTGGTGGACTCTCAGGTTTCCGCGCGTCTGGATAGGGTTTTCGCTCGGAAGGCTGCTCTGCTCGGACGCCGACCGAGTTGCGATCCTGGTGGCTCTGGGAGACTGAGGACAGCGGAGCAGTGTAACCAGGTTGCGGCTTGGCAGATTTGTCATACTCCTGTATAGTCTTCGTTCCTTCTTGGAAGGTCTTCGAATCGTGCTTCGTCTCTGCAAGTGGTGGGTTGGTGTCTCGGGGCTTGTCCTCGTCTCGAATGGGGACAGGCTTTCGTTTGACGACATTGAGGGGAGGCAGCACTGTTGCTGGAAACGATCCCACTCGACTCTGTTTTGGAACTTCACGTGGAGCATACATGCTCCGCACGTTCGGGTTTTGCACACGAGCGATCTCGCACGGCTTCATGATTTCACTTTGGTGCTGCTGTGTGTTTTGGTCGAGGGATCGGACTCGCTTGACTGTTGGCTTGGGTTTCTGGGAAGTAGTTGGATACATGTTAAATCCAAAGATGGAGTGATCAAGTAAGTTGGGATGCACATTATTGTTTTGTGCATCTTTGTCCAGGTTCTGGCACTTCACGCGCTCGGGCATGTGAATGAATGTCATCTGCAGCTGTCTAGATGATCCGGAATGTGAATGTCCCCATTCACCTCTGAACACGTGAAGCATGTTTTGCTGCATATGGGATCAGCTCCTCTCAGCAGTAGGCTGGAAGCCTGAAGAGACCAGATAGTCTTAACAGTACAGTACTAGTGTGTCAATAATGTAGGAGTGGGAAGGAAAGCAGACAAGAAGAGTCAGTCACTTCAGCAAAATACGTTCGATTTATCAATTTCATACGTCCATGGTCGAATAAGCGTGTCCAAAGCTCGTTGATCATTCATTCGTAAGTCGTCATTTTGTCATGTCATACATAGGTCGTTATCCATGCAGTTTTGTCAAAGCCTTTGCATTACCTTATCGAGCCACCAAATCAGGCATTTTTGTCAGGTCGCCCGTCCTGCCGCTCACCATTCACCGTTCCCTGAAGCCAGCGTACCCGGCGTCCTCCTCCAGCTTCTTCCAGATGTTCGTTGCATCGTCATCCTCGTCTGATACGCGAGGTTGGAGATGCTCCGTGAATCTGGAAGCACGGCCGTGTTGAACGTGCCAGGAGTCTACCGGCTTGCCCTCGTGGACTTGATGGACATGGGCTTTAATCTCGCCAGTGCGGACGTTCTTGCCGCGCACTGAGGCTGAGGCCTCTTCAGTCCGGCTTTCGAGCATGTCTAGTGCCGCTGCTCGTGTCCTGCGATCCTCCTCGTCTGGCTCGACGTACGGCTCGACCCTTACTGGCCTGTACGTTGGCCGGTACTGGGTACCGGGGCGCAAGGCGAGAGGGACAGCCGATTGCAGACCTTCATCGGAGCTGCGAGGAGGGAGGAAGGTCTTCCGGCGAGACGATTCGGGACGTGGGCTTGGTGGTAAAGATTTGTCCACGTTGCCCTTTGGCACCGGCTTGCGTGCGGTCTTGGACATCTCGTAGGCACCGTTGGACCTAGGATATTCCGATGGTACCACGGGCTCAGGCACAGGCGCCTCCGGTGGCGAGTCGCTCCGTTCTGCAGCTCGCTGGAAATCTGCCCATGTTGACTCTACCACGCGTCGGCGTGGCTTCGGCGCGGTAGCAGGGCGAGGAGCTGCTTCAGTCTGCTCAGGAACACCATTGGCACCAGGGCTAGGAGAGGGCGGAACGTGGCCCCGCTCCCATTCCAACGTTGCAGGGTGCGATGTCGCTGCAAACTCCTCCTCAGTCCAGCCGGCAGTCGCAGTCTGAAGCACCGCAGCTGTCCGTTGGCGCGCAAGGGCAGTCACTGGTCGGCGAGACGAGTGCTCCTGAGCAGCGGCTTTCGCGAGGACGACATTCTGAGGCGCAGCTGCAGCAGCAGCATCTCGTTCGGCTCGCCGGGCAATATCCTCTTTGGTATCCCACCACCCCTTGGCTCGGAGTGGCTCGATTGCCTGAGCCCTTGTCAGACTGACCAATTCGTGCCCTGACGGATTGTCCCAGTCGACCAGCGTTGGATTTCCGATCACTGGTTCATGGGCCTCTGGCTCTTTTCGTCTCAGAGCCTGGGGGATCCGCTGGAGGCCCTTTGATGCCGCGCGGCCAACCTTCTTCGCCACCGATTTTCCGGCATCATATGTGTCGGCGAGGGCTCGGTCCACTGGCTCGAATGGCAGAGAGACGAGGAACTCCTCGAAACGGTCCACGCTGTTCGTTACCGGGGGCGGCTGGGCAGGTGCAGGACCCTGCTGCATGCGTTCATACGCAGCAGGGTCGACAGGTGGCCACAGGGTATAGTCCTGTGGCGGTGCAGGAGGATACGCCGTCGGCGCTTGTGTGAGACTGTCATCCCTCACGGGATGACCATCGTGGCGATGCCCTTGCCTAGAGGCAGGCTGTGGGCGCAGGCTTTTAATCCTTGGGTTAGCCAAGGATTTACTCAACGCGATTTCTTGCTCGCTTGGTTGTGCGTCAGTGGTATCGTACAGGGAACCTACCCGGTTCGGTCGGTTCGGCGCCATTCCAGATGGCGAGGTGCTTGGGTTTCGTTGCTGATAAAGTTCAATGTCGACCACTCGGATCAGCTTGTTTCTGTGTCAAGTCTTTCAGATCGATAGACCAGCTATCAAGTGTCTTCTGAAAGTCTTGTCAGTTGCAAGTCTGGGCCGAAAGGTGGTGTGCACCTGGTGAGAACACAGCCCCTTTTGTATCCGTGGCTCGCCCTCTGTGCCAGAACCATAGACAAGGCCATTGTGTGGTGCGATGCATGGCCCAGCTTTGTTCTAAGACACAAAGCGCAGACATTCACAAAGCGAACATTTTGAACACAGTGAAGTTTTCTGTTCCCTTGGACCTGACCAAGGACAAAGCAAAGTCCCGTGATTCCTTAGCGCCATTGTGGTCGCGGCAGTATACGTGGAAATCGTCGTTGCGGAAGACCAAGTAGGCGATGCTGTCGCAGGAAGACTCGTTGGTATGCGAGCATCGGAGCGTCCAAAGCATGCGTAAAGTAGCGTATATGATCTGTAGTTGGAGGTAGTATAGTGGCGAACTCGTTGTACGAAATGCGAGGAAGGAGAGGAGTAACGCAGGTGGGAAAAGGCAGAAGATATGAGAGAACAAAGAAAGGGGCGCGAATTAAACATTTTGATACATCCGAGACCGAGGCTGCCGGAAGGCGTTTTGCAATATGCCTACCTTTGCTTACCCGGCACCATGCGTCGCGAGCACAGGGCGGCATGCTCCGAATCGATCACTAGCAGGCTTGCCCTTCTCCAAATCAATCGAGGCTTTGCTTCCCGTTTGCTTGTACCACCAAAGGAAAATGTGCCGCGCCGACCTGTCTGAGACACGGATACATCGTCTTTCCGGCGGACCCACTATTTGGCGCCTGACATCCACTTAGACGGTCGACGATGAGTATAGCCACCTGCTTTCCTCTTCGATCTGGACTGGGTGGGACGATCCGCGACCAAGAAATCCGCGCCAGCAGCGATAGCCATCACACACAAGGAGACCGCTGCCTTGATGATTAGTGGAGCTTGACTCAAGGCGATGTCACGCTTCACAGGCGCGAAGTCCAGGACCGATACTCGTTGTGATTGTACTCGCTTGTGCGAATGTAGGCTCACTTTTCCGGTCTTGACATTGCGGGTCTTAGGCGAAGAGTTCGTCCGTGGGCTACGTCTGATAGGTAGCGGTTTCCGTGACGTGCTTGTGATGTCCTCTGGTACGCGGCGCCAAACCGACTCGTTGGCCGTGATGACAGGAAATGACAACTCCTTTGAGAGACTGTTTGGCACTCTTGCGGCGCTTCGCTCTAGCTGGGTTGGTCGTGGTGGACTGGACTCAGAACTCACCACAATCTCAACTGGCCTGTTCGAGACACGATTCAATAGCCCTCGATGCTTTGTCGCCTTGCTGACACCTGAATGTGAAGATCGCTTGACCTCTTTTTGAGCACGGCCATGCGGGATGATAAGCTGAGCAACGCGCTTAAGCTTTTGACGCGCGCGGCCGAGCAGAGAGGGCTTCGTGCTGTCTGCCACGACCATGGCTTGCTTCGTATCTTCTTCCGCGGTAGGAGAGATTTCCGCCTCAAGTTCTGTCGCCGCATGTGCGTTTGCTGTCCCACAACCAGCTGGAGAGGGTATTGATCTGCTTTTGCTTGGTGAGTAGAGGAACAGGGACAGTCGAGTGCTGTTGCGAGTTTGCGATCGTTGGACAACTATCCTGTCAGATGGCGTAGTAACTTCCTCGAGATCCGCAGGAATCTCTTCGATCAAAGTGTCAATGTCCTTTTTGATGTCATGGAATGGTGTGTATGCCGCATCGATGCTGCTTGGTTTGGTCGGCGTGCATGGTTCTGGTATGTGCTTGTCACGCGCTTTTCTCTTGTGCAGCTCTAACGGCACAGGCACCAATGCTTCAGAAGTCTCGCTCGGCGTCTGGAGAGGACTCGAGTCAGGCGGAGTAGGGTATGGCTTGACAGGTGTAGATAGGAGCGGGCTATGTCGGCCGAGATCAGCCGCGTCTCTATCAGAATAGCATCGACGACTCGGTGTGCGACATTCTGATGATGACTTGGGCGAATTGTGTCGCGAGCCCATGATTCTTTTTCAACGTCCTTCTGATGGATTGCAGACAGTCTAGCTCGAGCCCTGGAGTAGGAAGAAGGAGGTATACTGCATGCACAGGTCTCCGGGCACACACCTCCCACATTGTCGGGCAAATATCTTGTACCCGAGACTCCTGCAAGTGAATAGCCTCGTGCTCAGCTCAGAAGTGACTGGTCACGTGGGACTCGCGAGAGTGTTTGGTCTCATGATCTCGATGCAATAATGTTGGTCGAAGGCTCCGTTGCGACTGTGCAAGTTCGTGGGAATGTTCGGATGGGCCATTGGGACCAATCCACATGCGAGGACTTCCGCAGCTTCAGCGGCGCGTTCTTCTCATAGCAAATCATCCAGAGCACCCAAAATATGCGGGAGAGGTCGATCGGAAGTTACGAAATCGTCTTTTGTCGCCAGTTGGGCTTCTTGAAGCACCATGTTTCCGACTCCTCGTGGGTCCGCGTCGAGACAAGGGGCATGCTAGGTTAGCTGAGTATGGCACGAAATCACGGAGTAGCGAGCCCATTGTGGAATGAGCAATGAACCGATGGGTCTGCAGCTGAAGATGGCCTTGTAGACAATTGTTGATGTCATCGCGAGCAGAGTTGGTACACTTGTATGTGGTTCCCTCCGCGGACGACGAGAGTGGTGTTTGCCAAGCCAAATTGAGCTTTTGGCCACAAACGCGCTTTCGTCATGCCTTTCGACGCGTACTGTAGGCTGCAACTTCCTCCAACTTTCAGTTCATCAATTATTGACCTGTCCACAATCCCTCTTTGAATCTTGAGTACACCCACCATTTCTCTATGGTATTCGCTGTCGATTGGAAGTGAGCGGGTCAGCATTGCATCGCGGAATGCCGAAATCATGACAGTTTGGTCTCTGCAGTTCGGACCTGGCTCACCATCCCTTTCATCACGCTCACCTGCAGGACACTCAAGCTCTCGTCTTAAGGACATGATACCCTGTCCATCTCGTGGCCGGTAGCGATAATTTCCGAGCGCTCGATCGGCCCGAGCATATAATATTAGGGCCAATATTCAAGGTTGAGCTGCTCTACTCGCACACCACGCCAAGGACATGGCTGTCACTTCGCAAGACTTGACTGCCCCAACCCGGTCAAAACCTGTTGACCGCAGCCACGTCAGGCACTCCGGACTTCCAGTGGTTGCGAGTGCTGATAAGAACAGCACATGCGATTTGTCCTCTGGCCGCATCTCATTACGCGTAATCAACAATTCTACGACGACATCGGAGAGAGAGGGTCACAACTGCCTTGACCACGCTTTGAGTCTGCGGCCTGTCACATCCAAAGCTGATAACATGACCAACGGGCTTATTCTCGCGCAATGCCGTGCTGTCCACGTGCTATGTTGCAATCCTGCTGTGGTGGCTTTAATTCAAGTCGACGCAGAAGAAAGCTGGTCGGCTCTTGCCTCATAAAGCTTGGGGGCACCAGCATACATATATGGTTCGCTCAGTCTCCGCCTCACTGCGCATGCTTCAACTTTCTGTCAGTCAGCTCGGGCCATGTGTCAATACCGCTACAGAATATGGGAGTGCGGCTGCGATGAGAAGTTCTTGACCCATCGGTGCCCATATGCAGACTACAAAGGCCACGTCCGGCACAAGGATCGATTTCGGGATGATATCCACGAGCCCGGTCGTTGTCCCTATGATTGCAGAAACCAGCCGATGCGAAATGGTGGTAAATTCCGACGAAGACCGCCTCCTCCGGACCCGCTGAGTAAGGACTCGACCTACATGATCGTTGGCAAAGCTGCTCTGGGAACGCTGAAGCGTCTGACGCGTGTGTAGACGGGAGCAAGGTGAGTACTACTCCGCCGCTTGTCGTCCATCCAGCTCATATGCTTCCATCAGACGTCCTTGATGCTCCCGCAAGCAGTCACTCCATGCATGGAGAACATAGCCTCTCGCAGCTCGACTCACCTTGGGCCCGATATGATTCAACATCATTTTTGCGGACGCGACTGCTGGGCCCACTGGATCAACGGGCCGATCACCGTCATCGTCGTAAAGATTCAATTCTTCAATTGTATATTGAAAGAAGCTTGACGATGTCAATGTAGAAATGGTGTCCTCTTCGACGTCCACACATGGCCAAGTTTTCTAGGATGGCGCCTCATTGATCGTGAAGCCATTGTCGATCACGAGATTATGTCCGTTGACAAGGCTCATTCTTGGAGTGCTCAACAAGACCACGACATCACCAACTTCGTCAAAGGTTGCTTTGCGTCCTTGCCGAGCTTCGTACGTTGGCCAGGACTCTGCAGCAAGTTCACCTGATGCCATCGAAGGCTTCAACAGATCGGTCAAAACTGTTCAAGATCGTGAGTACTAGCTCAAGGCCATAGTAGAATGCTTTAGACTCACGAAAGCCAGGCGACACTGCATTCACTCGAATGTCGCTTCCACGAGCCTCGAGACAGGCCTTCCGGGAGTCAGCATGCTGCCTGAGGTCAGAAGTTGCCCCTCCAACTTACAGCTTTTGTTATGCCCATCACGCCGTGCTTCGCCGCTGTGTATCCGCTCGTGCCAGCGCCAGATTGGATCGAGTTCACCGATGCGGCATTGACGATGCTTCCTCGTTGAGGAACCCTACCAGATTCTCTGCGAATGCTCGTCAATATACAGCTTTCATCAAAATTTTACCCCCTCACTTACACCTCTACGGATTCCTGTTTGAGCATTTGCTTCAACTCATGCTTGGTGCATAGCCAGACTCCAACCAGATTGACGTCGATGACCTTCCGCCATGCCTCGAGTGGAGTGTCGACTGTCAGCGCGAGTGGGCCGATGATACCGGCAAAGTTACTGGGCGGATCTAGGTTCAGCATTACTGTACCCATCTGACATGGTAGCTACCTACTTACGCAGCGTAATCAATCCGGCCGAACTCCTTGACTGTTTCTGCAATCGCTCGCTCGACCTGGTCTTCTTGTGTTACATCTGCATGAATGGTGATGCACTTCACCTGGTCAGCATTGGTACGTCGCCGAGAAGTGGAATAAATGTACCTTCGTGCCATACTGCTCTACAGCTGCTTTGCCTTCGTTGAAGGTCTTCTCATCCTGGATATCGACGAGTGCTATGCCTTTCGAGCCTTCTTTGGCGAATGATACTGCAATGGCGTTTCCGAGTCCACGAGCTCCCCCAGTGACGAACGCAATGCCGGGAGCGACAGGGCCACCGCGAAGCTGAGACATGATAAGATACTGACAAGGGTTGTCAAACAACTGATGTGAATTTATGTGATGAAGAAGTGCAGATATATGAGTCTATTTTCGACTCGCATTCCCCTCTTGAGGACGATCTGACCTCGGCCGGCTCTTAGTTGTTACGATCCTTCTAAAGCTATGCTTGACCTAGACAACATGCGATCGCACAACAGTATAGCCGGGTTAGCCTATGGTTCTCACGTGGAGCAGCGACTGAGCTTAGCTCCACGACACGACACAACGTGAAGCATCCTGCATTGATGACTACGCAGCCGTATGGCTTCCGCGATCCTCAGCCTGATGTAGGCCGAAGTAACACCTCGAAGTCCCTCGCATGGCTCCTGGTTGGCGTTTGTGTCGTCAGGCTTATTCGTTAATCTGCAGAGCTACCCCGCAACATCCCCAGGCCAAGCTACATGTGACAATGTGCTACTTGCTTATGCAGTCTACTCCTCACTGGCAGAGTACAAGAGGCAGCTTCTGGCCTGTTGTAGCTTTTGAGCACGAGACACTTCTAAACAATCAGTAAAATCATCATCGAACCCATCAATCATGTCTGGCCAGCCTTGGGAAGATCGTCGTGGAATGTTTCAGCGAGGAAAAGAAGTCCACGATCCTGCAAGACGGCCTTCTCAAAGTGGTGGTGTGATTGAAGCAGTGCGGAGAGCTTCTGTAACCAGCAACAACTCTTTGGTCGAGAAGCCATTGAGTAATGATCCAGCATCTCCCAGCTCGCCAACGAGCCAACGACGAAGGGTAAGCACCGCAGAGGTCGAGGAGCTTAAGCGTTCAAGCTGACGAATTGCGTTCGTAGTCTTCAGCCGCATCTGGTGGCATGTTCGGTAGCCTCGCGCAGCACAAGCGTGGAAGCGAAGACTATGCGACGCGAAGAGGCAGCCACGCCGAGCAGCTCACATCGGGCGGAGCAGTATCAGGCTGGTTCAATAAGACCTTCCGAGGCATAAGCACACCTGGTGACCAGAAGGCCGCCGATCAGAAGCGTGGAGTCATGGAATGACTAGAAGAACGTGGACCTGAGGCTTGATCTCGGGTGCATTATCGGTTGCTCGTCAGCACCGGTCGAGGACGTGTAGGAAGAGCTTGCTCGGTCGGTATGGTCTTAGTGGCTTCGTTCGGGTGCAGAATGGATTGTCCTTCGACAATGATCGCAATGTATTAGTAGAAGAAATGTAAAGTCATGCTTTCTGCCATTCCAAACCGCTTGGGTTTCTGGAACTCTTGTGTAGTGAGCTCTTTGTATCGCGGCTGATGCCATCCTCGAAGTACGTTACCCATTGTGCGCTGTGTGTGAACAAAACTGCAAGCTATCAGCTTCACAGCACTTCTGCGGACTTGCGCCTGGCAAACTCATTCTGCTCAAACAACCTCGAATCTGCCTTAAAGATCAGACTTGGTAACGGCGACGAGTTCAAACCACGTCAACGACTTGTGTGTCTGATCTTGGGCCATGATCCCGGCGTCCTGTGGACGAAATTAAAAAACACCAACTCCCTTCTCACCTGCACTGGCACTAGAAGCCTAGCTCTCCGAACCGTGAGCTGAGAACTCCTCAGTCAGAGTCCGCCAGATTCAGGCCTTGTTCGTGTGGGAGACTGAGATCCGACGCAAAGCGCCTGCGCTGTCTTCAGAGATCGCCAGGAATGACACCTTTCTCTGCACAAATATCGCCTTCTTAGCTCACGAGGATCCCCACGGCCAGAAATGTGCTGCAAGCCATTGTCTGAAATTCGACAATCTCTCGTCTGAGCTAGCTGCCTTTGCGAGTCGTCGAGAGGTATCTGAGACACGAACACTATGTCATTGCTCTCCATGACTTTGAACAAGCGTTCATGAAAGAGTGATGCATGACGGCGATAGTCTATCGTCACTTCTCAACGCTTCGCGAGAACGCCAAGAAAGAGCGGGCTCGGGTTCGTACCGCGATCGACACTTCGCCCTCTTCTTTCTCATCCACAGATCTGCCAAACTCTGTACTCCATTCGCGTACATCATCCTAAACGCGATCCGGCTATCACACACAAGACAGTTCGACTCGCGTCATCACCCTGATACGTGGTGCACTATACCTGATCAGCTTTTGTATCTTCGGTCGGCGATGCTGAGAGCTGCATGCCCTGCAGCTCGCTGGATTGTGCCGCCGGCGCATCACGGTCAACAATGGAACCAAGCGAAGATGATCTCGTACCGGGCTCGTAGCGATCCCTGTGCTGCTACGTGATTACAATGGTATCTGTTACCTCCACGGGTCCTGCTTGCATTCTGCACATTTGTATGCATCCTATCAGCGATTATTCACAGGAAGACTTTCTAAGGATCCGATTCTATGATGGCCGAGTTCAAAGTATTCCCGAGCGAGCCTGTCGAAAAACATACCATCAAGCTCTCTATTTGCGATGCTTACAGTCCAAAAGTTTGGGTTACGCAAACTCACTTCTGGCCATTACCGGACTCGAGTCGAGCTCAGCGCGGCTACGACATCCTGAAAGAGGGTCTTGCCAGGACACTAGCCGAGATCCCTGCCCTCTCTGGCACCATTGGCCGAACCTCCGATGATCCTAGAGACCTGGTAGTTGTTGTGGACGACGATGCTCATGTTGAGTTTGCCTGGGAGAATCTCGTTGGCAAGGCTGAGATCCCAAGCTATGCTCAGCTGAAGGAGGACGGCTTCCCATTGACGGGCTTAGTCGCACTATGCTCGCAACCCGTTGCTCTGACCCCAGTGCACGAGGGAGCGCGCATGCTGACAGCCAAACTAAACTATCTCGATGGCGGCATGGCGTTGTCCTTTGGCTTTAATCACCTCTTGGCAGACGCTGCTACAGTAGCAGAGGTCGAAAGAATCTGGTCCCTGCACTGTGCCGATGTGAGCAATGGTACACAGCAGAAACACAAACTCCAGCTGCCCGAGAGCACGATCAGAGAACGTCTGTCGAAGGCAAGCTCTGAAGCTGGCCCCTTCGACGATGAGCATTGGAGAGTCTTCCCCACTACACGTTCTCAATTGAATCTTCCTCGAGAAAGTGTTAGCAAAGAAGCGGCACTTACTGTCTTGGAGGAAACCAAGAAGGCCCACCTAGCATCGATCAAGAGTGAGCTTGAAGAGACGAAATGGTGCATGTGGAAATTCTCCGCTGAAGCCCTGGGCAAGCTCAAGAACGATGCGTCGTTGCCGAGTGGTGAGCAGTGGATCTCGACCATGGATGCCCTTATTGGATTGTTTTGGTCGCGACTGAGTTTCGCGAGACAGAAGAGTACCGAAGGCCACCAGGAATCTCTCATGTTGTTTCCAATTAACATCAGACAACGTCTCGAGCCTCGAATTGAGACTGGCTACATCGGCAACGCCGTAGACATCGTAGTCTCGAAATGCTCTCTCTCCGAACTGGAGTCTGATCGTGGCCTGGTTACCGCAGCCCAACACGTTCGTAAGGCTGTATCCGGATGGAAGGAGTCAAAGTGGGCAGCGTGGCTGAACATGGCTGCAAATCTTCCCGAAGACGAAGCTATCTGTCCTAATCCACTTTCTCTGCTCGATACGCACAATATGGGCTTTAACGACTACTCGAAGTCTCAATCTAATGTACTGAGCTGGGGCTCGGAACTAGGCGTCGTTGATCGCACGCGATACATGAGTAAGTGATAAATGGTTTGCAAGAACGAGCGTGCACGTGCTAACCCGAACCTCCAGAACCTGCAAGCGTAAGTAGTAAAGTCATTGGATCCGGTGCCATACTGACATTATGATCTCAGAGCTTAGCCAATTGTGCTACCGCAGTAATAGTTCATCCGAGATTGGCCGATGGCGGGCTCGAGGTCGCGATGACGAGCACGGAGCACATCAAAGCTGCGCTCGAGAAGGACAAGATTTTCGCTCAGTACGCAAGCTTTGTGACTACTTTCACCTGAAGCTTTAATGGCTCGCATGAGACGATGTCTCGCAGAGACCGTTCTCAGTGCTCACCGCTGAAATGCATAGATCTTGCATGGCCACAACTAGCGTGCGCAAGGCCCACTTCTCGAAGTCAAAGCGAGCGACACTCGACCAGCGAAGCCATGATGCCAATTGTTCACGGGAGTCTGAAGCTGATAAAGAAATCGTTACATAGGGTATATAACATGACTGAAGCAAGACACGACTCGTATGAACGAGCACCAAAACAAAATACCTGGACCGCAAAGACAATTCACGCGACTGCCGAAAGTCTCGGGGGCATTTCTTGTGCCAAAAGATCGACAACTGACGTGGAACCGCTCCACGATGGTCCATGCGATGCTGCACGCGCGACCAACTGACTATTCCGCTGTTGGAGCAGCTCGTGTACCCACGTGAGGTATGGTACAGGCAAGCCGACTTGTCGGGCCTGCATGACGAGGTAACCTGAATGTTTGTTAGCACGTGTGCTGTGGATCTGGAGAAGTAACGGAACGTAACCATACCGAAAATCGGTGCCAGCTCCATGGGTCGCCTACTCCGGAGATCCTGCAAGGTCGAAGGTGTGATCGGCAGACTACTCTTTGCAAGCTCGATGACTTGAACTGGCAAGTCATTATCCAGGCTCACTCCGCTCGCAGAAGCGACGCTGAGCGCTTCTCCGGCAATCTGGGACATCAGTCGAGCTGCTCCGGGCTCTTGCAGTGCCCGATGGGTGTTCTTGCCAGTCAGTGCAGTGACCGAGTTCCAGGCTGAGTTCAGGACCAGTTTTCGCCATCGCTCTTGCTCTATGCGATTGACACTTTCGAACTGGGCATCCATGGCAGATAGAGTGTCGCGTTGCAAGATGTCCGCAGGCGTACCTGGAGCATAAGCACCGATCAAGAAAGCGGATCGTTTAATGCTCGCGGTCTGCTCTATGCGACCAGGCGAGATTTGCCTGCAGCCGATGTTGCACACAGCACTGAGGATTGTGTTCTTGGGGAATGCCTGTGCAAGGGGAACCTCAACATCCATCCCATTCTGGGCTGTGACCAGCGTAGTCTCCGGAGACACAACCGACTGGAGCTCGGATAAAGTTGAAGCATAATCGTCTTTGATTTTGTTCGCGAGGATAAGGTAATCCCACTTTTGTTTGGGAATGACCTTCGCCACAGATCCTGACCTCAGGACTCGACGGGGCACGAAAATTCCTTTTCCCCAGGTTTTTGTGTCCAGGCTGTAGCCAGATGTGCGAACGGCTTCCCAATTCGATCGACACACAACAGATACTGTGGCATGGCTATTCTGTGCTATTCGCCAACCGAAAATCGATCCGACGGCTGCGATTTCTCTGTCAGCTGAGTTTCTACAACAAGGTCCAAGGAAGCCATATCTCACCTCCACCACCATACACAAGGACATTACATCTCCCCATGACTTGAAACGACACTGCGCAAGGCTTTGGAAAGAAACAGGCGATGAAAGGTCTTGTCAATATGGTTGAACACTATCTCGTGGAAGCACAGATCTCATCGAATACTGATATCTAACCGATCCTCAACGGCACATACAAGCATAGGCGCTCTGAGAACGCCACAAACGCAACAGTAGCAAGAAGCCCGTCATGTCGAGCATCAACAACCCGGAAACGAGCACGAATCGTGTATCCTCTCTCCGCGTCTCATCAACGGTAGCACAATTCACTCGAAGATCCGCGCCATTTCGAGCGGACCCATCATGCACTTGATCGCGTAAATCGCACGGGGCTTCGCCGGCGAGCCATGTACCGCAATGTGCTATTGCATTCGTAAGTGCCTTTGCCATCTCCGTGCAAAGATTCCATTTCTTGCAGTAGTGCCTGTTGAACCGCAGCAAATGGAGCCTCAGAACAAGCTTTCGCTTAGCAGCACAGCTGAGTTGTTGGACAGCTCGCATACTCGCACAGGGCTCGATTGTGCGCTTTCCCCAAAGCACTGCGATCGACAAGTCGTGCTCCCAGCCAAGGTATGATTTTGTTGGCACGAGATAGCGTGCTTCATGTGCTCTATGATGAAGCAGCGGGATTCTGACCCTCACATAGTGCCTGCGTGGGCTCTGGCGCCAATCGCGTGAACAAGCGAAGTCTATCAGGTACGAGATCCCTTATCAGTCAGAGGGCACTTACTCTAACAGGAAAGTTTCAGTTGTAGATCCCCCAAAGTAACATTGACGTCGTCCAAGAAAGCGTGTCCTCTTGCCCGAACAGATGGCCTCTGCATTCTGAGCCCCAGTTATTCGCAGACCAACATGCCATTCGGAGAATTGCACTGTGTGCATTGTTTCCACCACGTGTAATGGGTTCGCATTGTCAAGGTCATGGGCAGGCCAGCCATGCCGACCAAAACAATCCACTGCCATCGAACTATTTCCCAGAAATCGCGAGACCTATCGAGCCTTCCACTAGATTCATGTTGTCGAGACTAAGCTCGCGTAGACTTGGGTCTTCCACGAGCTATTGCCAGAAGAAGCGCAGAACGATATATTGCATGATTGTTCGCTTAGAATTGACAGCGAAGTCCAGGCGCTAGCAGTACCGCCGAGCCATCAACGAACCATCCGGGCTGATGCCGTGCGCCGTCGCCATGTTCCCATTCAGGCTGCCGATCACTCTGAACATTATCTTTGATGATCGACAACATGCACCTTCGTGTCAACTTTCCATGCACCTGGCTCGCCACGAAACCCAGTCCCAAGCTAGAAAGAATGATCTGCAGGGAGATGACATGGATCTTGTCTGTGCCACGGACTCATGGAAAGCATTCTGCGGGAAAAGTCCAAATATTTGATCTGTTGATACCATATCCTTACCTTGCCAGCTGCGAGGTAAAAAATTTGGGCAAAAAATCATGTCGTTGGCAACATCCACTGAGCCTTCTCGGCCCAGCAGAATCATTGATCTTCTCAAGAACGCTGCAGAGAGCCATGCGGGAAATGGTTTCTTATACCTCGAGAATGGGTGCAACGAACCTGCGACAAGAGTTACATTCCCAGAATTATATGCACAAGCAAAAGTGAGTGTACTCCACTCTGCGAAGGTGTGATGCTGATCATAGTAGGACAACGCTCGTCGATTGATCGATGCTGGGCTTGTCACAAAAGGACAAAAGGTTGTTACGTATTTCGATAATCACAAACAAAATGTTCTGTGGTTCTGGTCTGTGACCGCAGCAGGCAAGATGGTTGGAAGCCGGAGTCAGAAAGAACATAAGCTAATCTCGAAGCAGGCGGAATTTGTGCAGTGCTCAATCCAGTATCGAATGAACCGAAGACAGCAGCTGCGCAACTTGACAACGTCAAAAACCTGTTTGGCAATACTCCAATACTGACAAGCCACAAATTGTCATCGATACTGGCATCTCGAAAATTGAACGTACAATCGATCGAGGACATTGATCGTCGAAAAGCCGTTGATTCTGGACTGCCGTCGCCGGTCGAGGAGCAATCTGAGAGCGGTAACGATATTGCGGCGATACTATTCACCTCAGGCAGCACTGGCCACTCGAAAGCTGTGCAGTATTCTCACGCTCAGTTGATCGCCTCCGTGGAAGCAAAAGCGAAACATCTCACAACACATGGCAAGACGTTCATGTCATGGATCTCCTTCGACCACTCAGCTTGCTTCTGCGAAGTGCACCTTCAAGCACTCTATACTGGATCTGATCAAGTTTTCGTCCCAACATCAGACTTAGTTCAAGAGCCATGGCGCTTCTTCCAGGTTTTAAGCGCACAACGAATCGGTTACACATTCTCGCCAAACTTCTTCCTAGCAGCTGCGGTGGAATCGTTGGCAAAGCAAGAGACAGACTCGATAAATCTTGATCTCAGCGAATTAGCGGTGATAATGGTTGGCGGCGAGGCCAACAGAACCAAAACACTTGCTGCAGTGGACAATGTTCTGAAGAAGTATGGTGCCCCCGAACATAGCATCAAAGCTGCGTATGGCCTGAGTGAGACATGCTCTGCTTGCTACTACAATCTGGAGAGTCCTGGCTACGATGTAGACCAGGGAAATACCTTCGCGACCGTCGGCAAGCCTTTGCCTGGACTCGAAGCAAAAATTGTCAGTCGCGGGGCTGATGATGAGAATCCGGATGAGGGCATAGTCCATCTCCGAGGAGACGTCATCTTTAAAGGATACTATGGTAACGAAGAAGCAACTGCTGGCGCCTTCACCGAGGACGGCTGGATGAGTACTGGCGACATTGGTCGCCTCGATCAGAATGGAAATCTGCAGCTGCTTGGCCGCTCGAAAGAAGTGCTGATCTTGAACGGCAACAACTACTCTTCATTCGAAATCGAATATGCGATCGAGACCGGCAGTATAGCAGGGCTGGAAGTCTCTTATACCGCAGTATTCTCATCATGGTCTGAAGAGCGCAACTCTGAAGCACCTGTGATACTATTTAACCCAACAGAGGCCGCGATCGGTCCTGCAAACCTCCGAGCAACTCTACAGGCCATCGACAAAGCGGTCTTCAGCGTGTGCGCACAAAAGTCACTGCACATCGTACCTCTGCCCAAGGCACTCCTTCCGAAGTCGACGATTGGCAAGCTGTCTCGCGCGAAGCTTCGGCAGTCTTATGAGAAAGGTGATTTCGACGCCTATAAGATTGATGCCACGTCACCCAGCAATAGCCTTGTGGAGACCCAAAAGCCTACGCTAGACACAATCTCCCCTCTACAGAAAGAGATCGCGCAGATATACTCGACAGTGGTTGGAGTTCCGGCTGAAGACCTCTTGGGTCACGACGCTCTACTCTCATCTGGCATCAACTCGTTGGGCTTCATGCGCCTCAAGAAGGCTCTTGAGAAAGGACTAAACATCCACCAAGAGATTCCGATGCCGCTACTGATCCGATGTCACTCGGTAGCAGATCTGGAGCATGAGCTTACGTTGATCGGCACAGTCTCGAAAGAGTACGACCCTATAGTGCCACTGGCCTCAGAAGGTAGCAAGCAGCCACTGTTCCTCTTGCATCCTGGCGCTGGAGAATTCCTCTGCTGGATGGGACTTCTGCCATATCTTCCCGACCGGCCCATTTACGCTCTTCGAGCTAAAGGCCTACATCCGGGCGAGGGCACCTTTGACGGCATTGACGATCTGCTCGATTGCTACTACACAGCGATTCGACGAACGCAACCTAAAGGTCCTTACGCCATGTTAGGATACTGCTTTGGTGGGCTTCTGTGCTTCGAATTAGCTAAAAAGTTCGAAGCAGATGGCGAGCAAGTTGTCTTCTGCGGCGGCATCGACAATCCGCCCAGTCTGAAGAGCACAATTGGCCAAGTTCGCTACCGCTCACTCATGATTGACGTGCTGCCAGTCGTCACGGACTACACGCCAGAGCAAGCACGAGCATTCGCAGAAGAGACTGCAGACCTTACAGACGAGCAATTCTACGAGCTGTTATTCACCAAATTCTCCCCAGAGTTTATCGAGAATATGGACATCACAGTGCCCAGACTGCAAGCTTTTGGTCGTGTGGAGGACTGCATGCGACTTATTGCTTCACAGTACGAGCCCGCAGGCTCGGTCAGCACGACAGATATCTTTTGCGCAGATCCTATGCCTCACTTTGGTGCGACACCGGAAGTGTGGAAGCGAGACGTCTTGGGCGAGTGGCGAAATTTCGTCAAAGAGGAGAATGTGCGCTTCCACCACGTCGGCGGTAATCATATCAGCTTGATCAAAGAGCCGCTGATTAAGGACTTCCAGCAGACTGTTAACGATGCTTTGACAGTCCGAGGCATCTAGGCGTATGTACTGACTTTGCAATGATATCCCATTGTTTATTTGAAGGCCTGTCGATATCCTTTCGCAACTTTGCTCATGCTTTCATCGAGCTCAAATCTTGCTAGAGTATTCGAATGATGCAACCATTCTGAGCTTCCTGTGACCAGCGCTCATGTATCTCGGATTTGGCTGGGGCGCAGAGGCATGATCACTGCCACCATCCTTGATCATGGTCTTGACAAATCCAGTGCCCAAAAGAGAGAGCAAGAAGTAGAAGTCCGAAAGGGAGTGTTGCCGAGAACATGACAAACCATAGGCGCCAAGCTTTGGATCGAGCCGTGGACTCGGAGCACCTGCAAGATCCATCGAATCGACATCGCATCCATCGGATGCTGCGTGTGGCATATCAGATGGGATGCCTGTGCTACCACGTTGCAGCAGCCAGGTCGCCATGCGTGATGATCTCTGCAGGACCAAGTCCTTGAGTGCAAGCCCACGACCTGCCAAATCCGAGCTGACATTTCAATTTTCCAGCCAATCGCATCACGAGCCGGCCATCATCATCGACACCATTCATCCCAACAAACATCCCCGAACCTCGACTCGCACAATCTGCACATGCAGTTTTCGGCTCGGGCATGATGATGAGATTCCAGCGTGTTTCAGATTGACCTCATTGCAAGCCATACATCTCGCGGCATTCAGGAAAAAGGAGCCACGGCACATTGCATCCTCTGTGATTTTTTGTGGATCCGCTTCGACCAATAGCGTTGCACAGACGCTATTTTTCAACATCACTCCAGAGACGCCTTTGCGTTTAGCACGCGCAAGCCTGATTTTCTTGTTTGCCGGGCGGCTGAAAAGGTCTCTCTGTCCTGTCGGAGCACATGACAGGACTCGACTAGTGGTGCATGAACGCGACTGCTGTCCCGGCTCACGGCACGTCGTTCTGTAACACAGAAGGCGTTCATGGCGCGAAAGTAGGACTAAGGAGAGCCGCATGCTTTCAGTCCGTCTGGACCGTGAAGCCACATTCTGGACACTTTACCATCTGCGATTCGTTCTCGGACGACATTGCTCAGCTTGTCCGCCATGCAGCTAAGGCTGAGAGTTGGATCGCTTCCAGCTGCGCCAGACTGTCGTTTGTAGAGTGCGTATGGAGTGGCGTTTCGCCGAGGCTTAGGTTGATCGTGGCAACGAGACAGCAGAAGCTATATCATGAAGCGTCGTCCTCGTCGAATATGCTGCATCGATCAGGACCTGTTGTTGTTCTTCTTTCTTTACTGACGAAGTATTGTACCTGCCACTCTTTTCAGGGCGATCTTCTACTGTCTTTACCTGATATTTGACTCTTCTTGCAAGCCACTTTAACAGTACTCAGCATGAGGGCCTCTTTGCGAGCACTGCTGCTGACTGCAGCCTGCATTGTTGGACAGGTTGCCGCAGCGCCAGCGGTTTCTGTGGTCGTTCGCCAAACTCCTGATGCTGTTCCGGTCATGCCAGGAGGTGTCGAGGACCTCATCATCACAGCAGAGAACACACTCAACGCAACCAATCCTGAGCCAGTCCCGGCCAATGAGACACGTATGGGAATTCAGGCCAATCGCCAGCTGCCACTCGCACTGGTCAACAACATTGGAGGTGCCGTCAATGCCTACATCACTGGCCTGGACCCAAGCGGCCGTGTGGTCTTCGTTCAGCCAAATGGTAAGTCGTCCTCAGCTTACCCCAAACTTTGACAAACGCTGACAAGTGTCGCATCGCAGGTCAATTCATGTATCCTCCAGCAGATGCAAGCTTCACAACTCCGCGCGAGGTGTTTGGCAACATCGCCATCCCTTTGAACACTGCACAAGGCAGCACCACTCGCATTACTCTTCCCGACTATCTGTCTTCCGGCCGTATCTGGTTCGCGAAGGGCAACTTGAAGTTCTACTCCATCTGGGCCGGAAACGCTCCTGGCCAGGTGCAGCCCAGCTTTGCCAACCCAAGAGATCCTTCTGCAGGCGTAGACTGGGGCTTCGTCGAGTTCACCAACAATGCAGGTGGCTTGTATGCAAACCTCTCTTACGTCGATTTCGTTGGACTCGCTCTCGGCATGTCGATGCAACCTGGTAGCGGTGCTGTACGAACTGTGCGCGGCCTCCGTACGTCTGGTGTGGGTGCAGTCTGCTCTGCACTCGCCGCCCAGGGAAGGAAAGATGGCGCTCCTTGGGGTCAGCTCTGCCAAAGTGGTGGTAACGGCCCTCTCCGAGTTGTTGCTCCTTATCCATTCATGCAGTCCAGCTCAGGCGCATTTGGAGATTACTTGGCTGGCCATGTTGGTCGTGTCTGGGACAGATACCGGACCAGCACCCTCACGATCGATACTCAGATGGCCGCTGGCAGGGTCAACTGCCGTGTCAATGGCGACTGGCTTTCATGCGACGGCGACAACCGTGCTTACGCAAAGCCTTCGACCGCAGACATCTTTGGATGCAACAGCGGTCCATTCGCCATCCAGGGATCCGACAATGCCGTCCACCGAGCAGTAGTTCCCAGACTCTGTGCTGCTTTCAATCGCGGCACTATGTTGAAGAGTGCCCTCCAGCCAGGGCCATCCCACGACACTTACTACAAGAACGAGCGCAACAACTGGTACTCGCAGATCGTGCACTCGAACCAGCCCGATGGAAGAGGGTATGCATTTAGCTACGACGATGTCAACCCAACAGGAGGCGTCGACCAGAGCGGGACTCTGGCCGACGGCAACCCGCAATTGCTCAGCATCTTTGTTGGTGGAGCATAGAGATATTAGCGGGGAAGGGCCTGAACACATACTTTCGGTGGATACCAGTTCTGTTGTACATAGACTTTGCCATGTCGCATGACGCTTAATGTCAAATGATCTCCATCAGCCTGCTTGCATCGAGCGGCTGCCGTAGGCATCTTTGTCTGTGCCAAAAACTTGGAAGCCAGATCGCCCATGACTGTCAGCTCTTTGTCGCAGAGAAGAGGTTGTGGACATGCGTGTATCTCGTCTTGCGTCTCGCCACATCATTACCTTCTCCAGCAAAGGACCGCCACTGAAAGCCAAGAACACAGCAGAAGCAACGACGCTCACAGTGACTGCCACAGCCACTGCCCAAAAGAGCCATTGCGTGGTTTCCATGTCTCGAATGTCGCTGAAGTTCATGCCGAAGAACGACGAGACGAAGTTCAGTGGCAGAAAGACAATGGTAACCACAGTGAAAACAAGAATCGCCTTGCCATGGTCTTCCAGACGTATGTTGACGAGCTGTATTGTGCGAGTCACAAGTCGATCCGTGTTGTCACGCAAATCGCGCAAATCTGCCAGCTCCCGCTCTAGATTGTCCACCAGTTGGGCAACGGGGTCCGACAGGACTGATGCTGACAACTGACGATAGGTCGATCTTCGAGACACGAAACTTCTGGTGAGATCGTGGTCGTCGAGCTCGTCAGGCTCCGAGGCTGGCACCTTGGTCGTTGTGGCCTTCGTAGGCTCAGTTTTGGGCTCAACGGCCTCCATGGACATTTGCAGGTCGTTGATAGTATCGAGTTGTTGCTCTGTGATCTGAATGACAATGTTTAATTCTTCCTGGCAAGCAATAAGATCCATGACCAGCTTGGTGGAAGGAGCGCGATGCAATCGATATTGCAGGTGTCCCAGATGTCCAGCATATCTATCAGCCAAACACAGATACAGGTCTGGCCAGAAATTCCGGTGCATCATGCCAACAGCGCCACTCAGACTCGCTATAGCATGGGTTATTGCAGTGTATTCTCTCTTTTCGTCTGACCGGAAGTAGTTGTTTCGGATACCACGAAATGAGACGTCGGCAATCCGAGAAGTGAGCTGGAAAGGTGGCCAGCGAGATTTCCAAGTCTGGTTAGAGGAAAAAGTCACGATGTGCTCTGCGTCGATCGCGAGGATCCACAGCTCATCAACATTTAGTGCTGTCGGATACTGGCCATACCACTGCCGGACCTTGAGGTCCAGCTCCCGATTCGTGCGCCATGGTTTGTGCTTGGAGAAGACTTGAGTATCCTCGCGATCTTGAGTATCTTCCAGTCGATAGTAGTATTGCAAAATAGATCGCACAATATGGGCCGATGATCTTGCGCTGAGAAAGCCCTCACGCTTGTCAACCTGGAATCTCAGTGGAGGGGTCGGCCCTTGTACTGTCCAGTCAAGAAAAGGCACAGAGATCATCATGGGATACAAGTCTCGCGTGCGAGAATCTGTGGTAGCAGATCTGAGCGTCTGTGAGAATGGCTGAAATGATTTGCCATGTTTGGAGAAACGAGTCTGTCGTTGCATGACAATGTCAAGCATTCGCATGGAATCCGCCACGGTGTTCAGGTCGTCTGAAAGTGCCCATAGGAACCCTCGAATGTATTCCGGAAACTTTGACGAGCAGTGGATCCATCGGCATTTCGCCGCATCTTCGTCGTCGAGTGCATTTTTCTGCAACTTTCGCGATCGCAAATACCGAATCCAGCCAAAGTCCTCTTCCAGGTTGGTGTATTTCTGTTTCTCGATAGGGTTATCGGTGGCCTCGTTGACTCTCATCAAGCTTGCAGAAGGCGTGAAAGCTGCAGTGTCGGGAACCAGAGTCTGCGGACTACGTTCGTGGCACTCTAATAAGGGGCCTCGCGAAGGACGCAGAGTTTCCAGTCGAATATCGTTAACCAGGATCTGGTGCGGAGTCAATGGCTTTGAACGCCATCTCTGGTCGTCGTAGCTGTATTCCTTCGTCGGCGTGTCTTGCTCGACCTGATGAAAATGCGCTGCTTTTGGCATTGGACGATGCACTGCAAGAGAGCATCGTCGGAGCTCGCTTCGAGAAGCTGAACGCGTCGTAGGATTCAAAGATCGGCAGGGCCCTGGAGGCGGAAGGTCTTTAACCACGTAAGCATTATGTTGCCCTCGCATAACGCGTATCTGTGCGATATTTCATCGATGTTAGCAGATCGGGCCATGTAGCAGATTCGACGTCGCAGGACACGCTTTCAGTTCGGCTCAACACCTCAGCGGGGGTGACCGCAACGTCGGACCATGGATAAAGCAAGCTGGAATGAGCCATTGCTCTCTGCTCTGCCTCTGCAAAATGGGCCGTCGAGTTCGGGGAAGGGTGTTGGTGGCCTGCAGATATCTCTTGATGGTTAGTCCGAAACAGCTGAAGTGGCTCGCTGGCTTAGTCAGCTGGCTAATCGACGGCAAATCTGGCAAACCGGCGCCGATTTTTGCCTCTCAAGGTTTTGAGCTCTCGCTCCTACTGAATCACTGGCGTGACATTTCGAGGGGAAGGTCAGAGCTGCGCCTCGTACACTCGCGGCCTCTCAACCCCCAGGGACGACGAGTCTGACAACGCTGTTGCACCACAGCCAGACCAGGCCAGTTCCGAGTCGCCCACCATGCCGGCAGAAGAAGCGCCGTTGGGCAAGCTCGATGGCCTCGAGCTGCCAGCTGCAGCAGACATGCATGTGCATTTGCGGGAGGGCGATATGACCGAGATTGTGGTGTATGCATCATCATCACTCTTGTTGTTACACGGCGAAGTCTGATCAATGACAGGCCCACCATTCGCCAAGGCGGCGTCAATACTGTGTTTGTCATGGTACGTACGTGTTGGGAGAAATGCTACATCTGTACGTCTAACACCGAGACCAACAGCCAAATCTCGTGCCTCCGATCACGACAGTCCATCATGCTCTCCAATACAAGAAGCGCCTCGAAGAGCTGGAGCCCAATGTCCTCTTCCTCATGTCACTGTACCTGCACCCTAACATCAAGCCGGAGACCGTGATTGAAGCCAAGAAGAAGGGTATTGCTGGAATCAAGTCTTATCCTCATGGAGTTACCACAAACTCGAGCCACGGTGTCATGTCGTACGAAGACTTCTATCCCGTTTTCGAGGAAATGGAACGCCAAGATATTGTGTTGAACCTCCATGGAGAGCTCCCGCCGTCTGCCGGCTCCGACATCACCGTTCTGAACGCCGAAGAGGCTTTCCTACCTACTCTTCTGGACCTTCACAAGCGCTTTCCCAATTTGCGAATCGTTCTCGAACACTGCACTACCGCAGCGGCGATCAATGCAGTCAACTCATGCAGCGACAAGGTAGTGGGCACCATTACTGCCCACCATCTCTTCTTGACCGTCGACGACTGGGCCGGCGACCCGCATTGTTTCTGCAAACCTGTGGCCAAGAACCCTTCAGATCGAAGAGCACTCCTCGAAGCCGCAGTGAGTGGCAATCCAAAGTTCTTCCTCGGCACTGATTCCGCACCTCATCCCGCCAAATCGAAGCGCAGTGATAAAGTCGCCGCCGGCGTTTTCACACAACCGCATGCTGTAGGCCTTGTCATCGATGCCTTTGAGCGAGGAGTGGAGAAGCAGTACATCAGTGCCGACGATGTGACACCGGAGAAGCTGAAAGGATTTCTCTCCTCGTACGGTCGCGATTTCTACAAGGTGAAGGATGAGAAGAACGAGCGCATTGTGCTGAGCAGGAGTTCGGCCGCGATCGCTGAGAGTTTGAAGAACGAGGACGAATCGATTGAGGTCGTTCCCTTTAGGAGAGGGAAGATGACGTGGGGCGTTTCGTGGAAGTGAAGACGGGGATCAGCAAAGACCTCATCGTAAGAGGCTGTCATTTGCTTCCACTACGAATGCAACATTGGTGTCAAAATTGAGCACTCTGCAAGTCCAGCCGAGCGCGATAAGCCCAGCGGCGTAGTGACGTGACGTTGGAGAATATCAAATACTAAGATGCAGACACATTTTGACCTTTCCAAATCCGGTAGCAGACTAAACGCCTCGCATATCTCGTATAGCTTCGGGTATCATTCTCATGAACTGTCACAACGCCGCCACTACTGAACCATCCATCCCTTCACATTCCTTGACTCGAACGAACATCGGCATCTGAGTCTCTCGACATCTCCTCTTTCTCCAACTCTGCTCCTCTCACCCCGCCCTCCGGCTCTTCTGTGCTTGCGACGCCATCGTGGTCATGCTTTTCCACATCCAATCCTTCTTTGCCTTTTCTCACCTTTCTTTCAGTCCATACTGGATTCTCGCCTCTCTCGTGCGCACGCTCGAAGATCGCGTCCATGGCTTCAAGCTTGTATCCGTTTGTCTCTGGGAAGAACCAAAAGACCACGGGAACGTGCATGAAGTTGAAGCACATAAAGACGAAATATGTCTGCCAACCAATTTTGTTGATCATGATTGGCGCGAGCTGGACCACGCCGTAGTTGATAATCCAGTTGGACATGGTGGAGAACCTCGACGTTGTTAGCATTCACTCGTGTCACAGGGTGAATATTTCGAAGACGTACCCGTTTGCCTCTGCTCGAATCCTGATAGGTGTAACTTCAGCAGGATAAAGCCAAGTCACTCCGAGCCAGCCAATGGCGAAGCAGGTATTGTATACGAAGATGAAGACCGTAGCGGCGTATGCAGGTGCCTTGTAAGTAGCCGTAGCTTTGCTCAGGCATGCACCAATGATGAGTAAAGAAATTGCCATGCCCATTGCTCCCCAAAGCATGAGTTTTCTTCTGCCGAGTCTGTCGACTACGACCAGGGCTACCAGAGCTGCGAGAAAAAATTCGGTCCCGAGACACCCTGTCATTAACCGTGACAGTTCTGGGTCGAAACCCAACGAGTCCTCGAAGACTGTCGTAGCGTAGTAAGTTACCAGATTTAACCCGCCTAATTGCTGGAAGGCCTGCGCGGCGCAAGCAGCGCTCAGTCTCCAGAGGTTCATCTCCTTGCCATTGGAAAGAAGTTCCTTAGCAGTCAGTTTTGAAGACGAGGTAATTTCGTTCACTCGCTGCATCTCCTGGATATCGGCGATCAAGGTTGGGTCTTCAACGTCTTTGCCTTCCAGGATGGACATGATCTCGCGAGCCTGCGTGGCTTTGCCTTTCTTGATCAACCATCGTGGTGATTCGGGGTAGAGCAGGACACCGATAATGAGGGCAATCCCGAATACTGCTTGGAAGGCGATTGGGAATCTCCATTGGAATGAGCCATGTTGAGTGACGAACCAGAAGCCATAGTTGATCCTGGGAAATGTAAGCAAAAGCACTTGATTTGTGGGGAGCGATTTTCACTCACCAGTACGACAGCATGATACCACCAGTGATCAGAGCACCTTCGAACAGCACCAAGAATCCACGAATTTTCGGTGGTGCCATTTCGGATTGCCAGACCGGTATTGAACTGGTGTTCATTCCATTACCCCAGCCGGTTACTATTCGGCCAACGATCATCTGGCCGAGCGTAGTCGCCGAAGCCTGAATCGCAGTTCCAATAAGCATGATGACAGTTCCAATGAGTACAGACCGCCGACGGCCAAGTCGATCGCCAACAGCCACGATCATCATAGAGCCGAGAAGACAGCCGACCTCGTAGATGGCCACGACGAGAGCTTGAATAGCACCAGATTTATTGTTGGGTTCCATTTGCGGGAAGACTTCGAGGAACATTGGCTCGGTGATGATTCCACTCATGACACCTGCGAGAAGGGTCATGCATCAGTGTAAGATAGTTGACGAAGGCGACGCCAATTGCTCACCTTGGTCGTATCCGAATAACAGAAATCCAGAAGCCGCTGTGACACAAACTCCCACCTCAAGAGCTTTACCGCTGATGCGGCCGCCGAGTAGGCCATTGTGCGAGAAGAGCCCAGGCATGCCTGGTACAGCCCTCAACTCGTTATTCTGCTGCGAAACTTCTAATCAAGAAAAGCAGAATGGGGAATCGAAGGAAGAAAAGTATGTAACAACGCCGAAGAACGTCGCAAATCCGAGGCTCACAAGTCATATACCCCCAACCGGAGAGATTGGGCAAGATGTGATGGAATGCGTCCTCCACTTCCATCGAACCCTCTACTCCACCCACAAAACTTCTCTGCAACATTGTCCGCATTTCTGTGGACTCTCCAGCAAGAAGCTCAACGATCGTGGTCGCCGCTAGCAAAAATTTGGGCTGCTGAGATATGTTTGGTCAACGGAGATATGTGTTCCCCTGCGGGTCATTGAGAATGTGCGAGTTGACATCACAAAGCATGGAGTGATGTTGACTGTGGGCCGCATCTCAAGCCAAGAGTACTTTGCTTCGACAAGACGTTGCTTGTCATCGAGTCTACTGAGCTTGTCATCAAGCTTTTTGTGCTTGTCTTGCTTTGAGTCTGGCTGTGGTGGCAGGACTTACGATTTGGTGGACTCTTATAGCGACCTATTCAACAAACGTCTGAGTCCTCAGGCTTGCATACCTTCAAGCATTCGAAGCAACGAGGCGAGCAGCGTTTCATCGAGCGATACATGTTGTGGCCTCGAGCGATCGATACACAAGGCGCGATCTTCTCGGATACCGGAATGAGGCCGAAGAGTACTCCACTTCTGCACATTGGCATCATTGGCATCATCGTGATATCGTGAGGCTCTGCGAGTCGGCTCCTCAGGACGTCAGGTCAAATGAAAGTGTTCAGGGTCGTACGCAGGGCTGGCGCAAAAATTGCGAAGGGCGCCAAAGATTTGTGAAAAAGCAGGTTTCTTCGGGATCCTCCTCCACATGTTCTCGGCAGCGAGTAGCAACGCGTCGACCATCTCGGAGTCTGTACTCCGGAGGTCATTGAAGTCCCTTTGTGTTATGAGACCAGTCCATCTTGCCGTTCTACCTCTTCCAGTCTTACGGATCGGCGACTGGACCGGATGCGCTCAATCACTTGAGGTAGCTTCAAACCCCAATGCCACAGAAGACCAGCCAGGAAGCCGACAGCGTCGTTCTTAAAGGCCAGACAACCTGCCACAGTAATGAGCATCACTGTCCATCGATCTTTGCTTTCCTGTTCAGTGGCCTGTCGTGATTTCCTTGACGCCCGGTCATTTGCGTGATCCTCTTCAGCTTGCTCCCATAGATCTCTTGCTTCGCCTACATTCTGCCCGACTTTGCTAAGCTCTACTCCCGCAGCGAGAACCATGACACCAAGTAAACTTTTCGGGAATTGTTGCAATGTTGGGATGATTGCATTGCCAGCAAAGAGTCCGAGCACCAGCTTCACCAGACCCAACAATATGATGCTGGAGCCACTTCTTGCGCCAAAACGATACTGCCCTGCCAACCCTCCAGATCCGTGACACACCGGCATCGCTCCAAACCAGCACCCGACGAGATTCGCAAATGCAACCGAGAAGCCAATTGAAGTGGTGCTTGGTGTCGGCGGGAATGAGGGAAATAGACTTGCGGCAAGTGAAGTTACAGCAAGGACACTGTTCAGCGTGGTCAGCGGCAGCTGTGGAACTGCGGCCTCGACGATGCCGGTACTCCAAGCCTTGCCAGATGGGACGAACGGTGAAGGATGCCAGATTATAGCAGCAAATGCTTCGTGGTGATCGTTCTTGGTCGAAATCGCCGCAACGATGAGCCCAAACAGGAAAACCAGAAGCGCATAGGGTATCCGTGGAATCAGTGCAGCGACCAGAAGGAAGATGAAGGCCGCGATGGCCCAGACACGGTTGTCTAGTGCTGGAGATGCCCAGCCTAGCGGCTTGATGAGGCTGCTCCCAGCGCTTATCACCAAGCTTAGTCCTGCTCCAACCTGAATGCCTTTCACAACACTGACTGGTACTACCCGGTGCAGCCATTTGAGCAAGCCAGTAGCACTCAACACGAAGATTGCCACACCCATCGCCAGACCAGCAGCAGCAGTCTCCTCTTTGCTAAAGCCTTGCGATATCGCCACTGCTGCTATGGCCTTCATAGGTTGTACTGGTAAAGGTATCCCAAAGTACACTCCAGTCAGTATGTTTGCGAGCCCTGAGAACACCAAGGTGCTTCCAAGATCGATGGATCCATTGACAGCCATGGCTATCATCAGTGGCAACAGAGTCCCCAGATCTCCCAGCGAGCCCGCCGTTTCGGCAAGCGGCGAGTTGCGAAGTGTGCGTACATTGTGTTCGTTGATGAGGCGCAGATGTGAGAGTAAATTCATGTCAGGAGCTGACGCAAATGAATACGATGCTGTTGCTGGATATAGGAAAGGCACAAAACTCCAGAGAATGCTGACAAGAAAGGTATCACATGGTGAAATCAGGATGGTAAGTAAAACAGCTAGTGACGATGGATCGTGACTTGCTCATCATTCGGATCCCACGTTCGGAAGCATCGGCCAAGAAAATGGTGGGATGCACCACTGAGTATGTGGGGGCATCTCCTATGCAGTGCTGAATACTCTGCCAAACGGCAGCACTGTAGTCTGATTCTGAAAATCCATCGCGCGGTTGATGGCCCTAGCAACTGCTTTGTCCGCAGCGCATTGTCGTGGTTCGCCTGGCCTCCGGTGCAACTCAAGTGCTATCGACCAACAATCACTCGCAGTAGTAAGCCCATTCGCTGTCCTGAACAATCCAGGACGATCTTAGCCTCTTCATCTAAGTATGACTTCTTGCCAGCCTTTCTTCGACCATCAGTGGCAGTCTTGTCAGATCGCATTTGGATGCCTTGCTCGACCAAGGTTTTCAGCCGGGGCAAATCACCAATTAGATGTCCAGAAGTCCACAGAGCACGAAGCATACTCTCGGACAGCAAACTGACTTTGGCGTTGTCTACGAACGAAGCGTTGGTCGCTGTGCATGTAGCGAAGGATGCCTCAAACTCTCTCTGATCGATCAGACCTTGTGTGGCATGCGTTCCAAGCAGCGGCCGGGACATCATCTCGTTCAATGACGTTTGTAGGTCGGCACTCAGATATGCTGTTGTAGGCAAAGTGAATTGCTGAAATATCTGGAGCGGCAGGGGTCTGATGAATTCCGTGAAAATGGAGAAAAGCTCCTCGGTATCCACGAACAGTGTGGGCGCGGCCCTGCTAAAGGCTGTGAAGATAGCCAGAAATCTCTGCCGTAATTGTATGGTTTCCATCCCGCCAAATTGCTCAATCGCATCAGCCTCAGTGGTATCTTCGAAACCACTGTCACGATCGTCGTCTTGGGTGTTCGTGTCTGGGTTCGCAGGGGTTCGACTTCGTCGGCGTCTTGATGCAGTGACCGAGCGCGATCTGGCCGAGCGCGTTTCTGCCGCATCTTCTTCCGAGTAGTTCTCGAGATAGTCGCCATAATCGTCGTTGTCCAGATCGAGCTTTCGTCGCTTGGCCGATCGCGATTCTTCTTTCTTCTTTGGTGGCTTGGTTTCGTTCTTCCAGATCTCTCCGAACTCCCTAAGGCTCTTTTCTGAACCATCTGCTAGCACCGCACGCATGAGCCGTCGCATGTTGTTCCTACCAGCACCGACGGTCGACATGTACTGTGCAAACAGAGTCTTGGAAAAGGTGTTGTTTTTGGCGTGAGCCATTCCTTGTGAAACGCGTGCAGCCAAATCGTGCTGCAAAACGTCAAGCATTAATTCGAGCCAGATCCGCCATCTCTGCCACCGTGCTTTGTGTTTGACACTGCAATTGAACGCCCAGCCGACGACCGCCCAGAAGTCTTGCGCATTCTCTCCCAATGATTGCCTCTCTGAATAATGGCTCCGCAATCTGCTTGTATCCTCATTTTCGTCGCTCTCATACACCGCGTCACTGCGTCTCGTCTTTGCGCGTTTCGTCCGCCCAGTTCGCGCGTTGTTCGACTGTCCGAACTGCAAAGCTTCCGGAAGTCCAGTTCCTTCGACGCCCACCATGGCCACGACTTCTCGAAGGTATTTCGCAGCGTGATCTGCTGCAATTCGCTTATCAGGGTCATCCGTACGTGTCGTCATCGATGGATGAACAACGAGTGTGGAGGCGAGAGCAAGATGCTGCGGCGGTGGGATACAGGCTGGTGCATTCGTGTCGAAGCCGGCGCTCAGTCCACTTTCAAGCAGAGCAAAAGCTTGTGAGAAGAGCTGTTCCTCCATACAGATGGTGCATTGATCCAATATACCAGCTGGTACCGGTCGTATCGCACGTCTCTGGTGTGCAGCTCCAGTGCTGTGGGGTGATTGTGATTGCGATGCGGCTTGAGACGATGAGAGAATATCGGGATTGGCGAAAATGCTGCGGCCATTGACGGGCTCGTGTCGCAACTCTTTGAGCAAGCGACTGTGTTTGGGCATCGCTGCTGGGCTCGACGCAGCCGTCCTTCACATTGAGTGTATAGATGTGTCGCGTCCTTGACATGGTGTGTGCAGGCGTGTCTCGTTCATCGCGTCGGGAAGACGCGTCGTGCCAAGCCTTTTCATTCCTTATCGATATCGGCCGAAAATACAGGCAGTGACAATGGCAGCTCACCACGGCGAAGCAGGAACGGCTTGCTGTCCAGGAGGGCATCCAAGTAGACATGCGGTAGGAGGGACTCACAGCAGCATCCACCTCCTATGGATTCGACTACGACCCTACACTGCCGCTACAGTGAGCTGGAATGAGACACCCGCCGCGTCTTCCTCTCGACCATTCTCTCACTCGCTCCTGTGGAAATCGTAAAAACCGAGGTTTGCGGTATTTCTCCGCCTTCGTCAAGCTTCGTCGACGCGGTCGGACTATTTGCGGGCGGAGGTGAGTGAATTGTTGCGAGAAATGCGATGCAAGGATGTCAGGATGATGATGACGACACTTGCCAAGTGCGCAGATTGGAGGCTGCCATCCTGGCACAGCACAACCACCTGATAAGGAGCACGTCTACCTCGATCAACACCCTCGCCGCAGGTCGGTCTGCTGGTCCCTACGACATTGAGTATCTCACCCTGCCATCAGCAACGTTCCCGCTCTCCGCCCAGCCAATTTGACGCGAACATGACACGGAGAATTGTCTATGGCGTGTCGCTCTGGGTCTTCCTAGGCGCCGCCGCGTGCACCATCGCTTCCATCGCCCTTCCTGACTGGGTCAGCTACTCCTCGCCCGTCGAAGGCCATGACCCGATCAAAATATCATACGGCTTACACAAGCGTTGCTCCTCCGTGACGGGGCAATGCACCAAATTCCCGCAATACGATGACTGCCATGGCGATGACAGGTCATTTTGCAGCATTTGGCGGACCGTAGGATTCGCCATGAACTTCAGCGTTGTCCTGCTTCTGGCCTGCTTGGTGGCATATGTGACAATTCTAGTGGGAGGCCGAGGGACAAGAGAAGTAGGCTGGAAGATCTTGTGCCCGTTGCTCAGTGTGGTAGCTTTGGCACAGCTCGTAGCCATGTCGCTTGTGGTAGGTACACCGAGCATAACATCGGACAACAGGTCTCACTGACGACTGGCAGGCTGGGTTATATGAACATGATGCACGGTTCTTCGTTGGCTGGACATTGGCAAAGTCGTTTATCCTATGCACCGTGAGCTGGATCGTGCTGTTCGTCAATGCCACGAGCGTGCTCGGAGCAGCATTCTGCTTGGAGCCCGAGGACGATTATGAAAGAATACCGTGAACGCATACAGTCTTCAGCAAGCGAGACAAGGTAGATTACGATCACCATCAAGTCCGGTCTCGCCTCTGAAAGGATCAAGCAAACGACACTGGCCAGCAGCTGAGCAATCCCCGGGATCGCGTTGGACAGGAAACAAGGAAGCTGCAGGATGAGTGTACGAAGAACGAAGGCGGTTACAACAGCTGGTCAGCATCAGTGCGGCTGAGAGAGAGAATCTAAACTCGGATTACTGGACGATATTTGGCTGCTCGCCATCGCTTTGTGCGAGGCAACGGACATTCAAATGATACCCGATATAGACTATCACCATATTGATTGTTAGCAGATTCATGTGCTCTAGTAAAGTACTATTCGGACTGCAGTATTGCACTGCACTTATCTGCAGATGCAATTGGACTGGTTCCGTTGATGGTAGGATATGCAATACTGGCATACCGTGACCATCGGAGCGGGATGAGCGAGGGAAATTTCGTTCAGACAACCACGAAACCATCAACTTCTGCAGCCTTGACATCGCGGTCATCCTTCAATTCCGCATCTGGTTTGCGCTGCGATACCCCGCCTGGCCAGCCCTCGGGATATTCTAGACACAAGAATTTCTCATCGGAGCCCTCGATATCCCAAGCCGGGTTCATGGCTGTCTCAATCCTCACTGGAGCGCGGCGTGTGCTCTCTTTTGATACGAACACTTTGGTTGTCTGCCCGTCCACGACGCTCGGGCTGATCGACTCGACTGGGCCTCCGCATGCCAGGAGTGCTCTTGCTGCCAACTCAAGTTGATTGTCAACAGCTAGCCAGAGCGCCGTCGGGCCATTAGCGAACTTTCCACTGGCTTTTTGAATGTCAGCTTGGTACTGGTTTGCAAGGAGCTCAATCATCCGCGCATGATTATTCCGAGTCGCGTTGTACAAAGTGGTTGTCTGCGTGGTCTGACAACGGTAGTTGACATTCGCCTTGTATTTGTCCAGCAAGACCTTGGCGGTTTCAATGGCGTTGGCTGCTGCTGCATCGATCAGAAGCTCGTCGACCTGTCGTTGCTGGGCCTGTGTGTCTTCATGGCTTGCAATACATGCATCGAGCAACAGTTTAACGACGTCGGCATGATCGCCACGAGCAGCCCTCTGAATTGAGGTCTCAATGGCTCCCTTGACCGGCATGGTGGTCACCAATTCTGTGGGAACGAAAGACAGCAAATATCTCAAGATCTCGCAGCTGCCGCCTGCACCTCCCTTGTCGATTGATCCGACGATCGCGTCTCTCTGCTCAGCGCTCAGCGAGTTCCAGAATTTCTTGTCCACTGTTGAGGCCGAGGGGTCGGGGAAGGAGGCAGCTTGTGCGATCAACTCGAAACTTTGGACCTGGCCAAAGCTGGCTGCGCCCATCAAAGCGAATGAACTCCAGCCACATGCATCGAGCAGCAATCTGACGATTTCCACATCTTTCCCAGCACCATATTCCAACGCATTGTATTTGCCTTCACGAGACTCTCGGAAGTGCGGACGAGCGCCACTTTCCAACAGCCATCGGACGATTTCGGTTCGCCCTCCCACCGCCGCGCGCATCAATGGTGTGCCGCCGAATTCATCTCGGCAATTGATGTTCATGCCACTCTGAATGAGAACCTTTGCGCAATCGAGATGGCCATTGTAACAGGCTGCGTGTAATGGCATAAGCGACTTGTCGGCTTCGCTTCCGGGAACGATGCCTATCTCCAACAACCGAATGATGATGTCTTTTGCTCCCTTAGCTGCGGCATGGAACTGTCAAAACAAGATCAGCGGCATTTCGACGCGGTGTGACACTACGATCTCTGACAACTCACCATCAAGTCCTGACCCCTCCCAGGAATCTCCTTCAACCAGTTCCTTAACCCTTCTGTTCTCTCCTCCTCACTCAGCCCTACAACATCATCTGACCTCCCTTGCTCATACTTCCTTACCACTTCATCGTATTGATTTGGCGAAGCGGCGCCGAACGCGACCTTTCCACTCTCTTTGAGTGCTTTTGTAATCTCGGCGTGCCCGGTCTTTACTGCTTCATAGAACATATAAGGTGCAACATGCTCGTTTTCCTTGGCGAGAAGATCTGCTACGACTGTTTGTGATTCAATGGGAACGCTGTAGATTTCTTCCATGAGTTCTCGTGCCTGTGCTTGTTTAATGAGATTCTGCTCGGGCTCAATGCCGAAGTGGGCTGGGTTCATGACCATGGTGCCATTACGCCAGACGAAGCGTTCTGGATCTCGGTTGATTGTTGACATGGCTGGAAAGATTTAGCGTACTCGTGCTTTGCAATTTGCCTTGAGAGAAAGTGGTCATGGAGTTTACGATGAGATTGTTTCTGAAGAAGAAGTGTTTCAATTATGGGCTATGTAGAGGCTAAGAGGCCGCCAGTCGACTATGTGTGAATCCTGCAATGGCTTGATGTTGTGGCGAAGCTGGCTGGGGTTGCCTGGAAGGATTCGGCTGTTCAGCAAGCCAAGGCTTTAAATCTGCTCACAGCGAAAGACATTGGTGGCCTGTCAGAGAAAAAGGCCGCTGGCTTTCCTTCGCCGTTTGAATGCAGATCAAGATGTCCAGAATGACAGACTCGAGCAGCGCCGAAGGGTTACTGGAGGAGATTCGTCGGCTCAAGTCGATTGAGTGCGGTTCCGAAGAGGCCAAGACATCCTTCGCCTTTGACGAGGGCTACACCTTCCTCAACCACGGTGCGCGTCAAATTGACTGCAAGCACGAGCAAGCGCGCTGAGGAATTCCATCAGGCTCGTACGGAACGTATCCCATCGCGGTGCGAGATGTCTACAGACACTTTCAAGAAAGATCCGAAGCCCAACCGGACACCTTTGTAAGATACGAGTACCGGCCGAACCTCCTCGACGCGTCTCGACGGGTCATTGCCGACTATCTGGATGTCCCAGTCGAGACATGTGTTTACACAGTCAATGCCTCGATGGGCATTGATACTGTTCTACGCAACATCTCATACGAGCCAGGCGACGTGATCTTGTGCTTCACAAGCATTTATGGGTCGTTTGGGTACACAATACAGCACTTGACTGAGACGACTCCTGCCGAAGCGAAACCCATTGCGCTCGAGTATCCTATCTCAGACGAATTCGTGGTAAAGGCATTTCAGAACGCGATTGAGGAAGTTCTTGCTGAAGGGAAGAAGCCGCGGCTGGCTCTGTTTGACACTATCAGCAGTACGACTTCCGCATTATTGACGCAGCACTTTACTGACAAATGTCAATCAGGTCTCCCAGCTGTCCGAGTGCCATTCGAGCAACTGACAAAAATCTGCAAGCAGTATGGCATCTTCTCATGTATCGACGGTGCTCACGGAGTCGGTCACATGCCTCTCGACTTGCGCACTCTCGATCCCGACTTCTTCTCAAGCAATCTGCACAAGTGGCTACATGTTCCGCGAGGATGTGCCATCATCTACACGCCAGGCCGAAACCAACATCTACTCAGGACGACGTTCCCCACAGGCTTCGGATTTGTTGCTCAACCTGACCCACCAAATTATGTTGCGAATTTCGCGAACCTAGGCACACTGAACGACACATCGTATCTTTGCATCGAAGCTGCACTGGAATGGCGCAAGAAGTTGACGTGGAACGGGAAGGCTGGTGAGGAAGCCATCATGAGCTACACGCTTTATCTAGCGAAGACCGGCGGTCAAGCTGTTGCTTCCATACTGGGCACGGAAGTCATGGACAACTCCGAACACACTCTGGCACAATGCGGGATGACCAACGTTAGACTGCCCGTCTCACTCCAGAGTGGTTCCGAACGCTCAAAGAGTCTGAGCACGACTGCTGCTTGGATCCAGAGAACCATGACATTTGAACACAAGACTGCAGTGAATGCTTTCGTATACGGCAACTGCATCTGGGTGAGGTTGAGCGCACAAGTCTATCTCAATGTTTCGGACTTTGAGAGAGCCGGCCATGCGTTGAAAGCTGTGTGCGAAAGAGCTATGCAAGAGAAGACAGGCTGAATCTGAGCACTGCCTTCCGGTGGACATTGCATGGAGCTTTTGCACAGAAGACTTCCCCCACATCGATGTCCGAACTCATCGACAGTATTATGCGGTGTTGCTTCTCGCTGCGGACTATCGGCAATCCTTCAGCCGGCTATGCCACTCACACGATGATCGACAAAATGTCCTATGTTTCCCCATCCTTCCCCGCCAACTCCACACTCCACGTGCAGGAACGCTATGTGACTTTTGGCGGCAGTACTCGGCCCATGCCACACCGAAGTGTCGAGTATGATGCTACCTCACATTGATCAAGAGATGACAGGCGAGCAAGATATGCAGCCGATCGACACGGCAAATGATTGTCAGGTCGAGCTTTATTACACTTGACTATAAAGATGCCACAGTCCGGCACTGGTTCCCCAATCTCCCGATCTCTTTGAAGTCTGCAACAGCAGCAATGGCGATCAAATCAAGCCTCGTACAGAGCCTAGCGTTGCTTCTTGGCACATTGAACCTCACGCACGGCCAAGACAACTCAAGCTCACCGGGTCTGCCTTGGGTTGAAGCCGATTATCAAACCAGCCCTGAAGTACTGCCACAGCCTGATGCTACTGGGTCGGGTTGGGATGCTGCATTCTCTCAAGCCGCAGCTTTTGTTTCCCAGCTGACGCTGGAAGAGAAGGCCACACTAGTCACTGGAACACAAGGACCATGCGTGGGCAACATCGGCAGCGTTCCTCGGCTTGATTTCGAAGGCTTGTGTCTTCAAGATGGCCCGCTGGCGATTCGAGTCGCTGACTATGCGAGTGTCTTTCCGGCTGGATTGACAGTGGCGGCATCTTGGGATAGGACTCTAGCCAGAATAAGAGGCCAAGATATAGGGACGGAGTTCAAAGGTACACTTGAGCAATACAGCATTACAGAGCTTGTAACTGACATAGCTCGTAGAAAAGGGAGCGCATGTGATCCTGGGCCCAGTTGCAGGGCCTTTGGGCAGAAGTGCGTATGGAGGACGGAACTGGGTGAGCATCGTCAAGCGTGGTTGTCGTGTGCAGTGCTGATTAAAGCCTAGGAGGGCTTCTCTCCAGATCCTTATCTGACTGGTGTCATGTTCGAGGAGACCATCCTTGGCCATCAAGAACGTGGCGTTCAAGCCTGTGCTAAGCATTATATCTTGTAGGTGGCTGTCTCTACAGGTGTGCACACAATATAAGCTAACTCTGACAGGAATGAACAAGAAACACAGCGCAACCCAGGAAGGAACCGCCAAAACGTTACCATTGAAGCTGTCTCATCGAACGTCGATGACCGCACCATGCATGAGCTCTATCTCTGGCCTGTCGCCAATGCCGTGAGAGGAGGCGTAGCTTCGATCATGTGTTCGGTATGCACGTCGATTCTCGAGAGTCATGCGACATGGCTGACACGCATCTTCAGTACAACAGAATCAATGGTACTTACGGATGTGAAAATAGCAAGACACTCAATGGTCTACTAAAAACTGAGCTCGGTTTCCAAGGCTGGGTTGTAAGCGACTGGGGAGCTACGCACTCTGGTCACCCAGCCATCAACGCCGGACAAGACATGGACATGCCTGGCAGTCTAAGCTTCTCAGACTCAAGTGGAGCCTCCTTCTTCGGGGGTAACATCACTAACAACGTGAACAACGGCAGCCTTGTCATTGAGCGAGTCGATGACATGGTTCGACGAATCATGACACCTTATTTTTACTTGAAGCAGCAGACGCAATATCCTCCTATCGACGGGAGTTCTCCGGACCTGCAAGGCGACAGCATCGCGGACTACACATATAACTTTACCCTGGGGCCTAGTAACGTCGACGTACGAGATCAGCATGCTCAGCGCATCCGAGAACTGGGAGCTGCTGGTATAGTCCTGCTCAAGAACGTCAACAACACTCTGCCACTCGACAAGCCCGCAAACATTGGCGTTTTCAGTAACGATGCTGCAGATATGGCAGATGGCCTTTATCTCGGAGCCAATCGTGACCTCCGCAATGTTGGCTACGACCAGGGTGTTCTACCAGTTGGCGGAGGCTCGGGCACCGGACGACTAACGTATGTTGTCTCTCCTTTGGAGGCCATCAAAGCACGAGCGGCCCAGCAAGGCAATAAACCGCTGGTACAGTACGTACTCAACAATACGCTTGTCACGAACTCGAATGGCTACGGAATACTGTTTCCCAGACCTCCAGATGTCTGCCTCGTATTCTTGAAGACATGGGCCACTGAAGGATATGACCGACCCTCCTTGCTTGTTGATTGGAACGGCACAGCCCTCGTCGAGACAGTAGCTGCACAGTGCCCGAACACAGTTGTCGTGACCAACAGCGGCGGCATCAACGCTCTTCCATTTTCCAATCATCCGAACGTGACCGCGATTCTAGCAGCTCATTTTGGAGGCCAAGAGCAAGGGAACAGTATTGTCGATGTAAGTCTCTGTCTTTTGCGTGTTGAGTCCCGCTGATTAGGCCAAGGTTCTATATGGCGATGTCAACCCGAGCGGCAAGCTTCCATATACTATCGCAAACAACGAGGATGACTACCAGTTCGTGGACATCACGAATTCTTCAGCCTTACTCAACACCTCTGACCCCAACGCTTGGCAGTCCGACTTTAGGGAAAGACTACTGATCGACTATCGCCATTTCGATTGGTACAATCAATCAGTTGCGTACGAGTTCGGGCACGGTCTCTCTTACACAACCTTCACACTCGATGATGTCGCTGTGTCAAAGGTGGACGATAGCGTAATATCTCCTGCTCCTCCAGACGCTGCGATCGTGCCAGGCGGCAACCCTCATCTCTGGACCACACTGTATCAAGTCACAGCCACGATTACAAATACGGGCTCACGTTTCGGAGCAGCAGTCACTCAGCTATACTTGAGCCTACCTCAGCCGCCGAACGGAGATGTGACACCGTTGAAAGTGTTGCGAGGTTTCGAGAAGATTGGACTTAATGCTGGAGCCAATGCGACTGTTACCTTCAACCTCGCAAGAAGGGACATCAGCTATTGGGATTCCGACGCCCAGCAATGGATTATTGGCGAAGGCGATATCGGAGCGCTTGTGGGCTTCTCCAGCCGGGACATTCAAGGAACTGCTTCGTTCACCCCGCTTGAATAAGGCGGGGATAGTCCGGAGTGCTTTGTGAAACACGGACATTGGTCGGACATGGCTATATACCTTCGCTTCGAAGAGCATCTGCCTCTACTGTACGAGCTTATGTAATCTTGGGAGTGTCTCAACTCTCAAGCTCTTCGAAGCCTATGCGAAGCTTGTCCGCAGCATTTCGCCAAGAAAGGCTCCTCGTTGGCACTGGTAAAGGCACATAGATGCATGCTCATTAAAATTGATCAGCTCGTGGCAAATAACAACAAATCTATGACTATTTCAAGCAACTCATGTAGCCTATAAATTCAACTGTCTGTTGTTACAGTCCACCAAGCGACGATCAACCCGTCGGCTCGGCACAATACACTCCGCTAACGCACATGGCATGCCACCTCAACGCTCCACTTCTGCGTGACTCGAGTGGATCTACGACATCCGATGTCACACCGTAGCAATGATCGACATCTACTCTTTCCCCAGGTCTTGCCCCAGATTCAGCATTACACGACATTTTTTTTTGGCAGCCTTCACCACGAGATGGCGGACGTCGACGAGAAAGCCATCCCTCGTGACATCGAAGCAAAAGACATCGAATCCTCAAAATCACACAACGAAATCGATACATCAACAAGACCCTACACTGGCAAAGGCACGATAGAAGACCGCAAATTAGTCCTCAAACAAGACTTACGAATCATCCCACTATGCGCTTTCATCTATCTGCTATGCTACCTCGATCGCAGGTGAGTTTTGAACACCAAAACATCAACTGCAATGCCCGCTAAAAGAAAGATTCAGCAACATCGGAAACGCCAAAGTCCTCAACCAAGAATCCGGCAACGACCTCCTCACAGAAACAAACATGACAAATCACCAATACATTATAGCACTCATGGTCTTCCTCATCGCTTACGCACTCTTTGAAGTCCCATCAAATTACGCACTCAAAAGACTCAAACCCAGCAATTGGATTGCTTTTCTCATGTTCTCTTGGGGTGCTATAACAATAGGTCTAGGTGGAACACATAATTTCGCCTCCGTTACAGCGGTGCGATTTCTTCTTGGAGTTTTCGAAGCTGGACTGTTCCCTGGACTGGTATATTATCTGACATTCTGGTACCGCACTGAGGAGCGCTCGATACGCGTTGCGTTGATTCTGGCTTCTGCGACTCTGGCTGGGGCGTTTGGAGGGGCGATTGCTTATGGGGTGGGACATATGAATGGGACGCACGGGCTTTCGGCTTGGAGATGGTTGTTTATTCTGGAGGGGATTCCGTCGGTGATATCTTCGTTCTTCGTTTATTTCTTCCTGCCTGATTACCCGGAAACGACGAAGTGGCTGTCCGCTGAGGAGAAAGCCCTTGCTGCTGATCGGCTACGCCTGGAAGGCTCGCAGGGACAGAGCGGACATATGACCTGGGCCGACGCCAAGGAGACTCTTACGGACTGGAGATTGTATGCGCATTATGCGGTCTACTTTGGGATCAGTACACCGTTCTCATCTCTGTCGCTGTTTACACCTACCATCACAGCTGGACTAGGATACGATGGCCTGAGAGCTCAGCTCATGACAGTACCTCCCTATGCTGTTGCATATGTCGTGACAGTATCTGTCGCAGCATCTGCAGATTATTTCAATGCTCGAGGCTTGCATTCATCGATTTTTGCCACGATCGGCGCCGTCGGATTCCTGGCATCTGCAGTCTTATCACCGCAAGCGTATTCTGCTAGGTATGGTTGTCTCATTGTTGCTGCCTCTGGAAGCTTCGCATGTATTCCGCCTCTACTTGGTTGGCTCAGTTCGAATCTGTTCAGCACGGCAGCTGTTGGGCTGGCAAGTAAGTTTTTCTCCCACTAATACCTTGCGCAAGAGCATCATTGACATTCAGCACAGTCGCGATGAACGTGTCTTTCGGAGCTCCAGGACAAATTGCCGGCGTGTGGATATACAAGGCCAACGAAAAAGCCGACGGCTACCCTACTGGACACTGGACCAACGCCGGCCTCTTGTTCTTCGTAGCAGCTGGCTGTCTGGCTCTAGTCTTGTATTATCGCATGCTCAATCGGCGAGCCAGAATGAGTGGTAGCGAGAGGCTGTACAAGTACTAGAATTATATCAGTCGCGAATCAGACCGAATTCTTAGTACTGTACGGATCCCAGAGTTTGCTTGTGCCATAGCCACAAATCAAGTGGTGCGAACATTTGTGAGAATATGCAGGTATCATTAGGTCATTTCCAATCCCTCTCCCGGCTCCCCCATGATTCTGTCGATATAATTATGTGTTCTCGCTCTTGGGTATCATTAAAATCGTTGCTCAAAGGTCGTCTCTCGTCACCCGTCCATTTTACAACCACACGACGAAGCCAATATTCACAAGTACAAAGGTGATGAGGGGCACCACCACTCCCATGCTCACACTGACGGCTTCGCCAATGTATCCGTCGTTGTCTCCCTTCTCAGCCGCAATGTATCCATCGCTATTCCCTTGTTGTGTGCCCTCGCTATTGCTTTCTCCATTGCTGGGGGTGGTTGTGGTGTAGCTCGGGTTTTCGGCGCTGCCGTAAACAACGCATGCTCCAGTGAAGTCTGCGCATGCGCTTGCAGCATCAGGTGTTGCGTCTGAGGTTCTTGATATTGTTACAGTTGTGGTGGATATCGTGCTATCTGCCGGAGAACTCGATCCCGCGTAGACTGTGGTCGTGTAGGGTGGGACATGGCCGGTGCCGTAAACCACACATGCTCCAACGAAATTATTGCAAGCTCCAGGCTCGGTGACGGTCTCTGTTGTCGTCGCTGTGACTATCGGGGTTGGTGATTGTGAAGTTGCGAATCGAAGAAGGAGGAAGAGCGTGAGGAAGGCATTGGTCACAGCCATGCTCCGTGGGAGATTCGGTGCTCAGCAGCTCGGTCCAGGTCAGCAGCAGAGGATTGATTGGCAGGACAATGGCATCTTGTTGGACGTGACAACCAGCGTGGGAGGTGTGGTGTTCAGCCGCGGCGCACAGCAGGTCTTATCAGGCGCATGGCGTGCACATGGCCAGGATGGAAAACATGGGATTGAGCTTTTTTGGGGAGCTACGGGCGCCGTGCATGATGCAGCAGCAAGGCAAAAGGCAAGCTCCCACGGTTTGGCCGCGCGGCCTTTGCCCGTTTGGTTGAGCAGGAACACCTCCCTCCGCCGTGAACAGGTTTTCCTTCACTTTTCCTGATGTCATTCACGTGAGTCGGCTCCTCTTGTCTTGGCATTTCCCAACCGAATGGCTTCACATCAGCCCGTCCTCTTGACTTTCCAATGGCCGACGAGAGCATGACCACCACACCTCCAAGCCTATCCACTGCCGTGCTGTGAGATGATGCAGTCGTGACTTGCATGTTGCTGCCGGACATGTATGCTCGGTGAAGCCAAGCATGAGCATGAGAGCTCCTCCACAACTCACGCTTCTAGCTCTCGTGGCGGTCTCAAAGTCGGTCATGAACAGATCCGCCTGGAGCATGAATACCCGGATAGATGCATCGAGCGATGATGTAAGTAGAAGGACAGCAAGCTGGGGATGTCTAGCACTGATCATGATGTATAACAAAATCTATCTCGAATGCATTCTTGTACACACAACCAAATCTAACTCGCCACAAGTGCCTGAACCTTCGAAGGGTCTGCCATTTCGAGCCTCAATTCTTGTCCCTGATTCACAGATCTGACTTGGATGTATCCGCTGTCCTTATTCTGTTCATAGCCGCCCGGCGCATAGCCCGACGTTGAAGCTTGTGTGACACCATACATGACGGCTCTTGATCCAACTTCTTTGACCAGCTCATCAACCTCAGCATTCGGGTGTTCATTCTTCAGGATATCCGCATTGAAAGCTTTGGCGATTTCGATGGGCGACATGCTGACTTTCCTTCCCAAGAGCCAGAAACCGTTGTACATGGTCAGGATCACAATGACCGCCGCGAGAGACAGGCCCACGGCAGCGCCGAGGTAGGCGTATTGCGCTCGGTAGACACCCATGGTGCGGATCTGGTTGAGTTGGACTTTCTGCATATCGCTTGTGTTGGTCATTGTCAAGGCGGTACGGAACATAAGCTGGCGAGCTTGTTCGAGGAAAGCTGGGACGGGATCATTGAAGTAAATGCTGCAGAGATCTTGGTTCAGTGGAGCGGGTTTCTTGACTGCTTCGGACATGTTGGCGAAGCGGGTACCTACTGGACCAGTCGAGAGAATTTCATAGCCGATTGTACCTGCAAAGCGGATGTGGGTGTAGCCGCTCATCGTCTCTTCGAGGGCGTGTGCGAAGCCTCCGAGCTCAGTTGGGCCTTGAGTTCCCGGATCCTCGTACTCGTTGGTGTGCAAGACTTTGTCGTCGTAGAGAGTTGTTTTAGGGTCAAGAGAGATGGTCGAGCTATTGCCATCGATGATGACAGGATACTCTACCGTCGCAGCTTGCAGAGCGCGGTTCTGAACCATGAGCACGCCCTCACAATCAGAGTTGTCTTTGTACTGGATGTCCAGATTCATGCGACCTGGCTGGTCGTAGACCCAGCTTAAAGCAGACCGGTAGACAAACGTGCCGGCCTGTGCATTGATGCATTCCTGGCTGATCTCTGGGTCGATGGAGTTGCAGTTGTCGCCGGGCACTACGCTGAATGGCACAGTGTAAGAGGAACAGTTGACAGATAAGCCAGCGGCTTTCAGGCGACCACTGCACTTGCCATCACCGGAGCAGCCAGTCTTGTTGGCAGGTATGCTCCGTCCGCTTTCGAAAGCTCGGAACACTGGCGCAAAGTCCTCGTGCAGCAGTGGGACAACCCGGAGACGGCCAGACATGTATCCAGTCGGAAGATCAATCCTCTGCGCAGCCTGGATGCTGACATCGACATTGGATACAGCTTTCGAGATCTCGACTTCCGACGAACGTTGAAGCAGTGGTCCATTGAGAGGCGTAATAGTCAGGAAAAGCGTAACGAACGCGATGAAGTTGAAGTGTCTCCCTGCCTTCAAACTTGCGAGCGCCGAGCTTCCATAGTCCCAATTGCGATGAAGATCTCCAATGTTTGTGCCGTCTGCTATTGCTCTCTTCCACCAATTTATCGTAGCACCTCGGCTCATTGCATCTTGAAGAAGGACATTGGCGATGGTATATGCGAACGATACATAGACCGAAGGTGAGTATTTCCAGCTTCCGATTGGTCTACCGTCTGAGAAGAAGAGGATGGCCACGGCTCCAGCAATACACAGAAGTGCTAGGGAAAGGGCGAGTAGCCCGACCCAGGGCATGCGTCGAAGGACGCCGCCTCTCCAGGCATGTCTGTCAGAACGAGTTGCATCGCGGTACTGTTGAGCGACATTCGAGCGCTCTTGCAGTCCCAGGTCTCTGAGGCCGACGTTGACCATGATTAGCGACGTCGAAGAGCAAAAGACGGTAATTGTGGTTGATAGTGAACGATGCGCAGACGCACGATACTTTATGTGTATTCGTTGACATGGCACCTAACATAGCCCATACTCAAGCCTAGATTTAGGAGCCACATTACGAGATCCGCATGCTATACGGTTTTTCCGGTCTCGCTCATCAATGTTGTAACAATCCTGCGGATTCTTCTCAGCATTTAGCTTTGGGGGCGTTTCTTGGCACCTTCCCTGAATTGATAGACAGCTACTCCAGCGGCCTTGGCTGCGACGCCAACGTCAGCGAAGCTGCATTGGGGCTCAGAGAAACCTGTGGAACACGACCATGAGCGTACTGGTATGCTTATGAGATATTCGTCGGTGGTACGGAGTTCGCGAGGGTCTCCTGAGGCGCTGCGCAAGCATGACTAAGGTGTTCATCGGCTTGCGGCTGATGAGAAACTGCTGAATGGGCGGTATCTCGAGTGACTATATCTTGTCCCAGGGATAGCGCGCAACGTCTCAACTTCCAGAACCATACGATCTTTTCATTGGAGAAGTCCAGCAAATGCTCCCGCTTCGAAGTGTCCACACGCCCAAGATGTTCTTCCTTGCTGCTGTCAGCTCGCTTCTACTGGCCTCGAAGACGATGGCTACCGGGCTCCCTTCGTTGCCAGCCCGGACAGTGCTTGCTGCAGACAAGCTCGGTGCACGAGAGTGGTCTCCAGGACCCACTCATCCTCCAGCCTTTCTGCCTCGTCGCCAGAGTGATGAGCTGTCCCCACTTTGCGGCTATGCGGAGGGCGATGCTGGTAAGTCCACCGACCTTTGTCCTGCCTGACTTGTACTGACACTTGTCCTAGCGATGGCCATTCAATGCACCGGTGGCGAATTCTGCGGGTTCAATCTGACATACAATGCTTTCGGCTGCTGCTCGTCGGTTGTCGCCGCGGAAGAACAATTGCTGGGCGAATGCGGGTACTACACGACATGCCTGGATTTTGAGGAACCTTGCGATGCTGCATGTCAGGCCAACAAGGACATCTACCGATGCACTGAATCTGCATTCCCCAAGTGTGTCAAGTACGAGTTTGCTATCGAAGGAGCAACTCTTACCAACTATGGTTGCGCGGATACCGTTGCGAGCCCCACAGAGGTATTGCAAGTACTGAGCACCACGGTGGCAGGCGGAGGCGCAGGGGCGTCCGGTGCGGCGTCCAGTGGATCGACTGGCCTGGACTCACTTATCGAGAATCTGTTGTCAATCCCGTCTGCGATAGATGCGGTGCCCAGCCAGCTGCCATCGGGAATATTGACCTCTGCCGCGACGACACCAACGGACAGCGTGTCAAGGTCAGTCACCCGAACACAGGGGACAGCCGATACATCGGGTGGCAGTTCCGCTCAGCAGACTGGCGAGTCTTCCTCTTCACAGGCTGAAGACAGCGCGGCAACTGCCGTGGGTCCAAAGGCGGCCGCTGTCGCTGGCGCGCTCTTCTATGCAAGCATCTGGGCGCTGGCGAGAGTATTGTAGACGGCCAGAGCAGCTGTGGGCGGGTTGGTAGTAGTGGACCACAATAGACTAGACAAGCACATGTTCACACAAGCATTGAATTTCCTCTCATTCCAGTCGCTTTCATGCAGAGCCACTTGCCATCGCAGACTTTGAATTCGGAAATAGTCATCGAGTGTATGGTGACTCCTGGGGGTCTGCCGGTGATTTCCATGTCCGTGAAGAGCGAAGCCAGTCCTCTCTTGGGATCGACTTTCGAAGTCATGCCCAGTATTCGCACTTTTGACTGAGGGAACTCCAGTGCCCCTCGGCGATGGTGGTCGACCCAGCCCGGCAAATCTTCTGCCTTTTGGTTGTGCATACTAGCCATGAAGTCTTGGTCGTAGCCATCTATGTTAACGGCTTTGTCATATTGCCTCGTGTTGAGGAGCTCGGTATTCATGGCGAAGAAGCTTTCTAGATGCTCACGGATCTTGCGGATATCGGTGCAGTCTCCAGGTAGGCGTGTGAGAGGACTCTCCAGTTTATGATCGCCATCTTTGCCGTCCAGAGACACGGGCGTCAAAGGCTCGTATTCGCTCATGACCCACGCCATGCGCTTTGCTGCTCTGCGCGGTGCTCAAGAATCTGTGGCGGGATGCAAATGTCGCGAGCACGGATTTGGCAATATGCTGTTTTGGTGCATGTTGATCATCGTGCGCCATGGAGGTTAGAGAAGGACATGCGAAAAGTGGCGCAGGTGGAGGTGTGGTGGTACAGTTTCACGTAGACCAGTGGTGGGTACCTGCCGAAGCTCTAACTTAGCCTTGGCATCTCTAAGATCAACAACAACTCGAGCTCGGAAATCTTGAGCACAGAGTGGACATCTCGCAAAGATGGTGAAGGCGCTGACATTCAAGGGCGACAAGAAGCCGCCCAAGAAGCGCAAGAGAGAGGCAAAGGAGGGCGACGATGCCGACACACCTTCCTCCAAGCAGCTCGTGTCTACGCAGAATGCCGAAGCCGACGACGACGAGAATTGGGTGTCTGCGGACGCCATCGACGACGTTGCCGGACCCGTGATCCTCGTGCTGCACTCCGAGCCAGTCGCATGCATCGCCGTCGACCAGCTCGGCCGAGTCTTCACGAGCAAGATCGAGAACATGATCGAGGGCGAGCCACATTCGGCGGAACCACACGATGTGCGACAGGTATGGGTCAGTCAGAAGATTGTGGGCATGGAGAACAGCTTCACATTCAAGGGTCATCACGGGAAATACTTGGGCTGCGACCAGTATGGTATTCTGTCATCGACTCGCGAAGCTGTGTCGCCAGAAGAGACGTTCAAAGTTACACCGGCAGAGGGCAAACCAGGACAATTTGAGATTGAGACGATGCGATCTACGTTCCTGTCTGTAGACGGCGACAAGACACCTGCCGAAGTTCGAGGCGATGCAGAGGCTGCGGGCGAGACAACGAGCATTCGCATCCGTATGCAAGCTCGCTTCAAACCAAAGCACAAGACAGAGAAGGCGGAGAAAGTGCGCTCAAAAATTACTCGCAAAGAGCTGGAAGCTGAGGTGGGAAGACGATTGGACGATGATGAGGTGAAGAAGCTGAAAAAGGCGAGGAAAGAAGGCAATTATCATGAAGCTATGTTGGACGTGAAAGTCAAGGGCAAACATGACAAGTTCGCCTGAAGAGCTGCCATGTTACAATGGCTCCTGCGCAACCCCTCTCATCCTGGATGAAAGACGGCATCGTGAATAATTGGTTCCAGCTAGCCGCAATTTGGCAACTCAGCGAGTACAATCGCGATCGCCAGGGTGTTCGCCCCTGCCCAGCCGCTCAACGAAGACACGCACTCTTTCAAGATCTGCTGGCTCTGGTGCTGGCGAGATCTGAATCTGCGACGGAGAGACGTAATCCGAGAATGGTCGGCCCAATGTCTGCGGTGTCGAAGGCAGCTCGGCTGAACGTCTACCAGCTGCTGGCGTTTCTGGAAGTTCATCTCCTGTAGCTTCTCCAGCACTGGAAGAACGAGTGTTACGTTCTGCCCCATTCGCGACTTGCTGGAGATTTCCAGCACTGAAAGAACGCGAGTCGCCACTGGCTCCAGCCTCTTGTTGCGCAGCTTCCTCCAAAAGACGTCTCACAGACGGAAGTGTGGCCAGATCACCACTTGGAATCCGAGCTGGACGAGTTCGAGCTGGCGGTGTAGGCGTGTCGGAGTCTGTCACGCTATACGTGTCGTCGAAGCGTTGTTGCTGGCGTTCTTGGAAGCGGAAGCTCGTAGCCTCACTTGCAGCGCTTGGTCCGCGTGCCAAAGGCTGCTCTTCGCGTGGAGGCGACTCTTGACGCACCCCCGATCTCAACCCGATCTTTCTGTTCTCTTCAGCATTGCGTTGCGCTTCGCGAAGCCTCTCAAGCTGTTCAGAATATTGGCGATCCTTTTCTTCCTCCTCACGCTCAAGCTGTTCCTTTCTCTCCTCCAATGCCCTCGCCCTGTTCCAGAGCGTGGACCTCTTCTCCAGCTCTTTCTCCTTTCCCTTCCCCTTGCCACCCTCCCGCGCATCTTGCTCCGTCTCGCTAGGCACAAGTCTCGCAGTCGGACTGTAGATCACCGGCGGCTCAGTGACTTGATTCGCAAACCGAGGATTTGGCGGGATGCTTCGCTCATATCCAGGCAGTCTTTCCACGCGGACTCTCTCGTCGTTTCTCGGCCTGATACTGTTGCGCTCCATTGGGCTGAGTTCGTAAATTTCTGGCCGTCTGCGATGTGTTGGCGTGGTCATCGGGCTTGAAGCAGGAGTTGGTGGTGGGTTGCGCTGCTCTCTGTCTAGACCATGGAGGTCCTGGTGACGTCTGCTGCAGCAGCAGCAGAAGAGGTCCGCGATGTATTCGCAAATGCACTTCGGTGATTCATACCAAGGTTGAGTCGTTCGTCCTGGTGGACGGTCTCGGCTATTGTGTCCGCTCATGGTTGCGAACTGGGACTGGGTACAACGAATTGGTAATGTTGCATTCGAGATACTGTTCACGACTCCATATTTATTCCTCTGGTCGAAAGCAGTGAATGCATGTTTGCTTCAGCGAGACCTTTGCGTCGCAGTCCAAAGACTTCTTTCATGCGTGTTTGACCAAGAAGAATGAGTTCATTGTTTTGCAAACAAGCAGCACGAGTGTTCAGAATCACAATCGCAATTACCACGACTTGGAACTAGAGTCTGCTCCGAGATTTGGCTGTAGCAATTTCGAGAACACGTAGGAAGACTGAACAGACTGGTTTCTTCTCGAGTACAACGTGAACGTTGATTGATCAGATACCTGACCCAACGCAGCTTGTGTACAAGAAATGTACAAAGACTTCGATGCCATTCATCCATACCTCGTGCGCTCATCATGACCCAAAGAAATGTCTGTAACGTCCATACCAAACGCCTCGCTGTGTTCGCTAAATGCCAACAAGAAGGGGTATCCAAAAGTGTAAACAGAATCAACATCATCAAGCCGTGCCCACGCGGCCAAGTGGCCGCTTATTACTGCTTCCGCTGGTAATCTTCCTTAGCAAATCGCCGTTGGTAGCCTTAGAAGACAACGCCGAGCTTCGTCGCCCCTTCTGGTCTCCATCTTCACTCCCCGCGACCACAGTCGCAGAAGACTGCGAGCCACTGCGTTGTTCTGGAGAGAGTTTCTCCCCGCTGCCATACTTCTTCTCCTCAGCCTCGTCCGTGGCATACGTGGTATACTTTTGTCCGCCGCCAGGTGGCACTTCGACATCTTCCCCGTCTCCGGTTGCTTCCATGGCACTCGTCTTGGGTGCTTCAGCTGCTTGCATTTCCCGCATGCGTTTGGCGAAGTATTTCTTGAGATCATCGCCTCGCTTTGCGTGCTTCAGCGCTCTGCTTGCTGTATTGATATTCTCAAGTGCCCCAGCTTTCTGCCACCGCCGTTTCTCTCGATTGAGCTTCATGCGATTCACGATACCGCCACCGACAGGTCCGTATGCATCGTACGCTGCTTGCCAGACATCCTCGTAGACTTTCCAGCCTTCGAGCACCTGATTCTCAATTGCCTGCAGTTGTTCCATCTTCTCAGGATCATCCTGCTGCTTGAGCGCCTGTAGATCCTTCGTGCCTTGGACAAGATGTGCTCTGCGAATAAAGGCTTTTGATCCAGGACCGTTGTCTGCATGTCGCTTTTTGATGTAGATCAACATGCCCTTGCCCACGTATGCCGGCGGCGAGATGACTGCTGAGATGTTCTTCATCACGAATCCTCCAAGGCCCTTACCGACTCCAGTACCAAAGCCGACCAATTTTGCTCCTGCTGTGTCGCCGTCTTTGAAACCTCCTCTGGGTAGCGTGACTAGTCCTGTCCATGCGTCGTAGATGCCGTAGACGAATTCTCGCCGACCAGCTGTGAAACCTGATCGTACGCCGGTGATTCTGATGGGCTTCCTGACAGTCGAATCGCCCCACAAACGAGGAGCGTTGTGGAAGCCTTGGGCGATAGCCAGATGTAGGTCATTTGGCATGGTCAGGAATGCCCAGCCGGACTGCTTGAAGCCTCGGTGGAAGTCACTGGCAAGCTCTTTGAACACGGGCTGAGCTGCTGCATCGACAGAGAGCTCCGTGGCCACTGTGTTCGTAGTGTCGTTCCGTGTTGCGGGAGGCCGACGATTCGTGTTCTGCTCCGACTCCTCGTGTGGCTGACTTTCGGCGGCTTGCTCAGCCTTCTTCTTCCTCCGCTCCTCTCTGCGCTTCTCGCGCTCAGCTTTCTTGCGCTCCATTTCCGCATGCTTGCATATGTGCTTCGCCATCCTGACAGGGACCATGCCAACTCCAGTACCAATGCCGTACAGAGAGTCTGTCAGAGCGCCAAAGGTACCTGTAAGTGGTTCACCTGGCCCATCGAAGTCGTTCCACGAGACCTTGTGCAAGAGCTTGAGATCGCTAGCCTTGAGCTTGCCATTTTCCACAAGGATCTCTGCAGCAAGCGCAGACAATCGAAGAACAGATCCTTTAATCCTCCACTCGGCCACTCTGTCCTCAAGAATGGAGCAACGAATAGTGCGAAGCCCAGCTAGGGGCAGCGAGCGGTGGAAGGAAGCCACTGCATTCGCAGCACCATCTCCCTCTCGCTCGATACCCTCCGCCAACTTCTGCACGTTACGTTGTGCCTCTTCTGTCAGACATTGCTTGATGCCCGTGGCCAGTTTTTGAGCAGTAAGTTGCTTCCATGGCACGACTTCGTGAGCGCCGGCTTTCGCTTCTGAAACTCGCGCGGCCCAGAATGGTTGATCGCCGAAGAATGGCACAATCATGGTCGGCTTGGCGCATTTCAGGCCAATAGCAGTAGTGCCGGCACCGCCATGATGCACAACGGCCTTCACTCGCGGGAAAAGCCAGTCGTGTGGGACGTTGTCAAGCATGAAGATGTTATCGGGTGTATCATGGTTGCTGACACCTAGGCCGCCCCATCCTTTGTTGACCAGCGCACGAACTCCTGCGATCTTGGTGGCTTCAAAGATCATCTCCGTAAACTTGTTCGGGTCATCAACGACGATCGACCCGAAGCCAATGTAGATTGGCGGTGAACCAGCATTGAGGAAGTCCTCAAGATCCTTGTCCGGTTTGAAGTTCTTGGCCATTTCCAGAAAGACGAAGCCAGAAACATCAATCTCCGGCCCCCAATCTGATGGTTTCGAAACCAATGATGGACTCCACATATACGTATATGGAACGTGCATACGATAGAGCGCTCCCGGTGCCCAGAGTGAACTGACTGGCTCGAGACCCAGAGTCTTAACTCTGAATCGGTTGACAATGTCTCCGAGACCTTGCCAGGTCATCATCTCCACGAGCGGATAGCTCATGAAGTTGATGTAGTTCGGGTCAACATTAGATTTACTGTGCTTGATATTTGCAAGAGGGTGTGGAAAGGCCTGATCGGGGTCAGCAAACGCTGTCCTGCATTTTCGCACACCTGTATACACTCCATTGACTGCCAGATACTTACCTGAGTAGGAGTGTAAGGAAACGTAAACATGATATGCAGCGGTATACCAAGCCGCTCTGCAATGTGTACATGTGCCATTGAAGGAGGGTTTGCGATAATCGCATCCGCCTAGCGTAAGGTCAGCGTGTAATCCTATGCCCCAGAGGTGTGGAAAACTCACAACGAACGGAAATTTGTCCCCAAGCAACTTCATATTGAGCGTGTCCTTCTCATCATCCGTGGCATTGACACACGCACGATACATCCCATCAAACATCTCGGCCATCCCATCTCGTCGCCTTTTCACTTCTCCTTCGCGTATCGTTTGTAGGTTGGGAACGAGCCCTGGATTCTTCACCATGAACGCCATAAGTTCCGATGGATTACCACCGATGCTAAAGAACTCCAGACCGCCATCCTTCTCGACGAAGTCTCGGAATGTCGGATGCGTCGCTATTCGTACTCGATGCCCGTGCTCTTCTTTCAAGATCTTGCCTATCTTCAGAAAAGGCTGAATGTCTCCACGGCTCCCAATGATCATGATTACGATATTCAGCCGAGGTTTGCCTGCTTTCGCGGGGAGTGAGGATGCAATGGAAGAGGCATCATCCTCTGCACTGCGATCTGGATGCTCCGCCGCATATCTTCGTTGCTTTCTGTCGCGTTTGTTCGGAATGTCCAAATGATGTCTAATGCTGTGACCCAGAGCTTTGGCGAGATAGCCGCTATTCGCTGTCTCGTTGATCGAAATCTTCAATCGGCCATCGTTCTTGGAGACTTTGCCCTTAGTGCGAAAGTACTCGTTTCCAATGTGAAACTTCGAAAACGACAGTCCTTGTTTCGCTGCTTTCTTTTGCTCCTCCTCCTCCTTCTGCTCGACCCTGCTCTGCACTCGTTTCGGCTTCTTTGGCTGGGGCGTCGCTCGCCTGTCCTCTTCATCATCGGTACTAGAGTCTGACTCGGAGGACATGGGATCGAATTGGTATTGGTAGGGATGTTGCTTGCGTCTCATGGCTCTCAACAAGGTGCTGCTTCGAGTCGGGGGCTTCGGTCTGCTCATGGGTGCTGTACTGGCTCGCTTTCTTCCAACAACTGTTGGTCCCGTTTCGTCCGGATTGGATGGATTTGTGATCGACTTCACAATGTCGTCCGTTTCACCCGGAAACTCTGAGAAGTAATCACCTTTGATCCCCGGCGGCGTCTCGACCCGCTCACGAGGTCGTTCATCTTCAGCTTCGTTGTCGAGAGATGCTCCATGTTGGACGCTAGGCAGAGCGTCGATTGTCGAGACGGATGACTCGCCTTCATTGTCCAGTCGCGTTGGCTCACCAGCGCTCAGTGGCGTTTCCACTGCCTCGATGGCGGGCGGCATCGAAATGTGTGGCCGCGAGCTTCTGCCGCTGCTCTTTCTGCCGGAGACCCAAGCTGCAAGTTGTTCAGGTGGAAGGAACGAACGCTTCGACCGCGGAGGTCCCTCAAATATTACTAGCAGCGCTGCAAGCTGAGCATGTGCTTTCGTTGTCGCGATACAGGGCACACCCTTCTAGAACCCCAGGCGCGTCGTGCACGCATCAACTGAGAGTTACTAAGATCACTAAGCTCTTACCGACGGGTGCCGGAACACGTGCTGAAAGATGACAAGGACAGTCTTGACGTAGCTGCAGACAAGCTTTTGGACTACTGTGCCTGTGAGATGTGACCTATTGAATCTGGTGCACGGTGCGTTGGAGAAGACTACTGTTTGGGCCAGCGTGAGAAAGCAAAAAAGCATGGCGACGTCAGAGCAGCCCAGGCACAGTTTCGGTCGGCCGCGGCATCCTGCAAGAGCCGTAGCCGGCAGCAACCATTGTGACCGGCGCCGCGAGCGATTGACTGGACTGAAGCTGACAAGGTAGTCTAGATCTCGTACCGTAAGCACGAAGACTCCGCCGTCTGTTTTGTCAAGCTCCGCAGGGAGCAACGCACGAAGAATGACACGCTTGTGTTCTGCAACGCGTGAAGTCGTGTTGAGCTTTCTCGAAGCCACAGACGCGCCTGGCAATGGCCCGTGCCTGATCGACCCACTCGTCGATCCTGTGGCGTCGCGGACGTGTGATGATGTAGCTCTTGTGAGACCACGAGACCCATTTGGAAGTCTGTACAGGAGCGGCATGCGCAGGGTGAAAGTCGTAGTGCAGAGGACTCTGATCGACAACGTTGGATTGAGCCAGGCCAACTTGTCCGTCAGCAATGTCGCGCAACCACGTAAAGAATGCCGTAAGATGGTGATCGGCGACAGGATGAAAGCGATTCCCGAGGGACGCCGGCCAGCTTACAGGCAAAGGGGATGAGAACTTGTGAGATAGCAGTATGTTTGAATTGCTTTCGCTTTGTACGATTGTTGGTGAAAAACATTAGCTGAGGTGGTATCATCAAAAAACTTCAACGCCCAGTGCCGATTGCATGCCACCAGTGCCGTCTCGCTCAAGCTGCAGCTGAAGTATAAAATACGAGAGTCGTTCCATTTTACAATAAACGTGATACACAGATTCGTCGTGCCGTTGCTGCCGGTGCCATCCAAGGCATGTCTTTTTTTCGCGTATTCAAAGCGGCGTTGGTCCTCTCCCTGCTTGAGCGGAGGACGTTAGCCAGCCTCGTCACATAAACATTCGTCATCGTTGTGAAGGTGATGCGAAGGGCGAGGTCAATTTAGACCTGGGACATTGCTGGGCCACGGCGGATACCCTTTGGTGCACTGCCTCCGCTGATGCCACTGCTGCTGAGGAAAGTGGTGGCGACAAACGCAGCGAAGCCAAACCACAAGAAGGCGCAAGAAGCTTGCGCTTCACGGCAGGCTGCGGCTGGGTTGCTGGCGCCTCGAGAGACGCTGTTGGTGCGGACGTAGCCCTGATTGGGGGTTAGCACTTGAGCTCATGTCGCGTAATCATTGGAGCAGCTTACATCGTTGTTGCAGCTGTGCACACCAAGGCGGGCGGCAAGCGCGACGGCGGCGCAGAACCAGAAGATGGTAAGGAGGAGGTCGAGGACGAATGGCAACATGCCGTGGACTGCGAATCGCTCGTTGAAGGTCGCCGGTATCAGGAAGAACAGGCAAAGCATGGCGAAGGCGGCGCAAAACATGGTGTAGCTGGGTCACGGTTAGTCGATGTCTCGGATGCAGCAGTCTGCGTTGAACTGTTGCGCGTACTTGTTGATGGCCGGGTCGGCGCCCATTGCGATCGCGTTACCGATGATGGCCATGATGAGCAAGCTCATGAAGAACTGGAAGCCACGAAGGCCGAGGCCGAGAAGCTGTGCCATGCCCATGTCGACGGTGTCGTGGGAGGTGTTGTCGTGAGTGTTGATGCGGTGTTGGAGGTGCGAGAGGACGAGGATGACGGGTCAGGAGGCAGGTGCGACGGCGACAGCGGCTTTATTGTTTGGCGTGGCAGACGGGATGGGCGAGGGAGAACGGGTGGGCAGAGAACCGGTATAAGAGGTGTGCAGCAATAAACGTGTAAGCCGACCTTTCCGTGGTACGTCACTGCCAAACTTTGTCTGGGTCGATGTCGTCGCGCATGGAATGAATCACTGCAAACGTGCGAGCAATGATGATGCAGACACCTCACTTTTGGCTGTGTGTCTCCTCGGCCATCACATCGATGGTCTAAACGATACTGCTGCTGCTTGGGAGGTGCTGCTTGGCGGGTGCGCTCTTCGCGCCCTCCGCGCAAGGCGTTGTCGTGATGACGATCTGTTCCCTGCAATCCCAGTCTCCAGATCGCGCCTGTTGCTCTGGTCAATGCGTTGTGGTGCCACAATCACAACCCGCAAAGCCACATTCCACACTCTCGAATCTCGTACTGCACGCGCTGTTCCACGTCCGTCTCGACGCTTCAGGCATAATTCGTGCTGCTGCTGCTGTGCTAGTCTGCGATCAGCCTCTGTCGTGAATGCATAGCTTGAGCCACGATGCTCCTTCGAGCCGACTGCCGAAACTGTGGCTCAATGATCTTCGTCCCGCATGAGTTCGTGCAGCAAATCCGTCATCAAGACACACTGCCAGAGCGCGTCTGTTAGGTCGCTGTCCTTCCACAAGCCTTTGTTCAGAGTGGTAGAAAATCCAACCTTTGAGGCAGACACGCCATGGACTGTCCTATCTTCTCACTCGTGTTTCACAGCTATCGTGCATTCGTCAGACCACATCATTGAGAGCACTAAAGCAATGAACTGACACGCTCGTACTTTGATACAATGATTACCAACGAGCTTCTTCGATACATGCACGTAGCATCTTGATAGCTTATGTAGAACAAGCCATATTCCTTCTTTCCTCTTTGGTTGTACACTTTGCGATAGCAAGTCCATGAATTACTCGTACTACGGCATACGTGCCACTTCCACCATCCCGGGGAACACATCCATCTCCGCCTCGACCTCTTTACCGCAAGAACAGCAGAAGCTGACAGATCGCCCCCTGGGGAAGACATCGAAGCCGGACATAGGTCCAGCTATGTCGTCGGAGCAGAGAAGGAAGTTAGCGAGGATATCCTGTTGGTAGCCTGGGAGCAGCTGAATGTATCCATTCTCGCGACTAGTCCCTCAACACATGGCGTCGGAAGCAGCAAAAGCATGCCGTTCAGCATGAGCGAAGGAGTGGCATACAGCCCCGTCGGGCAGCATTGTTATGGTCTCGCGGGCAGAGTCTCCTGAAAGCTGCGCACTGCAGACAGATAGTCGTCCAGTTTGATTGCTCCTGCAGACCAGATCATGAGGACATCGACAAGGGGAGTCACGCGTCGTGTCCTTCGTCTGGATGGCTGAGAATTCGAGTTCCGCATCGAATTCTCAAATTTGACTGGTTTCTGAACGTATCCGACAACATTCAGCCAGGATCCAACCTGCAGCAAATCATGGTTGACATTTTCAAGAACATTGTCGATAGTCGCTAGGAGTGTTGGGGTCTTCGACCTGGTTCCAGGGTAGTCGATCTTCAAGACGAGCGTTGCACTTTCAACGTGGTATGCATGGACACTGCATACAATCAGCGCGAGAAGCACTGCAGTCGCGTGGCACTGACCAGCCCAGCACGCGAATTTTGGTGCCTGGTGATTGGAGCTGTGCTTGATCGAGCAGTATCAATCGTGCTGGTTCGGGTCTACGATTCGCTGGGTCGTGTTCAGACATCTCGTGGAGCGATTCATCTCCACGCACTTGGAGGAATTGTGAGGGCGAGAGTGTGTTATTGGGAAGCACATGGAAAGAAGAAGCGTCTGGAACAAGGTTCGCGGCGGGCTTATCTGCACGTGAGGGGTGCGCGGGCCACTCAACATGACCGCATCGCTCAGGCCGACGTTTGTTCCACCCGCCGCAAAGACGACGGGAGGCAGCCACGAGATAGACACGGCCACGCTCCGCTAACTTGCTGCCTCGACACCTCACTTGACCACCTCACCGGCGCAACATCTTCTTCGCTCGACCTGAGTCTCACTCCTCACACCTCTCCACGAAGCACGATAATCAGCAACGACCATTTTGCGGGACCATGGCTTCGTGGGGCTGGGGCAACCTCTTCGGAGGAGGTGCTGCAGCAAAGAAAGATGCCCCGAAGAATGCCATCCTGCGGCTACGAAGCACACTCGAGATGCTGTCCAAGCGGGAGAAGCACCTGCAAAACCAGATGGATGAGCAAGATGCGATAGCGCGAAAGAACGTGACCAGCAACAAAGCTAGTATGTGGACATAGCCCTCACCACGCATCGCGCCAGGGGAAAACCGACTGACCCGCCCCATCTAGTCGCCAAAGCAGCCCTCCGACGAAAAAAAGCCTTCGAACACCAACTCGAACAAACCAGCGCCCAAATGATGACCGTCGAGCGCGAAATCTCCTCCATCGAAACCGCCAACATCAACAAAGAAACCCTCGACGCCATGAAGGGCGCCCAACAAGCCATGAAAAAAATCCACGGCGACCTCTCCATCGAAAAAGTCGATCAGACCATGGAAGACCTCCGAGAACAACACGCAATCGGCGAAGAAATCGCCGATGCCCTCACGCAAGGAAATTCGATGCAAGGCGTGGATGAGGATGAACTCGAAGACGAGCTGGCAGAATTGCAGCAGGAAGAACTGGATAATAAGATGTTGCATACAGGGAATGTGCCGGTTAGCGATCAGATATCGAGGTTGCCGAATCAGCCTACAGGGGAGATTAAAGGGAAACAGCAAGCTGTTGAGGATGATGAGGAAGAAGAGCTGCGGAAGCTGCAGGCGGAGATGGCCATGTAAAGTGCGAGGAGAAGAAATGGGAATATGCATGCATGATCGTGGGTACAGTTGGTGGGCAGCGCTGGTCCTTGGGGGAGTTTCTGATTCGTGCCCTGCTTTCTTGGTTCACTCTCCAGATATCCAGAGACTTTTACAGCCTTTCTCAAACGATGTCATGAGATGGAGCTCTGAATCATTTCATCCCATTTCATGTTGGTATTTGGCTCGAGACCAGCCCGGAGGAGGCTCTCGTGTACCCAGGTCTCACCATGGGTCTGCACACGGCACAGCGTCCAGAAGCGAAAAACATGAACGACGGAGAGGAAGATCACAAAGAAGAGGCAAATCGAACCTCACATGGGTGGTATCATTCAGTCTTGGCTCTGACTATATCCCTAAACTCCATCCAAGAACCATCCATTCAATACCTCACAGCATTTTGATGCGCGGGTCTCTGAGAGAAACATAAAAAAACCGAGTATCCTTCCTTCTACACATACCAGAGCGAGGAAAAAAGAAATGCAGTAGTTCATAGCTCGTAACCGCTTTCCGAGCCAGCTCGTACCAATCTTCTGTAATGGGGTATTGCGCTCCTTTTTCCAAAAACTTCATCCTCATCTCTGCTGTCCAATATGCTCAAGCAACCTACTTTGTTGCATGCACATCGCTAAAGGGGCTCTGGTCTCGTTTCCCGCCGATACCATCGTGTTCAGGTTCTTGTGAAGCTCGTTTTGCGGCTTCTTCAATCACGGCACTCAGACCACCCGGCGTTCTGTTGTCGTTGCGCTTGGGTCGCGGGCCGGAACCGACAGATGCTGACATAGCCGCGTATGGGTTGGGCCGCGAGCCTTGCGATGATGAAGACGCCGATGTTTGCAGCTCGGTAGCGTCAAAGAATGGGCTCTCGAGTGGCTGTATGAGCGGCGCAGGGCTGGCAGCCGCTGCAGTCGTCTCTCTAATGAGGCTCTTTCGCGCTCGTGCATGCTCGTCCTCCTCATCGGACTCATTTGCAGTCTCAACTAGAGGAGAAGGTTTCAGTGGCTTCGTGTTTGAACTTCCCGTGGAGGATGATGCGTCGCTGGCCTGCCGCGACACACCAGGTGTTCGAACCTTTCCTTTACCACCTATGGTCACCGGTGTAGCCTTGATAAACGTGCCGCCAGTGTGATGCGAGGAGCTCGGACTTCCATTCGATGACTTCTCCCCAAGCATGACAGTCTTGACCCCGCTCCCTGACGAGCTTGGAGGCGCCAGTGTTGGCGCACTTTCCATAGATGGTGTAGATGTGGCAGATGTGCCTGACTTAACAGACACCATTCTCGGCAGGGCTCGGATGACTTGTGTTGCTGGCATGGGCTCTGTGGTGGCATCGTCACGGTAGACGTCGGACATCATGGAAGACCGAGCCAAGGAGGGAGTGATAGAGTGCGTTGTGTATTGAGTGTCCCTCTTCCCTGACCGCAAGGATGAGCTGTCCGAGTACATGGTGTCCCGTAGGTCTGAGGGTCGGAAGAAGAGAGCGTCGCCTTCATTGCTAAGGGGGCTCTTCGGTGTCGTGGTCCGGGATGTTTGATTGGCATACGCAGCTGGAATCGGAGGCACAGGAGCAGCATTCAGCAGACTGTTGTGGCCTGATCCGTTTCGGTTTGTGACACCAGGAATATATGCAATGTGGATGATGTTGCTGGCCCGACTGAGGAAGCTGGCCGCCACTGAACCTCTTGTCCTTGTGGATGCATTGTCTGACTTCATGGCATTGAACTGCGACACGCCCTTTTGCGACGCGATCTCGTCGTCCTCGTCCCATTCCTCTTGTTCTTGCCGTCGCTTCTTAATCCAGTATCGCCAGAACAGGAAGACGATGAGGGAGATGAACACCACGCCTCCGATAACACCACCAGCAATCGCCCCGACGTTCGGTTTCTCGGCTTTGGGCGTAGGATTGGGATTGGCAATGCACACCATGTGGGCGCAGCTGTCACAGCTCTGCGGTACCAGAGAGCAGATGTCTCCCTCTGGACATGCTGGGCATGTTGGTGTCTGCGGCTCGCATTCTACGCATCGCTTGAAGATGTTGCGCATCGTCCTTTCGACCTCTGCCCTGGCATTAGCTCTGGGAGGCATGTCCGCAGCCTGACGGCGTGACCCACCATTGGCAGCGCTTCCGTGCGCCATGGTCGCAATCCCACCGTCGCGATAACCAGCGCGACTTTCGACCTCGTGTCCTCAAAGTGTCGGTTCCCTCGACGCTCGTGGTATCCCTCGTCCTGCGGTCCCTGAATGCGCGTCGCACAGCCTAAAGACGGCGTCTTACGCCGCGCGGGTCAATGCGGCTGCGGATAATCTCCTGCTTGGTCCAGTCTCAGCCTCTCGATTGGGCTCTCTCGCGCTGCAGTCCCAACAATAATCAAGATGACGGAATCAGACTGAAAATAAAAGAGCGACTGTCGAAGATTCGGAGCAGAGCGGTGCAGCAGTAGTGGTGAGGGTGTTGTTGCGGCAGTGGTGGTGATGGCGGGCGTGGTGCTGATCTGCTGTCTCGGGATGGGCTGCCGTTGAGCGCCGCGTGTTCGAGACTCGTCAGTCTCCACTCTTCCACGTGCAAGAACTCCACTTTCTTTATGCTGCCTTTATGGAACCCAAATTGCATGACAGACCCTATCGCACCACGCTATCGGCAGAACAAAGCAGTCGATCTCGCTGTCATTCTCAAGCACAATCCTAAGCAAATATCGATGAAGCGTTTCCACTGCCGAGATGTGCCTGATCCCAGAAGAAAGCGCACAACTAGCCAGGAGCACATCTCTGCGTTAAGACCAGTGAGCCGGGGCGACAAGGCCGTATGCTCACAAGTCTGCGTGCACTGCATCGATATGCAGTACCTCATAGGAACCTCCATCAAAGCTGATCAAAGTGGTGCCATTAACTGACTCGATCCTGCCCTATAGATCCACTAATCTACAAGGAAAGGAGAATTTTATGAAAATGGGTAATTGTCTCGTCGTCACATTCATATCAATGCATCAATCAGTATGCAAATGAGGCAAAGCGATACAGCAAAGTGCACAGATGGAAAGAAATGAAAGAAGAAGAATTAGAGCTTGAAGTTATCGCAAAATGCACATTGCATCATCCATACATACCTGCTGACCCTTTACCATTACCTCTTACAACCAGATCAGGAACCCAATCCATCCGGCCATCGATGGCAAAGACCATACTGCATATTCGAGCCTGTAGTCAGCAGTAAAACATTTCCCCATGATCGGACTTACCTTCCAAACCCTTCGCTCGAAAGCATTCAAAGAACAGCACAGCAAATCACATCAAAGTCAATGCTCCAGGCAAGACTTCAACAAATCACCGCCACTCTTCTTGTTCTGCTTCGGCTGCACAGCATACATCGAACTCACCTGTTGTGGTGTCGCCCGAGGAGTATCAGGCTGATACATCCGCCAGTGAATATTGCGGAACTTACCTTCCTTGAAGGCCCAGCCACCATATTCACCATCAGAAGATGTCGATGAAGTCCTAGAACCAGCACTCGCCACACTAGATCTTCTCGAAGTAGAAGGCGAAGTATGAGGATCATACTCCGTCTCAACACTCGAGGTCACGCGAACAGAAGGCGCACCCGGTCCACGAGAAGCAACAATCCCATAAGAAATATCTTGCAATTCAGGTTCGGGACCTGTACGAAAGAATAACTTACGAGCTTTGGTTCGTTGACAGGTTATACATTCTGTGAAAGAAGAGTTGAGACCCGTGTCTTTTGTGTTGTGGCATCCGCGGGAGTAGGTGACGGGGTCAGATTCGGCGGTGGGACAATAGGTGAAGTGGCGGCGGGAGTAGTGTTTGCAGGTGTTGTAGTAGGTGGTGGTGAATTGGCACATTTTGGATGTTTCGGAAGGGGGCTGTGCTGGTTCGGAAGGCAGGTGGAGGAGGGAATTGAAACAGCGAGCACAATCAGCGTTCTCGTCTCTCTACTACCTCGACGACTCTTTACTGGATCTTCTGCTGAAGCTGTGGATGGCGACTTGGTCAACAAGTCTGTACAGCATAAATTCGAAAGAGCTGCGAGGTCACTGTAGAGTCGAGAAGCTGAGTGCTGGCTGCGAAGTCCGATGGAGAGAATAGTGAGAGGGAGCGACAAGCTAGATTATATGTTCATGACCCGCCATTCTGTCGTTGCAATGAAAGAATCGAAATACCGCAGTGTCGATTTTTACAGTCTTTGTTATGTGTCCTTTGTTGGCCTGTCATCGAAAGGATCCGCCGTTGTGCGCTTTGTCTTGCTGCTCAATAATGCATTGTATTCTCTGCCAAGGGAATAGGTTGGGGAGGCGAAGCACACGTGCACTACAACTTCTGTCAGTAACGATAGTACGTATGGAGCGACTTCTCGTCACCTCAGTCAAACTACTAGTCCATGGACTTCGAGATCAGAACTCGGCACGCGTATAGCAGGAAACCAACAACTAAAGAAGAACCACTCTGCCGCCAAGTTATGATTTGATGCAAGTATTGATGCGCAACTAATCGACTTCCACATTAACGATATTCGACGACCACTCCAACACCACGCAAGCGAACCTGCCACCCTCTAGCAACCACATGTACCTTGACCAAGAATAGATGACGTGTCTCCTCAACCTATACAACCATACCGCTCCAGGGCCGAGCAAGCTAGTAGTAAGGACCGTAAGGACCGAAGGCTGGAGGAAGAGGATAGGTGCATGAACACCTCTGGTAACTGTTTGCTGTGAGGCAAGTGTTCTATAGGAGAGTCAGCACGCACTTCGTCAAGAGTCTCACAAGTTGCAGCGGCGTTTTGCAGCCGCCACCAGAGTGCCGGTGGAAAATATGCTTCGAGGGGTGTGTCTCAAAAGTGGTTCACTTACAAAGCCGTAGAAGTCCGTTTGGACGGTGAAGCTGACGCAGTCGAAATTGTTGTTGCACTGGAGGAATGATGGGCAGAAGTTGTACACTGGGTCGATGACGGGGAAATCGGGGTAGTGAGGCCCGAATCGATTTGGTGGATAAGGGCCATAGGGGTTGAGGCCATTATAGCCGGGATAATTGTAAACGGTGATGTCCTTGGGCATAAAACCGCTCAAGTCACCGAAGAAGCCACCACCGCTAGAAGACTTGCTATCAGCCGGAGCGGCCTTCGGCGGATCGGCAGCAGGGGCGTTGGAGTTTTGTTGAACTTGAGCAGCTTGACCGGCTTGCTGAGCCTGAGCACCCTGGTTGGCTTGCTGCATTTGAGCACCTTGGTTGACTTGCTGCAATTGAGCGACCTGCTTGGCTTGTTGAGCTTGCTGAGCCTGCTGCATCTGCTGCATCTGCGCAGCCTGCTCTGCCTGCTCTTCTCGGGCCTCGAGAGCGCGAGCGTTGATCACAGGCTCGGGGCCTGCGATGACGCCGCTGACGGCCGTAGACGCCAGGAGGGCGGCGAGGTATTTGAATTGCATCTTGAAGAAGGCTCGAGTCGTAGAATGGTCTGTCGGGACGATGAAAATCTGCTTGGTGCCGGCGAGGGCAAGAACTTGAAAAAACGAGTGACTTCGGTCGGTATGCTCCGCTTGACTGAGGTCGAGACGATGGGGAAGAAGGGACGCCTAGTCGCCATTATATCTTATACCGGAGTCGAAATCTGCTGAACTCTGTTGCTCGACAGGAGTGTTCATGGTGAACTGGGAAGGGAAATTGCCATTCTGTTGGAAGCATTGTCCGCTTCCGGCTGCTGGGTGCGCGACTTGATCTTGACCATGTGCTCGTGGCCCCGGTCGAGCTTCAATATCTCCCAAATTGGAGGTGAGATATCGACTGAGAGAATGAAGCGATTCATTGACCGACCTTCTTCACAGTGGAATTATCTGTTCAACATCAGTCCTTACGACTCCAGCGAATCTCGACAGCGTGGTACTGTCAAGTATGCGACAACATTTTTACGATGGCATACTCGCACACACGACGATGTGCGAAGTAGATGGCAATGCGTGACCAACAAGTAGGTTCTGCGTGGTATTGCTTGCTGATGGCCATGGGGACAGCAGCGCATACCAGGGGATCGTGGCGGCCGAGTGTACATGCATACCGTATCGCACGACTTGCCTCATGAGTTAAGCAACCAGATCCTGGCTAACGGGACTGGCCTTAATCTCTTGCAGCAAGACCATCCTTCGTGTCAAAGAGCACATCAGCAAGGTGCATTGAATCACCACTCACTGCGCAACCATGCGACCTGTGCATAAGGCATCTGCAGTGGCCAGCAGCGAGACAGATGTGTGTTGTATCATCCTACAGCACATTCGAAGACAGCAACGCTGCTGAGTTCCAGCCGTTGAGTGAATGTCATTTCGCCACGTTCATGGTCTCTGGTTAAACCGGACGTTGGAATCGTCCGGATTCGGCACTGGCTTCAACTTCATCGGTTGTGCAATTTCATCTGCAGAAAGCATGGAAATCCAAGGAAAGTAAAGGAATGTGCCCAAAGCCATTGGAGTTCGGCGAGCGATGGCACCTCGTGAGCACGCCAGCCTGGCCGCGGAGCTCGTGAGCGCTACACATACCGAGAGTGGCACTGGCTCGTTGTTGTGGCCCCGGCAAAATTGTTCGGCAGAGATCAACTCTATCCCCATCACAGATGCTGCCTGTTCGTCGACAAAAGTAGCAGCGGCCACAATTTCCGCGCCCGATTGTGTACTTATCAGCATTGCTGCATCAAAGTTCATCGTCAGGATCGAGCCCGCACACGGGTACTTTCGTACGTCAAGGAAGCGTCGTGATCGAATAAATCTTAGCGTCAACCTGATGGTCAAACATATGGCTGGGCTAGCCACGTGAGTCGGCGCTTAGAGATGAACGCAGTGGCATCTGCCATCTGCACTTTGACCAGATTCGCAAGCTGCAATCTTGCGATGCGCTAGTGAGGCTAAGACTGCGTTCGTGTTTGCCAAAGAGTGGCTACGTAGGCCTTTTGGATCGATATTTCTGGGATATTTCTGGGCTTTCTGAGCTTGCGGTGCAAGATCTTGAGCCGCTCCAGGCCATCTGCTGACCTGGTTGCATTGGAATCGCGATGGTACTGCTATGGCGGAGGACCGCAACTTGAGCTCCACCATCCTCTTTGGCGCGCTAGATACACACAGCTTGGTGTTGGTCTGGAGGACATGGACAAGATTGCCCCCATGCACGTCGGCTCGGTGAGAAGTTGGTCTGCTCGCGGAGACCTTTTGCCGTCGGTCGTTTGCACCATTCGGACTGCCAGCCGATGTTGTTGGTACTGCAGGTCGGGTGCTCACGGTCGAGTGAGAACAGTGGCCTGGGTAGCTTGTGCCGGCCGCTCGACTACATCGAACCTTCGCTGGCGCGCTGCAGAGAGCTTTGTGCTCATCCTTCGTTCACGCCTTGATGCACGACAAGAATGTCCTCTCGCCGAGGTGCCGTGGCCATGGCAATGCTGCCGTCGAGAGAGATGTCGCGCGCGTAGAGGGTGTAGCTTTGGCAACTATTGTCAAGATCAAGAAGCAGGAAAGCAGAAGTTGGATATTCTATTAATAGATTCTCGGCTAGAATAACTAATTACCGCAAGCGCTCTTGCATGCTCTCTCCGCGCCTTCGTTGGCCGCGAGATGCACTTGTGCTTTGCATGCCAGACGTCGCCGATGCATGGCATGAGCCTCTGCCGTCCTCGGCCATGCTGATGTCGCTGACAACACGGCCGACCTCCCACGTACGTGAGCATTTGCAGTGCACGCCGAGCGCTGCAGACGCCCGACAAAGACAATGGCGGGAGCCGCTGTGGATGCCCTCGGCGGGCAGCTTGCTCTCTGCTAACTACTGCAAGCCATCTGGAGGCCCGCCCGGCCGCAGATTGTAGGCTCGTCGACTGACTCCACGCGGCAGCTGCACTGCGGCGGCAACAGACCTTGGACATTCCATTTCCATGACATCGCCGCCGCAGAGCAGAGGATCGAGAGAACCATTCCACGGCCATCAGACTCGACGGCTGTCCTCAGCCTGTCGTCTTACCAAGCTCACCGCGTCAACAACCAGACCTCGCCCAAGGCAGTAAAGTAGCAGATCTCTCCGAACCAACACGCGCATGCAGAGGCCATGTGCCACCCCGTTTAGCCCTCTCTGTGGCGTGTCCAAGCGGCAGATCATTGCGTCCTCGTTGCATTCTACGCGCATCCCGCACCCGTCTCTATTTTTCGCGCCGCCTTGGTTGGAGCAGAATCCTCTCAGCGGCTCTGCAAGGCCGAGAGGTCCTGTTGTAGCAATATGGAGATACACAATCTGAGGGCAGGTGCTCGGCGGTAAGTATATAGCTGTATGTCTCCTTCCATCTGAGCAGGGTATCCCAGCATCTACCTCAATCACCGACTCGAGCTCTCAGCCCTTCCAACAAGTCATTGTTGATAAGGTAGCCTAACTAGTCTCTCACCCTACTCTGGACGCACCTCCAACACAATGACACTCATCCGGGATCTCGTACTGGCTCTTGCCACACTCGCCACATCGTCGAATGCTCTCTGCCTACCACGCAGCGAGGACTCAAAGCCAGCACTGCCACTGAGCAAGATCTCGAATACCGGCTCAACACCTCTTCCCGTCCCCTCCAAAGACCCCAAAGCCATCATCCTAGGCCTCGGGTTCCAAAACTACACCTGCTCCTCCTCATCTTCCACTTGGGTCCAATCTACGATCCAAGCCGGCGCCATCGCCGACCTCTACGACATCACCTCAAAGACAACATCCAACACCGGCGACAGATACAGCAAATCCTCCCTCAAAGCTTTCGAAACCTGCCTCAAAGTAACAAAATGCACTCCCACCACCGCCAACGGCTTCTGCGATCGTTGCCACACAATCAGCAGCGCCGCCTTCGCCTCCAAACGTGTCGGAGAACACTACTTTGATCAAATCAACGGCCTGCAGATGCCAAATTTCGCTCTTGACACGCTGAAATGCTTCTTCTCGGGCAAGAAAGGCGGAGGCGTCAAAGCCCCTGCGAACGCTTACAAAGGGGCCAACGGTCTCGGTGCTGTCGACTGGCTCTACCTCGTCGACAACAACTCCGGACGAACTAAGGGAATGACCAGCGTGTATCGTGTTGAGACTGCCGGCGGCGTGGCACCTTCGAGCTGTTCGACACCTGGCAGCGCGATGCAAGTTCCTTACGCCACGGAGTATTGGTTCTACGACTAATTGACAACGATGCGCTGCGATTGTTCATTTGATTTCACTTCTTACTATACTTTGTACATAATTCTTGAGACACGGCCAGAAGAATACCCACAGATCATGGCGGGCAATTGATTTTCGGACAGATCACGACCAAGACAGACAGACAGCTAGACAGACAGACAGACAGTTCATGAGAACGAGATCACGGAACGGCAAAACGGCATATTTCGGCAGAAGGATGCATATACGACGAAGGGTAGCGAAAAGCAGGGCGTTTTCTCTGTTGGTGGCTGATGAAGATAGACGAATGAAATGCGACCAACATATATTCCAAAGCAATCCTGCAAATCCTCTTGCTTGATCATTTCTCGGTTCCGGTTTTAGGCTCGAGTGCATGTGCAGTAGTAGTGTATGGTGTTGTTCGCTACCGATGATGCGCTTGATGAAGGAACGATTCTGTGTGGCAGTTAGGAAGGAATGTGCAGGTGAGAGAGATGCCTGATGCAGTTGGTCTTATTCACATCATCAGCGTGAGAAGTTTTGATGACAAGCGAGGTACATGGAAGAACTTGTAGTTGCTACATGGTATAAATTCGTAAACATTATCCGATGCGAGTCAGAGTGTGCACGACTGCGGTGCGTGGTATCTCCCCGAGTGTGTACTCCGATTACCCTTTTCTGAGCTTTCATATGCTCCTCATGTCATAATCCAACGTGGCCGTCTGCACGCTGCTCTCTTGGACCCACGACCAGCGATTGCATCTTCTAGAACGGTAGGACTGGTGTCACTGGCGTCTCATCATCGTCCTCGATCAGCGAAGGCGTCATGGCCCCATGTAGCGATGGCACCGGCGGCGTATCATTCGCTGACCTGCGCGGCTTCGACTTGGCTCTCGGCTTCCGCACGGAACTCGCAGGTGTCAAGAGTGTTCGGATCGACTTGCTATCATCACTGTCGAACGGCGAATTTGAAGCTGACAGCAGCACCACCCATCTTCGATCGACAGCGGTCCTCGCCATTCCTATCGCCTTCCAGGACTCGTCGGTGATAGCAGCGAACACATGCTGATTGTGGCACGGACATGTCGCTGTCTTCACGATATGGATGCCGCCTTTGCAGGTACATTGTGTTTGTCTCTGAGCTCTGTTCTGGAAGGATGCCCAGCGCTCGCCCGTTGCAAGTCCCGGATACCCTGCGGGTCCGATGAGCTGAGCGGTTGCTGTTTCTTCATCCATGGTGACTGTGCTCCCTGCTGGAACGGACTCAAATTTGTCTAGATCATCTGCAGCTTCCTGTGCTTCACGGTCGAGGTATGGGGCCCGCTCCAGATTTTGGATGGCTCTAACTCCCATCCTGATCCTTGTGAGATTGATTGATTGGAGGAGTTCGTCCCTTTCACTCTGCAGTTCCAGTTCCTCAAAAGCGCTGATGGCCTCGGTTGGACTTCCGACACACCGAAAGTGCATTGATTCGTGCGGGTTTACATAGGTCTTCAAGCTGCTGAGACTTCTCATGTTACGCAGATGACGACTGGACTTGATCGAGTGGATGAAGGTCCTCTTGACGACCATTCCTTCATCCTCTGGAAGTGGAGGTAACGCTTTCTCCGTTTTGAGTGGCACATGCAATATCGACTGCGCACTTCTCGCAACACGCTCGTGAGTCGATCTCTTCTCTGCTGGACTATTGGCTGCTGTGGAACGCGATTTGCGAGCCGAGCGCGTTTTCTCGATGCGCTCCAGGAATTGCCCGTCGGTATCATAGTCAGACTGTTCGGATGTTCGTAATGTGACACAGACCCGACTCCGCGACGGATCTCTTGATCTAGCATGTCGACGAGTATTCTGCTCATGCTCGTTAAAGATGTTGTCTGCGCTGACCCATCGATCGCGCAGTTCTCCAAGGTCCACAGCGCTATCCTTGGCACGCTCGTGAATTGTAGGTGTACTCTTGGTGTAGTCGGCTCGACTGAATGGCGCTTCGTGAGACTCCCTAACAGGGCGAAGCGCGGCTCTATGTGTAAATGAGCCACGAATTTGAATGCCCGACAATGATGCATTCCATGTCTTGAATTTGTCCGTGAGACTTTCCACAGAGGGCGATCGACGTGGATGACGGCCTCGCATTGTCGTCAGCACCAAGAGAACTTCTTGTTGGTTCGCAGAGTGAACGGGTTTGATATAATAGAATTCGCGCAGGAGAGGTGACGGGATGATTGAGCGAGCGCGCAGCCTTTAGAACGACTGAACGACGCGTGTGAGTCGTGTAGAAGTCAACATCTTGTCAGAGACTGCAGGCATACCCTGCAACCAAAAGCCAGCGAACTCGCGAAAGTATCGCTTCAAGCAATGAAGACGTTTTCGGAAGTTCCATTGTAGCAATGCAGCTGATGGCTGTTAGCTGTCAGCCCGTTGTGGTGAGTTCAAGGTTCACAAACGGTATCAGATACCGCTGCGCGAACAGAGTTTGTGGCGTGCATACAAAGCTGGGCTTGTGAATGGCCAAAGCGACTCGTAAAAAGCCCGGTGCCACCATTGCTGATTCAAGAGTCAGGCGTTAGGAGCATTTGGATAAGCAAAGGATTTGCTATAGATTCGAGGGGAAAGTGTCGCCCGAACGGTCATGCCGGGCTGTTGCAAGTATCCCACCTTGCCGTGGCCGATCTATGGCCTGCACTCGACCATCTTTGGCGGTGCTCCGACGTTACGTTCGTATCGTGTCTGCTCCAGGACAGGATCATGATGCATTCCGGACGTTGAATCTGGCCGAGTACCGCGTCTGCATCATCGGCATGTTCAACGTCGCCATGGACGACACCGGAAGATGAGGACATCCCGTCCTTGGATATACTTCCCGCGCCACCCAAGGCGTACTAGGCACACACACCTCGTTGCATATGACCACCAGCGTTCATATGGCCTCAAAAAACTTGACGACATAGCGGAAGTTTTATGGTTGCTTGGCAGCTCTTCACGCCACGCCCTGTCGCTTCCTCTGCAGGATCTCGAGACGCAAGCGCTCAGCAGCGGCCTGCGTTTCAATCATCCTACCGACGCCAGTCTTCCATGCTTCCTCGAGGCCCTGCAATTCAGCTGCCGCGTTGCCTTGGGCCTTGCGCCGGCTTTCCTCAAGCTGCTCTTGTTCGATCTTGGCCATGTCGAGCTCTTTTTCCACAGCCTTGAGCTCATCCTCTAGCTGGCTGTTGCCGATCAACCAGGCATTTTTTCCGTAAGTCTCTAGCAGGCCAAGGTTGACTTCGCGACCGCGCAGATACTCGGCACTGGCATACGCTTTTTGTAGGGTATCATTCCACGCTGGCAGGTCTCCTTTGGCTGGGGGATCTAGCAGCTCATAGCGGCTCAGATCAAGTCCCTGGCTTTTCGGTTGTCCCGCAGCAATGCGCGCATGTTCTGCGTCGACCAGCTCTGAAAATTTGGACTCTCTCAGAGCTGGTATGGAAGGATGGGCGGAGTTCGCGTGCGCTGGGTCGATTTCGGCTTGGATTAAAGCATTGGCGTTGTGCAATGCCTCTTCCGACACTGGTGCGTCGACGTAGGGCAGCGCATCGGGCGCGTTCTGAATGAGAGGCATCCTCACAATTTCGGCAGCGTTTTGCTGTTGAGTCGCGAAAGCCGCAACTTCTCGTCTAGCTGAAGCTGTCGCGACTTTTGGCTTGGATGAACAAGTCTCGGGACTGTTGGCCAATGACGCCGAGTTGGATGACGAGGCAGGTCAACAGACCTCATTATTGCAACACCCTCACAAACACAAACCACACCAGCGCGCAAGTCACAGCCGTCAACGCGCATTGCACGAGCAGGTTCTCGTGGTGTTGCCCGCGTGACGCCGACGAGCATACAGTATCAAGATTATAACTACGCGCTGCTTTTGAGAAGCAACTTGGAACCACGATCTCATCACTGCCTAATATCGAAAGGCTATGAAGGATTGAGCAGAGACTGTGTGCTACCATGCCTCGCTCACCACTCCCAGTACTCATCCTTGCGCTGGTCGCATTCCTCCTCCTCGCCACGCTCAATGTTCTGCATCGACTCGGTCCGTCCGTTTTAGATTTGTGGACCACAGAGGGCTTCCCAATCAAGCCGAGTGCAGTTCACCACCAACAGGATGGAGACGAGTACTTGGTGGGTGTCGGCAAGGGGGACATCACTGGTCCCGTTGTCGAGATCAACTTCATGGGTTACGCAGACTCTGCACAAGTGGGCCGTGGCTTGCGACAAAGGCTGTACTCCCGTGCATTCATCATTGGAGATGTTAAGACACCCGAAGATCGATTCGCGTACCTCGTGTTAGACACACAGTCTGGCGATACTGCCATTCGACATGGCATTCTGGAAGGTCTCCAGGAGCTGGGTGGCGAATATGCCGCCTATGGACAGCACAACGTAGCAGTGACAGGGACGCATTCGCACAGCGGGCCTGGTGCGTGGCTGAACTACTTGCTGCCACAAATTACCAGCAAAGGCTTTGATAAGCCGTCTTATCAAGCCATCGTACAAGGCGCAATTGCGTCGATCAAGCAGGCACACGAGAGGCTGGCCCCTGGACGTTTGGAAATCGCTTCAGTCCGGGTAGACGATGCGAATACCAACCGAAGTCCCTGGGCATACTTGCAGAATCCGATCGAAGAAAGGAGCCGATACGAGGACGATGTCGACAAGCAAATGACTGCGCTGCGCTTCAGCCACAACACTGACACAGGTACGAAAGATGTTGGCCTCTTGACCTGGTTCGCAGTCCATGGCACTAGCATGCTAGGCAACAATACACTGGTCACTGGAGACAACAAAGGTGTTGCAGCTGTGCTTTTCGAGAAGTCCACACTCGATTCATCTTTCGTTGCTGGCTTCAGTCAGGCTAATGTTGGCGACACATCCCCAAATGTACTTGGCGCATATTGCGAATCTGGAGAGCAAGAAGGACAACAGTGTGACTTCAAGACCAGTCTTTGCGGCAACAAGACACAGCCTTGTCACGGCCGAGGCCCTTACTACGGACGGGATGACAGTGGTACAGCTTCTGCCTTCGAGATCGGCATTCGCCAATTTCAAGGCGCGAAAAACGTCTTCGATGATGCGACTGCTTGGCAGCCAGTGAATGGCCAGGTAGTGAAAAGCCTGCACCAGTTCGTCGACTTCAGCAACTACAGATTTCAGCTGCAAAATGGTACCGAAGTGAAGACCTGCCCGGCTGCAATGGGCTATTCTTTCGCCGCTGGTACCTCAGACGGACCAGGTGCTTTCGACTTCAAGCAAGGCCAGCCTGGTGACCCTCACGTGAATCCACTTTGGGCCGTCGTAGGAAACGCTTTGCACAAGCCCAATAAGACACAGAAAGCTTGTCATCGCGAGAAGCCCATCTTGCTCGACGTAGGAGAAACCGAAACTCCCTACCTCTGGACGCCCAACATTGTTGACATACAGCTACTGCGTGTCGGTCAATTCTTCATCATCGTCTCGCCTGGTGAAGCGACTACCATGGCGGGCCGCAGGTGGCGGGAAGCTGTGCAAGCTTCTGCCAATTCGGCCTTTTCAGAGTTCAGTGACACCGAACACGAGCCAATTGTGGTGCTAGGTGGCCCAGCTAACACGTACACGCACTATATCACAACACCAGAAGAGTACTCGGTTCAGCGTTACGAGGGTGCTTCGACCCTCTATGGGCCATGGACGCTACCAGCATATATCAACTTGACTCTGGACGCCCTCCCACACCTCGGAGCATCGACCGATGGTCTACCACAGCTTCCGCCTGGACCTGACCCACCGATCTTCGTCAACAAAAGCCTGTCTTTCATCACCCCTGTTGTCGTAGATCGAGCAGGCATCTTGAAGGATTTTGGACAAGTTTTACAAGATGTCGAACCTGTGTACAGCGCGGGCAATACCATCTCAACGAAATTCGTGGGCGCAAATCCGAGAAACAACTTTCGCCTCGGTCAGAGTTTCGCTGTCGTTGAGAAGGCGAATGAGAACACTGCGAGCTGGGAAGAGTTCCGGAATGACGAGGACTGGAGTCTTGTCTATGAGTGGAAGCGAACGAGCACAGCCTTGGGAACGAGCGAGGTCACAATCTCATGGGAGACGAAATGGGAGACTGGCCAGTGGCGAGACGATGGAACCAGCAAAACCGAGCAGGAGAAGAACTCGGAATATTTGCGCACAGAGCTGATGTCACGAGAGGATCCGCATCCAGATCTCCGAGGAAGATACAGACTACGATATTATGGCGATGCGAAGGCGCTGGGAGGAAAGATGACACCCTTTGACGGCACCAGCGGAGAATTCACGATTGTATGACGAGACAACGACAGTGTATATCTAACATACATTTACATGTAGCTTGCATGTATAGCAACTGCTTGGCCCGCGAAAGAATGATAATGGAAAGCGTAACGAACTTTGTTTGCAAAAACGGCTGCTTGCTTGCCGCCTCTCCAGCAAGCACTGCCGATCGTGGCACGGCCACATTTGCTCCTGCTATGCGAGCAGAACCTCGATGGCAGGGGCGCATGTTCCGCTTTAAGATGGCTTGTTGACGGAACTTCATCCATCTCACACACCAATCACTAGACCTATCTCAGCCACGACCGCATCGATACAGCTTTCATCGTGTGTATCGCGACTCGCAGCTTGCGAACATACGACTCACCCGACAGCAATCACTACCAGCAACGATCATGCGGCTACTGCATTTCATGCTTTTGATGCCGCTATCGGCTCTCGCACATCTCACGCCGAGTACAACTTCCGCCAAGAAGGGATACACAATTCGTCCTCGATCACAGACAGCGAAAAATGGCAACGCACTCTGGTCTCAAGAGCACACGAAGACGAAGACCAAGACCAAGACAAACGTCAAGACCATAGTGACAGCGACAACCGGGCCGTATCAAAAGGATTGCGACCATTGGCATTCGGACCCTCAGGTCAGAGAATGGGGCGGCATTCCAAAGGTAGTAAAAGATGCTCGACAAATCGTCGACCTCGTTCTATCGGTGCGCAATGGCACGACCACAGAGGTCGGGCTGCTCGGACCTGAAGATTTGTTGGCTCTGGAGTGGAGGTATTTTGGCGTGCTCGATGCTGAACGAAGGGAGTATTTGGATGGTACGTGCTCGGTTGGAGATTCTACTGAGAAGATGTCCCTGGCTAATTGCAGCTTGCAGGAAACTTTCAAAGGTTGCAGCAAGCATGGGATCGAACGACATATCGTTGCAGAAGTAGTAGTGAAGGGATTTGCAATATGCCTGGTCCCACTGGGTGGGTGCTTTTGGACATGCCGGAACCAGTCGTGAATGTCTGCCCTTGGTGGTGGTCCGTACCTCCCACATGGCGACAGAGTGTCGGCCAAATGTTCCAATACGAGAACGACTGGGGCGTCCTCCGCGAGGCAGGGCTCATACATGAGATGCTACATCTCAAGATCGTTGGCGAATCGAGATCAAGTAAGTGCCATTTTGTCTCTTGGTGGACCCCGAATGCTTTGCTGACGTTGGAGCAGTCTTGGACCTTGTGGACAAAATGTACTGCCCACCAGAACGCGGCAACAATTGCCAAGTGTACGGACCCGAAATGTGTCAAGGAGCAGTTCGCAATGGCCTTGATACAACCATGAACGCGGATAGCTATGTCATGTATGCGATGAATATCTGGATGGGGTCGATATATGGTCTGCCGCCGCCCAACGGTCCAAGAAAGGTTATGCATCCGAAGACGACTGGCAATCCGTTGCATCATCCCAGTGGCACATGCAAGTGGCCAGAGGCATCCAGGTATGCCAAGAAGACCAAGGTTTCCATTTAGTGGTGAACAATCATTGAGTCTTTCTTTGGCGAGGCTTTTGGTCTGGAATCTTGAGAACTTCTGCATGCTGTATTTAAGCATGAGAGTCCATCATTTGTAGATCGTTTTCTCGATCATTCTGGGACAGGATATCTGAGCAGCTCAGTTGACTTCTCGCTTGGTCTCCGATAGCTTTCAATCGATCAAAGGATCATGCACTTATCACGCGTCCTTCGTAGGTTTGACCTCTGCACAATAATTGAACATATTCACCCACTACTCGCGCGCCTGCTGATGATCCTGAAATGCAGTGGCAACATGGTGCTCGATCAACTGCTCCGGCTGTCTCGAGTGTCGCGTTGTTTCTGGCATTCTCAAACGCAGAGGCACCTCGTGCTTGCACGTTTCGCATTCATGGAGGCGTATCTCATATCCATCAAATATCCTGGCTCTCGTAAATGCTCTCCGTTCCCAAAGCTCTCGCCGAATATCATGCCAAGTTCATCCCAAACTCCTCGCTATGCCTATGCAACACAAAACTCCGCAGCGCCTCAGTGTCCCAACGCTCTCATTCAATCATGTCTCCCTCTCCCAAAACCGAGGCACCACTCAATCCCAAGCATTCTCCATACTATCCCTCACGCACCTCCTCACCCTCTTCTTAAACTCTTTGCGGTCCTCCCTCCACAACTTCCCCGCCTCAATATTCGCCGGCGACTCATCATTCGGACTCCCCAACATACTGATAACGCTCAACAGAATCGTCTCAGGCGTTTGTACAGGACTCCACCTCTCACTCGCATTCTCATATCCATACTGATCCTCTCCCGGCGAATGCAAGATACTGATACAGACCTCCCCATTCTGATAGACGTTCGGATGGAAAATCGGCGTTTCGAATTTCAGTTTCGGTGGATTGTGGGGGTAATCGGGTGGGAAAGACATTCGAGCGCGGAAACAGCCTCCGCCGTAGAGGGAGTCTTGTTCGTCGGAGAGCATGAGCATGACTTCCCATTCGAAGATGTTGGAATTTACGAGGCCAACGCTTATGCCGGGTATGTCTTTATCTGTTTGCATTTGTTTGTATTGCTTGCCGAGGATGAGGGCTGCGCTGGAGGTGCCGCCAGGCGAGGCGGTGTTGCTTCGATTGGCGGGCGAAGCCATGGTGGGGTGGAGGGCGGTGGTGTTGCTCGGAGTGTGGCACTGATCGAAGCAGGGCGGCGTGTTTGGGCAGAGTGGAAGAGCTGGGATCCAATTCAAAGCGAGAGTTGCACGTGTACGGGGTGTTGAGGTATGAGTCGCAGCAAGTGTGTGAGAAATGTAGGAGAAAGGATGCAGTGACGTGCCAGCTGGATGAAGCTCTGCCGAAGCTGTGGCGGATAGCACGATAGCACGACATGATATCGCCACATGCATGAGCAAACTGAAAACTTGTAGGAAGATCGGATTGACAATCATCTGTTGCAGTCACTCAATGCACTTCATGGGTATCTACCTCGCACACGCCAAAACTCCGAATAAGACATATGGACTTCAGCTCTTTGTCAGAACATTGGCAGCCAACCATGCACCACCCACCAGCAGCAAAGATGCAAGTCCTACGGCCTTCTTGGCCCATCCTTCACCAGCTTGCGCCATGTTGAGCGCAACCGGTTCTTGAGCTTTGTCCGCGGCGGCCTGCACAGTAGCCTCGCTGCCCTGTTCCGTCTTGCTGTAGTTCAGATCTTCCTCACGTTGTCTCTCCATGATCTTTTGCAGTGCTTCCAGGTCTCTCTTCCAATCATCTGCCTTCGCTTCATTCATGCCACTCGTCTCTACACCTTGCACGCTGCCGAAGAAGTCCAATATGCGTTTATTTCTCACAGCCTCCTCTCCTCCAGGAAATAGGTCGTATCTCACACCCGCGTCGCTGTGCACTCGATCGAATGTATAGTAGTCGAAAAGTTCTCCAAGCCTCACATCCGCACTCGTGCTGTTTAATCGCGTCTCCAAGAACTCCAAATTGTAATATGTCCACCTGTCAATTACTGCCACGCCCACATCCTGATCCGCATGATGACTGTAGCTGCTCTGATCTTTCTCACTGCTCCCTGTCGCAATTATATTCGGCGTGTAGAAAGCGGTATACATCGTGTTCGCCTGACACGTATCAATCATGAAGAGCAGTTCATGGTATCTCTTCTTCTCCCACATTTGCTCGAACGCGTCTGCAAGATCAAAGCTGCTGATCTCCTCGCTGTCTTGAAACTTCAGAAACTCGTTCCCGCCGTGTCCAGTCATGTAGATGAGGATATTCGAGCGGTCGTCGGTCATGAGTCGTTTACTCGTGGGATGCGATGCCGGCCAGCGATCTGTAAGCAGCCGAATGAAGTTCTCCACTGTGACCTCGTTCCCTCTGTAGTCCACCTCTATTCCTCCCATTCCTGCCTTATTGTCGCGAGAACCTTGGTCATCGTATAGGTCTAGTTGTCGCGACTTGTCGTTGAAGACGCTGCCAGGAAACGAGTTGCGGGGATTGCAGGCCATGTCGTCGGGTAACATGAGGATGATCTGGCTATCGGGTATCCCTAGGCGTTTCACAGTACGATATAGAGATAGCGTATTCGCGAGATGGCGGTAGTTGAACCAGAAGCGGGATGTGCTCACTAACACTGCCCAGTTCGAGGTGTGAGTGGCAGATGCTTCTGGGAGGGCGGCGAGTAGCGCCAGCAGCGCCGTAGGGAGCTCGAGGAGGCGCATGGTGATATCGTGTAGGTCTGCCTCTTTCGGATGTGTGCGTTAGTTGTCACGTTTGGAATCTGGAGGGAGAGTGGCTGCTTAGGTGAGCTTCATGTGGAAGTAAACAGGGGTCTTGCCGAGCTCCATCAAGTTTAGCGCGTATCAGGTGAAGTAACGTCAGGTCAGATATTGCTCACTATTTCAGACATGACATTCAACAGCAGTCATGAACGAGCACGATAACCATTCACTCCAACGATAATTCTAAAAAAAAAAAGCCGAGCGAATCAGTCTGGGGATTTGAACTCATCTTGCCGCAGGAATCTGCAGGTGAAACGAGAATGCAAAGTGAAGCAAAAACGTGAAGTGAATTCGTGGGTTGACCGCTCTGCGAATCTCATCTTGCCCTGTAATGACCCTTTACGCACACAGACAGGACCTATCGCAACAGCCTGCTCCTACTTCGGCCCTTTCACTTCAGGCTGTCTCTCAATCTGGACAAACCACCATCGCGGCCAATCAAGCTAGCCAAGCTCGACCGGCTTCGCACTGGACTCTCCCGGAAGTGCTCGTTGAAACGTTGAGTGAGCTCTCTCAGTGGGATGCTCTCGCCCTTGGTGTCGGCGCGATTTGCCCAGTCGACATGGCTTTGCGCAATGAAATCTTTCTGTGCCTTCGAATATATCCTATCCTCAACCGAGTCACGACGGCCTCGCCATTCGTCTCCCTGCTCACGCTTTTCCCGCCGCCGCTCTTTCTGGCGCTCCACCTTGCGCACTTGGGGCTTGCGAGAGCTATGGCTCCGCGGAGGAATGTCGGATTTGAGTTGTTGAGTCGACGATGATGGCTTGGCCTCAAGTGGTCGACGCATCTGGACATCTCGACGGTCAGCACAATATCATCAACGGCAGAATTTTGCTTCAAAAATCAAGGTCTCGGAGAACTTACGCCTTGGCTGGTCCCAAATGCTTCTGGAAGGCGGCGACGCATCACCTGCGCAGTCGGTGTTTGAAGCCCGTTGCCCTTTGATGCCTGCTCGGTGAATACCGTTTCGGCACCTTTCAGCTTGAAAGGGGGGTCGCCAATCCAAAAGCCAGTCCGCCGCTGTAGGTCCAAGTTCCGAGGCCAGGAGAGGCGCGAAGCAGAGTCATGTGCATCCTCCATCATGACGCTTTCGTATATGCTTGAGGTCGAAGATTCATTCGAGCGGATTGATGTTGCGAGATGTGGTCAGGACTGATGATACCGTAAACGCAAATCCCGACGCTGCACTCAACTAGGACTCATTTATCGCGATACAGGTGGAAGACACCTTCGGCCAAGCAGAGCCAGAAACGGCGTGATGACTGGAGGCCAGCAGGAGGATGTTCTGAGCACGATCGCTAGAGTGCGGTGCTATTCGTGGTGCTGCAGGTCGAAGCTGGGGCAAACGCGTGGTGTGACGAGCGCATGCGCAACTGTCGTGTGGAATTGTAGTAATTTTGATGCGCGCGACGCGCAACGCGGATGTTGTGAAAGGCTGGTGATGCCGTGAAGACTGGAGGAATCACCGCCAGACCGGACTTGAATGGAAGAAGTCAGTAACCGACAACGGAGAGTGTATGATGGAGAGTGTACTGACCGGAGAGGCAACGTGACTGGTGAGTTGATGAAAGGGGTAAGTCGGCAAGCAGGAACCGACTGAGCGAGAACAAGGTGCAAGTTCGGTGGGAATACAGCTGTGAAGTCAAGTCAGCGCGAAGGACGAACGAGAATGTGGTGTCAGTCAACTCACCTGGAAAGGAGAAGGAGGAGGTGATGATCGGCGACCCGGTGGTATCAATGAACTTGAGAATCGGCAAGGATGATGGCGTCGACAGCTTTCGAGACTCGAAGGTAGGACTGACGCATCGAGGGCTGGAGAATAGTGCGTGCCGAGCAGAGCGGTTGAACGAGGGCATGCCAGAGTGGTGTTGAAATGATGTTTCCATTGAATGGAATTGGAGGCGTGGGTGGAGTGTAGGTGCTAGAGTGACTAGGTGAAGTTGTTGAAGCGGCGAAGAAGGACTCGAGAAGTTCGGCGAGGATTTTGTTTACGTGCGAGGAAGGCACTGCACCTCGAGTACAAACGGCGCGCAGACCCCTGCACTTCACATCTTGCAACGGCAGCGCCACTCGTGGACCACAGAGACAAGGCCTCTATCTGCAGCGAATCCATCACTCAGACGAGGCCTTCATCATCACAACGTCGAAGTGCAGCAAACCAGGCTTCACCTGGCAGAGCAGGGCCTCTTCTCGTCTGCTTGAATGCGCGAGGTGGGTTCGCTTCACTTGCGTTAGGAGAGCTGCCATAACATCAGCTATACGCGACTCGATCGACGGCATGCCGGCTCATCGTTGAATGTTTCCTACCTACTGGCACTGCCCACGCATGGCGCGACCTGAGCGCGACACGTCAATGCGAACCCCATTGACTCTATTTGACAGGCCAAGGTGATTTGAGACGTATGTGAAACATTCTGGAATCTGGTGACATAGCGTTGCTTGCAGCTGTGCCTGGATCAATCACGCTGCATCAATATCTCTTTAGCATAATTGGAGATGAAGCCACGAAGTCTTTCATCGAGTCCCGGATGCGGGAGACTTGCTTCTGGCCAGCAGCGGCAGGTCTCTATTGTAGTGGAACACGAATCTGACTGACCGACCCCTCATCGAACAGGTGTTATTCGGATCCTCGCCACATGGTTCTGGTGCTAGACCAAATGCTTATAAACGGGGCAGTCTACTTTCTGCGTACACGTCAGCTCTAATTTTGAACTACAATCATCTCTCGAACTTTGGGTCGTTCCCATCACTGAATTACATCATGGGGTGAAAGGAAATGGGATGTTGTACAATCATGACGGTGTCCGTTCTCGTAGGTTTGATAACGCCAAATGTCCTGAAGGCCGGATATGGCAAATCAGAATAGGCTGCTGCAACGCGGTACGCGCGAGTGACACGCGCACCTCTTTGAAGCCAGAGCCGAATGTCGCAGGTCTTTGGGGTCCGTCTCCATCTCTAGACGCCCTTCGCCCTCGGATGTAACGTCCATGTCTTCGAGCCTGGTGCTTTCACAGTGATGTCGCGAGAGTGTTCTTCAGTCGGCCTCTGGTTTAGTCCATCTTTACAATTGTTTTAACTCTGGATGCTGGAAAGAGTAGGCGTGGTAACATCCCATATCACCATACCCGCAGTACCGCCTGCAACCCACGCGTGTCGAGTCGGCCTCTCCAATGCCTGCCAGAAAGCCGCCCGAAGGTGCATGACAATTCCCGTAGCACCTCCTCAATCACCAGTATCAAGCTCCAAATCCAACTGCACCCCATTACTCACACCATAATCCTCCAGTGTCAAAACATCCTTAAAAGGCCTCTCTCCCTGCCTCTTCAACATAATCTCATGCGGCTGTCTTCCAATATGCGCCGCAACCATAGCCTTGAAAGCTTTCACGCTATCGCTCGCAAGGCATGGGATCTGCGCCTTGGTTCCTAACCTGTCATTGACCGTGACGATAATCATAGGCTCGTTGGAAACAGGCGCAGCCTTGGGTTTCTTCTCTTTCTTTTCCTTCTTCTCTGATTTGTCCTTGTTGTCAGACTTGCTCCGAGGCGCATCTCCTCCCTCTTTCCTGCGATCTTCGTCGCGGTCCTGTCCAGGTCTGTAATTATCGCCGCCATCTCGTCTTCTGGGCGAGCGGTCTCGGACGCGATCGTCTCTTCGGTCGCGAGAGTCATCCCTGCGTCGAGAATTATCGCCATTGCGGTCTCCATCCCTTCGATCATCTCTGTAGTTGTCGCGCCGCGGGGATCGGTCTCTGTATCCGCGCTCTAGGCGTCCACTGTCGCGAGGTGCAGCATCTTCGTCGCGAGTCTTCTTTTCCTTCCACTTAAAGCCGCCTGTCTTTTTCTTTGGCTTTGATATTCGTGCGGGCGACGCTGAGCGGTCTCGTGCGTCGTTATCGGAAGGCATATTTGCGCGGTGTTGACACCAGATGAACTTCACCAAAAGTTGGAAGTCGAGCTTCAGTTTGACGTAGTGAAGACAGGCCGGCTTAGCTCCGGCGACGACAACCAATCACATGCATTAGAAATTGATGATCTGTGCAACGGTTCATAACGCTTTTTGGGTATTGCAACGACTATGCATTAAGATTGATCTCCGAGCTACATGACCTTTGCGGTCTTCTTTCGGGGTTCCTACTCCGATTCGAGCCCCCAACCTCTCGCGCCTCCTTGGCTTTGTTCGTCCTTACGGACGCATTCCCTTTCCGCAGTCAACTGTGGCAATGCACGCTTACCCACGGCCCCACATCGACACGTATTATCTGGACGAAACTCGCCTCCAACGCCACTTTGCCCTCGTTCCAGACTCATCCTGCTGTGGCTGTGATTCAGAGCTGTATGCCGTGTTTGTATCCACGTGTCCGCGGGATCAAGGCTGTTTTGGGCTTTACTCCCTCGTCTTGGGTAGCGTGAGGTGGCCTCCTTACATCCAATATGCTGTATTCGGGTTGTAGTGGCTGGAGGGAAGTGCTCAGGAGGGTCTTGTGATTCCGACATCCTGGGTGTATCCTTGTTCACTCTGCTGGCACCTCCTTCACGGTTACTGTAGGCCCGGGTTTGGGTACGGCCACAGCATCCAGACTGCCAGCGTCGACGACTGGTTGCAACGTGTCCCAAACTTGCTTCATCATGCACTCCACCCATTCCGCTTCCTCTAGCTGTAGACTCATCTGTTTTCGAGCCATTCGGCTACGTTTGATCTTGATTCCAGGAGTTCCGCAGGGTCCAACAACAGGGCTTGCTGGGGCAGAAGATGCGGGAGTAGTGCCATCTGGCGATGACGGTTGTGATAGTACAACGTCCAACTCCAGGCATTGGTGAATGAGTTCTTCTATCCCGTCTCTCGTGACATTAGCTTTGGGCTGCATTCTCTCGAGGAATCCTTCGCCGAATAATGAGTCTTCCTCGACAGCTCTTTGCACGGACTCCAGAAAGAACATAAATGATGGCAATGTGGGGCCTTCGATTGTGAATGGATAATGCACATCGCTCAGCAGGCAAGCGGCGTAGAGCAACCTGATAGTGAATTCGGAGTCCAGAGAGTGTTCCACAACGCACGCGGGGCAGCCACGTGTGTAGCACCAATCGCGTTCCTTCTCTGCGCTGAGGAAGCACTGGATCCAGACGAAAGCGCTTCGCGATTGACCAGTGAAGGCGTACTCCAGGTCTTCGAGCTTCGTTGCGTGTGTTGCAGCAGAGGCGACGCCGCACGCTCTGTCAAATAGTTCGACGACCGGAACAAGCAATGCGTGAAGGATGTCGCGTATTACCAGCCAACGCTCAAGAGTTTCCGGAGTCGCAGCGGAATGGCTGCCACAGAATCTGTAGAAACGTTAGGACCAAACGTGAAGCGCCGATTGCGATGGGATTGATTGGCATACCCATAATCGTAATGTTCGGCCAGATGATTGCGGAGAATGTTGAAGCCGTGGGAATGAGCCAAGGTCTCGACGTCCTCCGCTTTGAGTAGAAATGGAGCTGCGCCTGGCACGAGCGTTGTAGATGCCATGTTATCGAGGCTTTCGTTCGTGGACGCTCTCTTGTCTTTCGCAATGGTCGCTACTGTTGGTGACTTGGACATTGCAGGCCAAGTGCCTCATGAACTGCAAGGTAGTGCGCTCCTCTACCGCATGGCGGTGCTTTGTTCGCAGCAAACGCGACGCGATATATGACCGTGCGATGAGGTCGTCGTCGGCGCAATCACGGGCGCTTCCTTATGGGTCCTAGCAGAGCACTGTCGCTAAGGCAATGCTTTCCTAATAGTGGACGGCTCCGCTGGAGAGCAGGAGGAACGAGTGAGACGAGAAAAGCTATCGAGGAGGATGTCGATCAATGCGCTGATAGTGAGATCGGTAGCCCACCCACACTACGTACACCGCAGCGACGGTAGGCTCGAGGGACGGAAAGCAAAAGCAACACAGCTCAGCAGGCGGTTTCTGCAGGTACGCCAGAGCATCGACCAGGCTTGCGTGGCGGGAAGGCGTGTGGAGCGGGCCCAGCAAGAGCATGTGAACGTGATCAGAGCGCATCCCATGGGTGTGCGAGGCTACCGCGGAGGACAGGCTCCGCGCAGCCCCCAAGACCGCGATGCTTTCCATGGCACAGCGCGAGAGACGAATTGGGGGAGGGATGTGCTGGCACGCCTGGCACATGAAAGAGCCTGGCCAGCTGTGGAAACGGTGTCTTCTCGGAGCAGCGCTTTCTAGCCAGCTTCTAGCGGCTTGCAATATTGAGCAAGCTAGCGACCACTGCGGCAATCCGACGCGCCGCCTGCTGCATGCTAGAAGCCTGTCTGCGAGCTCATCGGGCCAATGGCAGACGCGGAATTGTCGTTGAAAACTTCACCAGACTTCTGCAATTTTTCCTCAGCGATGTTCTCCCTTTGCAACAGCTGATGGCCTTTCCTGTGGCGGACATCAGGCCTCACCCCAACAGCCTCCTCCTCGGCCTCGGAATGTCCGGCGTCGGCAGCGACGATGAGACTGCCGATGCACCAGCGATCACCTCATCTCGCAAGCGACTACCGATTCCGAGTGCAGGATTGCGGCCGGCACTGCGCACCGCCGTCCCAGACGTCCATCAATCACGAGGACGCCCGCGAAACGTTGCTCACAGTCGGTGCACGCTGGGCGTATGCACTCCGCAGTTGTGACACGACAAGGAGCCTATTTGACGCGACCTTCCTGGTTGCATCGAAGCAAGTCTTCAGGCCTTGCCTTAGTCGTGCATATTCCGAGATGGATCTCTACCGACGAAAGCCACAATATGCGCCTGATACGCCAGGAAGAAGCGTCTCGTGATGAAGTGTGCGCCTTGCATCCTGCTGCGATCAGGTCTATGCCCTTCGCGTCCGGATTACAGACAGGCGTCTGGACATCGACTGGAGAGTACCGTTGTTCTCGAGCGCCACTTTGCATGTGAAACCACGGCAAAGCTCAAGTAGGGCATGTGATTGCAACTCAAATGCAAGTAGGCTACTGTATAGGCTGACCCATGGCTTCAATCCGGGGAAGAGAACGTAAAGCTGGGTTCTGAAGCTGCGCCGTGACTGCATCGTGACTTTGCCCATCTTTTTCGGCAATGTCTGCAATCTGATACTGCTCAGGTCTCGAGATCAGGCGGGACGCAAGCATATAGACTTTGGTTTCCCGCCGTTGCACAAGAAGTCAGCCAGCGGGACCGAGAGACGTCGGGTGTCCACCAAGCACAACGCTCGCAAATTCAACAACTCTCTCAGTACATCCTCCTCCAGACAGTCGACAATTTTCGCGTGTCAGAGTCCAGCTGACAGACCCGGAGGTACGCGTCCTCACAGTAGCGTCTGCACACCGCCTCGAAAACTACAGACACTGTCGATCTCCCTAGCTTCGCACCCGTCTTCCCCGGACAGACTGCGACAAGAAAGATCGTCAGGAACAAAGATCAGCTGGGAGTCTGCCGTCAACTTTTGGCTTTCTTGCTACATTATATGTTGTATAATGCGAAGCGCGAATGCTGGCCCAGTACATGCGGAGACGGACTGCTAGCCTGTCCAGATCGATGATCTTCAACCTTTTCGCTGCGAACGAGTGATAGGCGATAACCACTCCTTGGTAAGCATTTGTGTCTATCAGCTGGCATATTTGCACGTGTACATCAACCATGAGCTGTGGGACACCAACCATACTTGGAGCTTGCGAATAAAGCTACTTCGGCCTGTACATGTAGTAGCTGACCCGTGGTTCAACGTCCTACTCCTCCAACCAGAATCTCTCCCACGCCTTCACCCACTTATCGTTCCTTAGCTCCTCCAACCACACCCTGAACTCAATAGGTTCTTCCCCATCGATATTCATAACACCATTCGTAATCCCATGCCAACCATCAACAGGCCCTTCAACATACGCGTGATCACGCCCGCAGAAATAACTTCCTTTGACAGGACACGTTGACGGGTCCTCGTTGTACTTTTGCCGTTTCTCGAAACAGTCTCCGCACAAGGTGGTAACTCTGCACACCATACAGACGTACATGGGAGATTCTTTCCAGTACTTCCATGTCGCGTGCGGGTTGCAGTCGCCGTCACATTCGACCCAGCCACTCTTCAAATCTCCCGCGTCATCAGGTGGGATTGAGCTTGCATCACTTCCGCCATTGCTGGCAGTGTCTTCGGCGTTGGTGTCGTCGTCATCGTCGTCAGCGGCAGATCCTGCTGTACTATTGTCCTCATCAGCGCCGCTCTCTGCATCTTCATTGGCATCGTCATTCCCTGCTTCATCAGAGGCGGGCTTTTTCTCATCCTTATCCTTCGGTTCGGCAGGAGGATCCAGTTCCGAAAACTGAGCAGAGACCAAAATTTCAGCCTCTCGTTCCAGACCGTCGAGTTGCGAGACTATCTTCGCCATATTGATCAAATTGAGCCAGTCATTCCAGCCAATGTCATCCACTAGTGCCTCGTAACAAGCATCAAAGGCATTTTGTAATGTTGTCTGGAATTCCTTCGCTGTAGCCATTTTCCGAGCCATCTTGGACACAATAACAGTGTGATGGTTCAGGTCAGATTTTGACACTGCGACCGATGTCGCCAAAGGTCTGCTTGTGAGGCTTTTGATTTCGTTGAAAAGTTGTGCTTTCACTGTACGATCGGAGCTTATGCGGTATTGCTCCCAGATGATATCGGCCATAAGCAAGATTGCTTCGCCGAGAGTGGTGGAAGGGTCTTCCTCGGTGAATTTCAGTTGGTATCCATCTGATATCGTGTCCAGGTTCTCGTTCAAGAGGGCTTTGGCACTCTCGGCGTCGCCATTGATGAACCATTTACCTCGCGCAAGCTCCCAGCGAATGGGGGCTGCAGCTTCAACGGTATTGAGGAGGTCAATTACTTCTTCGTATATCTTGATTGCTGCATCCATCTTACCGCTTCTTCCAGCAGCCATGAAGAACTCGGTATGACCGCTGCCGTCGTATCTCTGTGATTGGTAAAAGGTGAATGATTAGCACACATCCTACAATTCCCTTATCTCCTACACAAGTAAACTCACCCAGGTCATGATTGTCAACTTCTCTGTAGTCTTCCAGCTTCCAACTCGGTCGATCAAAGTCGCGTCGGCCTGCTGTTCCAAGTAGAGGTAGAATTCATCATATAGGTCCTCTCCAGACATGGGCTCTTGCGGATCAGCCTGTCTCGCCAATTCGTACGATTTCGCAACATCTTCGAGTTTGCCCTGCTCCTTTTGAATATTTGCCAGCGTAGTGTAAGCACGACGCAGTAGGCTTCGAGGGATATCAGGCTCCTTGATGACGATGTCAACAGCGTTCAGAGCTTCATCGAGCTCGTCTAGTATAATGTCAGCATTCGCCAGAACCAGTTGGGCCTCGAAGCGTCTCGGATCAGTTTGAAGAAGCTCGATCGCTTGGAGAGCATAGCCTCGAGCTTCACTTTCAGCAAAGCACCGGTTGTTCACCAAGAATGTAGCAAGTGCCAAGTAAGCATAGCCATCCTTCGGTGTTTCTTTGAATGTGTTGAAAATGTTGATGATCTCGGTCTCATCATATTCTCGATCTTCCTCATCGCCGTCGTCGTCTGTGGCTTCACTATCGGCGTCCTTCTCGACTAATAGATTTTTGAGTTTGGTCTGGAAAGTCTCTGTCAGTACGCTCGATTTCCATGCGCAAGAAGAGATATCTCTGGGTGAGCATCACCACTTACCTGCGCAATACACTGCCTCGCGTATGTGTACGACCGCTTGAGGGTCGAGTCTGTCTTTGCGCGAAGCCAATTGGAGATGTGTGCCTTGGCCAGTGGAACGAAGGCTGTGCTTGTATCTGCGAACACATTCTGGTAGAAGGTCAGGGCACCCGCAGATAACTTTGATTCGTGTTTCATTCCAAGGTCGCTGTAGTATTTCAAGGTGCCCGTCAAATAGTCGTCCGGGAATGCCCAAAGTTGCTCGTCATAGTCGACATCCAACTCTTCAAAGACAGCCGCAACATTGTTATGATTGGTCATGATTGCGACCATCGACTCTAGTACTGTAAGCAATTCTGCTTCGGGGAAATGACCCTGGGTCATCGCCCAACTAAGATGATAAGTCCACTCAGATGCTGCGTATTTCTTCAGTCCCTTGTCGACATTCGGATGCATGCCACAAAGTATCTGTGAACACAGCACGAATATCTCCCGGTGCGCCTGTTCCGCATAGGTGCGTAAACCAAGTTCATCTCGTGGGGCTGTTTCGAAAAAGCTGCGGGTGGACCGATCGTGAAAGCGCAGAGGGTGATCACCGTCACTGACACTGGACTCATCGGCTGTCTGACCTGAATTGAGCACTTCCAGTGTCGGCTCCTCCACATAAATGCCGGCGGCATTGCGCTCTTCAGCTGGGGCAAGCCGTAGGAAACGCGACAGAGAATTGCCTTGAAGCTCTCTCTCCAGATCGAATGCATCTAGTCCATGCATCTTTAACAGCCCAAGACATTCTTGGAGTGTCAGTGCTCGATCCGAGAAAGCGAGCCATTTGAACAAGAGCCTGAGAGCCGGCAGAGCGGTCGCAGAAGTGTGATGAAACATGTCATCGAGGATCTGTTTATAGAGCGCAGGCCAATTTTCAGGCAGCGAGTTAAGCCGCTTAAGCACTAATGGCTCTCGTCCTACAGCGTTGAAGTGTCTGAGGATGTGTTCACAGAACAAGAAGTCGTATGGGGGTTTACCGTCTGTCCTCTCCACAAGAGCACTGACGATGCTCTGCTTCGCAAACTTGGAGAAACGTTTAAGGCGGTCGTCGTCGTTCAGGTGTTGCCAGATGAGTAGTTGTAAGTCCGCCACTTGTTTCTGTGAAGAGACGTGCAGATAATCTGCACTCGCAGCCTGCAGACGTTCGTCTATTTCTTTATCAGGACGAGTGGTGCATATTAGTGAAATGTTGCTGTTGGCCATAGTTTTCGCTGCTTCGAAGAATTCCAGAAGCTCTTTCTTTTCGCGAAATATAAGCTCATCCAGGCCATCCCATATGATGTATAGCTTCGCAGACGAGCCAGCCGGGAAGAGAGGAGCCACCAGGTGTTTCCAGACATCCTGCCATTTTTCAATGTCAATATCAAGGTCCTCACGCCGGATCTCAGCATTGAGCATTTCGCATAGAACGGGGTTCTGCTCCGCAACCTGAATCGCTATCCAATTAACAGCATTGCAGAACGTGGTCAAATCGACAGAATTCTGCTCGCGGAAGAAGAAGCTTGCCACACATGTGTCCGCAGAAGCATGCTTGGTCAGATGATCGAAGACCGAAACTGCTATGTGGCTCTTGCCATGACCTGCCGGAGCCTCAATCGCAAGAATCGACATTCCCTCCCGGGGAGTGGTTGATGGTGCGATGAACGAGGTCCATGCCTTCTCCTCGAATAGCCACTGACAGGTATCTGGCAGAAGTCGTTCCTTAATACCTTGGTACAGGACTGCCGGATCGACTGTATCTTCGAAGAAGGTACGGACTCGGTTTGAGGTTGCTGGTTTGGTCGCCGCTTTAGATGCTCTCGGCAGCCCGACATCGCGATTTCGCTGATCGAACATGGTGAGAAGCTTCTGAATATTCTTCAAATCGTTTTTGACATCTTCCTGGTGTTCAAGCACGCTCTGGAGCATTTTCGTTTGATTCTCGATCATCTCGGTCTGCAAATCCTGGTTCTGCTGCAGCTCGACTGTCATGCGATTATTCTCTTCCGTATTGCCGAGAATAGCGTATTCTGTCGCGGCCTGTAAGCGATTGAGACTTGTGTCCATTGCCTTTCGCGCGCCTCCCAGGTCACTGTCTTCTCCTTTGATCATGTTAATTACCCACTTCTTTAACCTTCCAAGCTCGATGTATCTGTTGGGAAGAAGTCAGTTCGCCTGTATCATCAGCGTCTATGAGTAACAAATGGAAGTACTTTGTCGCGAAACCGCACATCTTCAGAATGCTTGTGAAAACATCCATCAGGCAGTTGCGGTATGCAGGATACGCCGGCAGTCGCGATTCCAGAATTGTGATCCTCTGCAAGAATGCATTCATGTCCTCGAAGAATGCATTGACGGCCTACAGGTCTCAAGATCAGCATGCGAAGCTCCCAGTCTTTCTGTCGACTGCAAACGAAGGCTTTTCTGCCAGCCAGCTGCATGGCGGAACGATTAGCCTGGGCCATTCGACCTACATCATAATCTGCAGACACTTGCTTGCAAGCACTGAGCATATAAGTCAACGCTGTGCCTATCGCGGCTGCCGGCGGGAAAGCAGGAGTGGCCGCGGCAACCAGTTGTTGAGCTCCGGTCTCGATGTAGCCGATATTCGCCATGAAGAGGCTTCGGAGTTTGTCGACCTTCTTCTGGTTGTGCCTGAATTTGTGGAACGAGTTCATCTCTTTTGTGCCGAACGCAATGATCTCATTGACATTTGCGAACTTGGGCTGTAGATCTGTGCCAACAATGCCCTTGTATGCTCGCAGAGCATCGCTCCACAGATCGGCCACATCTCTATGCACAATTAGCAAATCCTGGAGAAAGATGCTGATCGCGTTCTGCGTGCCTGTTGTCCTTTTCGAGCTCGCCCTTGATCTTTTTCACGCTTTCTGCGTCCTGAGCTGTTGTAGACATGTCTGCTAAACGTTAAGGAACCAAAAACGAAGCGGCATGCCGAAGCATATCAGAGAGCCAAGGAAAATGTTGGATCTGTCTGGTGCATATTGGGAATGTCGCGCTCAGCCTCAGCTGAAGCTCTTGCGTGCCTCTCCCGCAGCTCTGCTTGCGCCACAGACGCCTATCCATTGGAAATACCAGTTGTGATTGGGGCCTGGGACGCAGATTGTCTAGCACTGCTAGCATGGCGTGTACCAACAGTCGGAGCTCCTCACTCAAGGCGCAAGGCGTCCGGCCACGTGAACCCAGGTGCTGCTGCGGCCTAAGCAGAATCAAGCTCACCGCACAAGCCAAACGCAGCGGAGCTTGAGCTGTTGCAGAGGTCGTCGCGAAGCTGCAATGTCGATGTCGCAGCGGTCCCTCACATGGTCGCTGCCGAGACTTTGTGACCAGAATGGCACGACTTCTTCACGCGAGCCTTTTTCGTCGAGCCAAGCGCTGACGCGCAAGGCCAGTCCGGCGCGTCTCCTATGCGTCCTGTGCACATATCACATCACACTCATATCGTGATGCCTAATAGAACGTTCATGGATTGTAGGAGACCGGTCGTGATTTTGTATGCCGAAGTACACCCGACAGCCTGCACCTGCTGACAGTGTCCAGGGGTTCCTTCATTCTCGCCTGTTTCGTGCTTTACATCCACGCGCTTTTCCCGTGGACACCATCAGGAGGAACAGTCAATATGGGAAGCAAACCGCCCGCAGCCATTTTCAAGTTTGAAGCGGTGACGGATGTCTTCATGCAGTCTCAGCCCGGCACAAATCCCAGCGACTTTGACAATACAAAGCAGAACTTCGGCCTCATCCATCAGACGTACCCTACAGACCAGACAAGCGTGAGCGACGTGGACACGGACTGGCAACGGTTCATGCGCTATGTCCACTACCTCAAAGCTACAACCGGAGACCACATTGACTACAAAGTACTCTACCTTGGACGGCATGGAGAAGGCTTTCACAATGTTGCCGAGGCATATTACGGCACCAAGGCCTGGGACGACTACTGGTCTAAGCTGGACGGCAATGGAACGATGAATTGGCTGGATGCTCACCTCACCGACGTTGGGAAGGAGCAAGCTCGTGCAGCTGGAGCGTTCATGCAAGCTCAATTGGTCCAGCCACGAATGATGCCAGCACCGGAAGGATACTATGTATCGCCGATGTATCGCTGCTTGCAGACTGCCACGTTCACATGGGGGAACCTAAAACTCCCGCCGAGTAAACCTTTCAAGCCTCTGATCAAAGAGCTTGTGCGCGAAGTGCTCGGCGAGCACACATGTGACAAACGAAGCACCCGCACTGCAATACATGAGGCATTCCCTGATTTCCCGATCGAAGAAGGCTTTGCTGAGCAGGATGAACTTTGGCGTGCCGACCACCGCGAGACGCACGAGGAGCACGATGCCAGGACGCAGGCTTTGCTGGATGATCTGTTCACGAGCGATGACAAGACCGTTCTGTCGCTCACCAGCCACAGCGGTACTATTGCAAGCTTCCTGCGCGTTCTTGGCCACAGAGAATTCAAGCTGCCCACTGGCGGCATGATCCCAGTGCTGATCAAGGCAACGAGATTGGACTGAGAGCTTCATCAGCAATCAGCGCACAGGACTTCGCGAAGAACAGCTCAGCAGAAGTCGGAGGCGGACCCGGGCCAAGGTCCTTGAGGTCTGGTGCAGAGCAAAGTGCAGCCGCAGTGTGAGCAAGGAGGGCCTTCGAATGGGCCGTCATGGTCAATGGCTGCTATCCATCGCTTGCGTTCTGCGACCAGACACGCTTGCGATGCATATTTGTAGTCGCAAGATATGTCCCGCTGTGGTGGCTACGCAGAGACAGATGCTCCTAGAAATGGCATTGGCTGCTGGATGCAAAATGGGTGGCGAAGATGAATGATCGAGCTCCGCATGTCCAAGGCGCGTTGCCACGAAATATCGACTGTTCACATCACCTACAATCCAACATGCCGCGCTCGATTGGCGACGGGAACAATTTGTGCGCAGCCGAGACAGCGACGTTCGTACCTTCCCAGTTACACGATGTGTATATGCTCGGCAGCTGCGTCTGAGCTGCGACTGCCTTCCCGAGGGCGAGTTTGGAAAGCACCTACTACATGTAGGCACCGCTCCGCAGAGACGTCAACACAACACACCTCGAAGCACACTCTCGATTGCGACACTCGTTGACTTTACTCTCCCACTCGCTGCACCCAACAAAATGCAACTCTCATACAGCATCGTGCTTCTTGCGGCAAGTTGTGCCGGTGCAACCTACGACACGATTGGCAATGTCGGACCGGCAGCGTTTCTCTGGCCCCACGAACGCCCTTTCTTAGCGGATACGGACACCATCTCTCCCTGTGGCTCGACACGTGGTGTTCAGACAAGGACCGAGTTTCCCATGAGTGCGTTGCTTCGAGGCAGCACGGAGAGACCAAGCTGACACAGAACAGCAAATGGCCGAATTGCTCTTCTGGCCCGCAACAAGACACGCGCGGTTCATGTTGCAGTCTCGTACTCTAACAGTCTGCAGCCCTCGCTTATCCTACCTGCAATGCATCCTGACATGTTTCTGCAGACCCAGTTGAACAGGACGACTTCGATATCTTCGATGGGCCCCAACAAATCCAGCTCGGTATTGGTCACACTTGTATCTGGGCGCCGGACGCACCAGCCGGCGTGGCAGCTGGCGCAAATGCCACCTTTCAGGTGTTTTACACCACCGGAGGAGCACACGACGTCCACTACGCTTGCGCAGATGTCACCTACGTCGATTCCGGCGCTTTCGACGAGCTCGTTCCATGCTTCAACGCCACGAGACCTAGCAGCTTGAATCCGCGTACCATTGTCTCGCCGACAGCGTTTCCTTACAATTCTCCACCCTGGGCAGAGAGCGACAGCCGGTACACTCTGCTGTCACCTGGCCAAATCACGGCTATCACCATCGGCTCAATCGTGTTCGCTGCCTTGATTGCTTCAGGGCTGATTCCACTCTGGCGGCGCATCCGCAACCGAAGAGTGGAGCCGAAAGAAATGCAAGAGTTGGAGAAGGCCACAAGTGAATCGTTTCCACACTAGGTCAACGAGATCGTGACCCCACTGCGTCCTTGCTTGAAGTTGCGTGATTGCGGCACGCGGATCACTGCGAAGCATGGCTCACAGGAATGTCAGACGACATGGTTTTGTTCAAAGACTGAAGCATGATAGCTTGCACTCACCAGATATGTTTATGAAAAGCATGGAGACATGGAATGTATTTAATCACTCTTCGTCGTCGTTCCACCAGCCACGATCGCCTTCAATTTGTCCAATCCACTGCCGCTCCAATGTATCCCGTCGAGCATCCACAGAGGTAACAACGAATGCAGCAGCCAGATCACAGTTCCCATATATCCATTGACAACACGGTTTGCGGGCGTATCTTTCAACAGCTCCTCCACCACTTTTCCGGCAATATGATGTCGATCATGTCCAGCCTCAGTGGCCGAACTCTCGAGCATCAACTTCTCCACATCCTCCCGAATGAGCGAATACCAGCTCGTTTCCGCGACGGTCCCTCCCCTCATATTCTTCGCAAACTCCGTCTTCACAGCACCCGAAACCAAAGCCACGACGTTGATCCCAAAAGGATCGAATTCCAACCTCATTATATCTGTCAAACTAAGTAACGCAGCTTTCGAACTCGAATAAATTCCCATATAAGGTCTACTAAAACCAGACAGCCCGGCTACGCTGGCTTGATTTACAATCGTGCCTTTTGCTGCGCGGAGCAACGGGAAAAATGTTTGAGTTACGGATAGTGCTCCCCAGACATTGACGTCGTATTGCTTTTTTGCGAGGGAGATGTCTACGTCTAGGAGAGGGGAGTAGTAGCCGTAGCCGGCGTTGTTGATTAGGAAGTGGAGGTGGCCGTTTGTGAGTTGTTTGATGAGGTTGTAGGCTTCTGAGAGGGATTTTGAGGAGGTTACGTCGAGGTGCATCCGGATCAGGAAGCCTGAGTTTGGATTGTTGGGGGTGGGAGTGATGTGTTCGATGGTTTTGGTTTCGAGGGCTGTGGCGATTACGTTTATGCCGGAGGTGAGGAAGGCTGTGGCTTCTGCGTCGCCTAGGCCGCCGGGGCTGCAGCCTGTTATGAGGGCCCATTTTGAGGATGGAGTTTGTTGGGCCGTGGCCATGTTTGAGGGTTGTGCGGTTTAAGCTCGAAGCCGATAGTGCGGTGAAGTGCTACCTTATGTTGACTGTAGCTGCGAGCCCCACTTTAAAAGCATGCAAGGAGCTCAGATTCTGGCGGATATAATGGCCATACATAGCAGCTCGACATGAACATAGGAAAACGAGATCATTGCTTGAGATTCGTCACACCTAATCCCTCGGAACATTCAGTCAGACTATTTTCATATATGAAGAAGAGTTAATTAACTGTATATGCATGATCGTTACACTCGTCGAGACATCAATCGCAGCGTGACTTCCATGCGTTGGAGAAGTGTGAGTGAATACAAGCAACGCTTCTGCAGAGGGTCTGCTACTTGTTTTTCCATCCTTGTGGAGTTCCCAGAGGGTCTGCTACTTGCTTTTCCATCCTTGTGGAGTTTCCTGCAGAGTCTGAGGCTTTCCGGTTCGGTCGGTGGAATCGATAGTAGGCATTTGTGATCTGAGCACGCTAACCAACCGCAAGAAGACATCGTGCGAGAAGCCGAAGTTCCAAGGCATGATATGGAGCAGAGAGTAACTCGCAAAATCCCCGCTATTCTGCCGGTGCTTCACTTGGGCCTCGAGGTGGAGACATTAGGGTGCTAGTGATCTCGAGGTGGACGAGTCTTTCATTTCTCTTTCTCGCGAGAACGTGTTCCAATGCCCGACTGTTCTGCTACTGTGGCCGCGTTCGTAGATGCCATTTAAAGAGTGGAGGATGGGTACCAACACCCCAGCGGTGTTCGTTGGGGTGCCCAGAGCCGGCAAGGCATCGACCTGGCACCGACTTGAGAAACGGTCATGGTCTCCAGAAGATCTTGGTCATTATAGCTGGAGCGTCAAGGAGGATCGTGGTATGAGGTAGTCCATGTGAATCAGTACCTTCTCTGCATCGGGCCATCGCCTTCCAACTCCGCCGTGTGACCGCCTGGCATGCGGTCATGACTGTGCAGTCCGGCCTGAGCATCCAGTTCGGAGACCTTCCTCGTGTCGCCTTCGACTTCGGCCCACACCTTGGGTTTCTTCTCCTCGGCACTCGTCTCGTAGATCTCGCCCGTACTGTCAATCTGGTGAAACACTTCTCTCCCTCCCGCGGACATCTCGGTGTGCTCCTGCGGATCTCCGTGCGTACCTAGTTGGCTCTTCTTTGCACGTCTTCGTCTCCACAGTGCAAAGCCTACGATGGCAATGACCAACAGCACACCTAAGGAAACACCAACGCCGACTCCAGCTTTCGCTCCAGCCGACATACCACTGCTTTTCTCCTCCGCAGCCACAGGCTGCAACGTCGATGAAGGAATAACACTCCCATTCCCACTCGTCATCATCGGCGCCTGGATATCAGTCGCGATATTCCAGCTCCCAGTCTCAGTCGGGTGTCGCTCCAACCGACTCAAATCCGAACTCTGCCATGCAATAAAAATGGGCGTGTCGAAAGCATAACCCGCCGTGGTCGTCACACTCGAGCCATCAGCTCCAACTCCACTCAAAACAACCCTCGTAGACTCCGGATAAGAACCACAATCGTAATATGCCGTGGAAGCATGCATATACCACGGACAACATGTCGCGAAAGTCTCGGTAAAACCAATCCCGTCCGACCACATGGACGCTATACTGTACGCCGAAGGACAAATTCCTGGAGAGAACTGGACCCAGCCATCTGATAATGTCGCCTCTGGTGGGAAACATTCTGTGCTGTAGCCGCGATGGATAGTGAGAGTAGAGCCATCGCTGCCTTTATCTGTGAGATCCGTGAAAGAGCCAGTCTTGCCTGAAAGGGTGTAGGTTCTTTGGAGGCAAGAGAGTGGTGGCGTGAAGACTGTTGTGAGAGCTGCCGTGGTTTTTGAGGACGAAGGGGGTATAGTCGATGTCATGTTGAATAAGAATAAAAAGAGACACAATTGTCCCACTCCAGGTCTGAGAGAATCCTTCTCGAGAAGGGAAAAGGCAGATGCAGTAAGAGGTACTTTAATCAGGCCACGACTCTCCACAGCACCACAAGACGAAAATAGTTCTTCAACCGAACAGAAGCGCGCGTGCGAGAAGCGAGCAACCAAGCGACTTTTAAAACAAAACCCAACAGCCAAGGCGCGGAGCTTTAACATGTGATGGGCAATGATCAGTAGTCAAATATGACCGCTCTTGCATTTGCGATGAGCTCCTGCTCGACCGTTGGGCTTGGCCACATGGTTTGCAATCCTGAAGGGTGAATCGCTTTTGCAGGTCGTGCGCTGGTGCTGTCGGTTATGGCTAGCCAGAAGCGCCAAGAAGTGATATATCCTTGCAAGTGCAGCTCGCTTGGGGGTCTGAAGGATTTCAAGCCTGTGGCCGCGAGATAGCGCCGGCCATGGGATGAGAGTGATGAATGCATTGCAGGGCGGTGGTAATGCATCGTGGGGGGAAATGGCGAATTTTGGCTTGCTGTAAAGAACTCGCAAAGGTATGTGTAAGCTTTCATGTGGTGGAAGGTATTTTCTTATGCTGACTTACATAGAGCGCCACTTGTTTCGCAGTTGGTCAAGTGGCGACGAGAATCGTCCGAAGTGTGTTGGTGACTGGAGACCATGCATGGTTGCATGGCGCGAAGGAATGCGAGTGCCTGCACAAGGTGGCTTAGGTCGGAAAACTAGTCTTTATTTTCTCTGGAGTTGGCTCTATTTTTCTATGTGCATCATCCACAATGACGCTGATCCGGGGTATCACGAAACAATAAACCCAAACGCCCTGTTTCACGCTCGCTAAAAACAACATCATATCATCTTGTGCCAATGCCATCACAAATTGTAACAAATGCAAACCGCTGATCTAGGGAACTGCAGCTTCCGGGAGATCTAGTTTCGGCAGATTCATTTGATCGTCCATTTTCATTCCCATTGTCATGCCATCTCTTGGGGACGGCATGCTCTTGTTGGAAATGACGCTCAGCTTCCTCGTCATCGCCCTAATGGCCTGCGGGCTGCCCACTGGACCTGCGGGTGAAAGTGTTTCGTCCTCGACGGGAATGCGGAGCCAGCGACGGATGTCTCCATCTTTGCTGAGGATTTCTTTGTCGTCCTCTCCAGCCACTTCGATGCCATTCTCGCGAAGGGTCTGCTGAAAAGCGCGGAAATTGAGCTCCATGATTCGTTCGGGCTCCTCGGCTTTGGTCACACGCTTCGCAATCCACGGAAAGAGCAGACCGAAATCTGACTGATTAAAGTGTTGACTTTGCTTGATGTAGAACAGATGCGGCCCTGCTGTCCGGGTTGGCGACGCCGAGTCTGGACTAGAAGTAGTCTGTGGTTGCGATGTCCTTGATCTTGCTTGAGATAGGCCACTAGCCTTACTCCGTTGTCGATGCAAGGAGCGCAGAGGAGTATTTCCTGATGCGTAGCCAGAATCTCGTCCTGGGGATTGATCTCGTGCCAGGCGCGCCCAGTCGGGCAGGAGCTGTCCCGGTGCGCGAGAAAGTCGAGGTGCCGTCGACGGACGACGAGATAAGGAAGGAGCGCCTACGATATGCTTATTGATGCTGAGATTGTCGTCCCAGTTGAAAAATGCCTCGGAAAGAATGGAAACCACGTTTGAGCCGGCCGGGCCACCGATTGCGTAGGATGGCAATGGCTTATCCCACAGATAGGCTTGATCGGGAGACTTGAACGGCAATCCCCACATGTCCATGAGTATCATCGGGCTCTCGGGCATGATCTGGTGTGCGATCGCGGCGTCGGCATTGGGCACGAGCAGAGGCTTTCCAGCGTCTGCTGGTCTGTCTTTGGCATAGAAGATGCTCTTTAGCAGCTGCACGGTTGTGCATGCGCCGTATGAGTGTCCTGAAAACGTAACTTTTCCTGCCCGATGGATATCCAGCATGTCGTTGAACATGTACAGTACTTCTACTCGCTCTTTCCGTTTTGTGCTCGCGTTAATATCCAAGTTTTCCAGTCTTTGGCCAGCATCAATTTTCGTCAAAGCTTCGTATGCCATACTGATCTCCCACAATCGAATACGCAATTGCTTGTCTCTCGCCTCATACACTTCAGGGCTGGGCTCATGGCTGATTTTCACAGGGTCTACTATCCGTGCTTTTGTGGAACTTGTCTCGCGAACATACTGAATTGGACTGCTGCCATCCCGATGGTCTAGTGCAATCACGATCATGCCATTGCTCGCCATGTCACCGCACACGTAGCTATACGCATTCCTGCTGCCTGCCAGTCCGTGGCTGAAGACTGCCACTGGCCAGCGTCCATTACGTGTGGGCGCGTCAAGCAGTTTGGCGTTTCGATGCGCTGGAAGGCTGATCCAGTACAGCTGCTGTGGCATCCACGATATCAGGCTGGCGACTTTTGGATTCTTCACGCCCAAGAAATTGGCAAACGCGCGCATCGTCGGTCGCTGCGGATTGGGGATCCATCGGACAGGGCGCGTGGCTTCCGACGGTTCGGGTTTGTGGCAAGGGTAGAAGATGCGAAAGGAGATGGTTTCAGCGGCATTTTCGGGCGTTTCGCATGGCGATGGGAGGTCGGCGGCTGGTATCTCAACGTCGACGGTGCCGACTTCGTAGGGTCCGTGGTATGAAGGGAATGAGACGATGGGATTCCAGCCCGAGAGCCACGAGGCCATATTGGCTGCCTCGCTGCGTGGTAATGGTCGAATGTGGGAGGCCCGCCGTGCGCGGTGCTCGTCGACAAGGGGCGTTTGGTGAGGCGATCAGGCGCTGCTATCGCTGTGGTCAAGTCGTAGAAGGGGTGGTAGGCAGAAGAGTAGTGAATGTGGTCGCAAATGCTTTTCGCTTTAGTAACGGATGCAGAAAAAGCAGCAGGAGGAGAGTAAAGAGAGCGTGGGCGAATGGACCGAGCAGACGGATTTAGGAACGAGTAAGTGGTCGTGTGTGTCGCCGACTAACTACTGCACGCTATTGCGTCAATGCGCTTTCACGTGGCAATCTCGACGCGTCTTTTCAATCCGTCTTTTCCATCTCATTCTGCTTTCTTTCATGCCTGCGACGACATGAGCACGTTGTGCGACCCGCGGCGTCTGAATGGCGGATGGGCGTGATGATGGTGTGACAATATTGATCTTACTCTGCCAGCACAGATGAGACGGCGAAGTTGGACTGTCGCGCAGTTCCCGGTTTGCCCGCACAGCCTCGTCATCCGCGGCCACTGCCCTCTCGTATCCTTCTTCTCGAACATGACCGCCATCGGGAGACAGCCTATTGGCACTCGGCGCTGACCCGTCGCGGAGAGCAGGGCAGCGCGGAGCTCTCGAATCACTCTCGCAACACCAACCAGCATTCCGGGCCGTGAGCACACTTTGCAGCCCTGCACGCCGAACGCACAATGCCGTGCATGCTACGTGCATGCCCGTCTATTCGGCTCGTGAGCGACGCACGCTTCGCAGTGACGACAGCCTCGCGAAGCACTGAAACGGCACCACCGATTGAACGCGCGCTGAAACGGTCCACGTCGCTGCCCATCGATCGCCGCCAACAATTCATCTTCGGTGCCGTGTCGAAACGCGAAATCGGCATATTGGTTGCTCCTGCTCTGCCCCCTCCCTGGTCGCCGGAAACAAGTGTCGCAAACTCTCCAGGTGCCGATCGACGATCATGCGACGTTTTGACGCTGGCATAACTGCCCTACCGAACCGCACGCCTATGTAACTGTCAATGCTACCTGGTCCGGGGAGCTTCTTTCTGGAACTGCTCGATCAAAATCTCTTCATTGCTTCTCACATCCGTCTATCCTTGCTATCCTCTCACCAGCTTCCCACTCCTGTCTCGAGACATTGCCCATCCTTTGACCGCTTCATGGCCTACTCATCATCGTCGATTACCTGTCTCTTCTCACGTTATTTGAACACCTGAGACCGGTCGCTGGTCTCGACAGCATTCGCTCCATGCAGTCGCGCAGCACGCCTTTCGTAGAATCCTCACACCACTCCGCCCTTCCAGCAATGTCCGGCCACGACATGTCGCTCAACGTGCGCGTTTCCCTCCTCACCGCGCAGATTCTCGAATACTGGACATCATGCCAATTGAAGCTGGCGAAATCAAAGTCGAAAAAGGGCTCGGTGCCACTCGCATACGTACCATCAGTCTCCGGAGATGTGCAGACAGAACCGCGGAGGTTGTCGAAGTCCACCGTGAGTGTGATATGGCTTCCGATGAGTGCAATGGCGTTCTGATGAAGTCTAGTCGCCGAAGCGTCGCAAGTCATCACTGCAATCGCTCCAGTCAAGTCTGCAGGACAAGGCGGCAGCCACATGTCTAGTGCAGAACTTCAGCGTCCTATCCCAAAGGTGTGCAATCTCCTACGCATCAGCTTCCCAGGCATGCCCGAGGCCCCAATGGCGGCCGAGCCCAAAGGCATCGACTGTTTCTCTTGCAACAACAAACCCAGCATCGCCCATCCGCTCCATCGTGTCGTTCGACTGAACCCAGAGAACGGTGCTGACTGGCGACTAGTCACGACGCCCCTCAATGGATGCCTGATGAGACGCCAGAATGGGCAAAGCATGGAGAAGACTCCCCGAGGTGTTCTTTCGACTCTCATCACAGCGTGACGAGTCAAGTCGATTTTGCGATCGAAAAGCCCAAGGATTATATCAATCTGAGCGATCTGATGAGCCATACAACGACACTTGTGAGCTCGAGCTCATGTCGGCATGTGGGCAGTCCTGGCTCAAGCTCGAGAGGGTCAAGCGTTTCCACGCCGTCGAGGGCGTCCAGCTTTTGAAATGGAGCTCAAGAAAGAATTATGACGCAAGTCTGAAAATGTTAGCTACTGAAGAAGCGAGTGCCCTAGGCAGGAGCGCCCAGTCATGTCAGTTAAGGTCGACAAAAGGGCCATTGGAATCCGACAGGGTGAGGCGATTGTGCTCTTCTGGCGTTATTGAGGTGTGATCGCACTTATCATCACACAGTCTCACTGGTAGCTCCCAGACGCCTTTTTTAATGGTAGATACGAGCAAAATATGATATTCGTTTGATGCTCTGCTTTGGCTTGTGATGTCTCCAGATTGGCGAAGGGGAAGATGTGGAAATTGAGAGCTTTGCTGCAAGCTCAGCTCCACTGCTTTGCTCCAACATGATATCGAACAGGAAACTGCAGGCACAGCATCGGCATGTGGACAGCAATGCACTGACCTGTTGCGATCCCGGCAATGTGGCTCGCTTCGTGGAGGTAAATGGCGGCAATTGGCATCTTGGCGAGCCAAATACCGCCTCACCTCTCCTTGTGCTTCTTGAGTTCACGATCGACTCTTGGCAATATCTTCTGTGTCCTCTTTACCATCTTCCATCGTCTCCAGTCGCGAAATACTGTGAATCAGCATCTCATGCGGAGCAGAGCGCTGACTGTGCCTTCTCCAGACACTCCGCAAGTGGGGTCTGGAACGGCTTCGGCGGAGAATCGGCCAAATATCCTGCCCACACGATGCCATATGGGGCCGACTGGAGGAATGGTAAGACAAGATCGAGGACGATGTCGTTCATCGCAGGTCGCGACTCTGGATGATCAGAGGCCCAAATCGTTAAAATCATAGCGAGGAGACGACAGATCGCTTCGGGAATGGTGCTCTCTGGCAAACTGCAGCAACGACCAAATGTACCACCAAAACTCATGAACTGCAGCTTGCAGTAGTGAAGAACGACCGCAAACACGGGAATAGTCCGGGCGATAGCGCAACGACTAATCAGTGTCTCGACGTCACGAATGGACAAGAACTTAGGAATTCTGCCCATTAGCGCGAGGACATCTTACCCAGAAGATCCACCTCACGCGAGTTTCCTTGCTATGGTCTTACGCACGATGCAACACAGTGACGGACATTGCTACTGGGGCCCTTCGGATTGTAGCCACGGGTGGTGATAGAACTTCGGTCGGTCGTCAAAAGTGGTCGGACGTGATCGAGTACATAGAGGGCAGGCGCGCCGCCTGTCAGAGGTAGGTCTGTCGTCTCCCGCTCTTTCCTTCACACGGTCGTCCGAGGAAAATGCCTTCCATCAAGGCTGCGTTCCTGGCCGCTGCCACTTCTGTAGCAGCTTACGACTACTCACAGCTAGCTGCTAGCAAAGACAACTATGGAGCACCGGTAAGCTTCTGCAGAGAACTTATCTAGAGCTTCCCGGTTTTACTGACTTCAAATTCCTCAGTACCCAGATACCACCTATCCGGGATACGAAAGCCAGTCTCCCGCTGTGCTGAGCGGCAGTTCGAGCTTCCAAGCTTCTCCTCCAAAGTATCCTTCACCATGGATGGATGCCAGCTACGGCGACTGGGCTGGAGCATACAAGAGGGCACACGATTTCGTAAGCCAGCTTGCACTGGCTGAGAAAGTCAACTTGACCACTGGTACAGGTTGGCAGCTCGAGGCATGTGTTGGCAACACGGGTGGCATTCCACGACTGGGCTTCCGCGGCCTCTGTCTCCAGGATTCCCCAACCGGTATCCGCATGACAGACTTCAACTCTGTTTTCCCGGCAGGTGTCAACGTTGGTGCTACCTGGGATCGCAAACTTGCCTACGCTCGAGGCAAAGCAATGGGCGACGAGCATCATGGAAAGGGCATTGATGTTCAGCTTGGTGTAAGCATTAGAAAAAGCTTGGCAGGTACTGGGATAACACTGACGATTTCTCCGTAGCCCGTTGCGGGACCCCTGGGTCGTACGCCAGAGGGTGGCAGAAACTGGGAAGGCTTCAGTCCTGACCCTGTTCTCACTGGCCAACTGTTCGCCGAGTCCATCAAGGGTATCCAGAGTGCCGGTGTCATCGCGACGGCCAAGCACTACATCATGAACGAGCAAGATCACTTTCGCTTGGTCCAAGACTCTGAGAAGTTCGGCTACAACATCTCTGAGCCTTACTCTGCCAACTTGGATGACGAGACCCTGCACGAGCTCTACCTCTGGCCTTTCGCAGATGGTGTCAAGGCTGGTGTTGGATCCGTCATGTGCTCGGTAAGGAACCTACCACTGCCCAACTTTCGACCTTTACTAATTGATTTCCCATAGTATAACCAAGTGAATGACTCCAACGCCTGCCAAAACAGCTATATTCTCAACTATGTGTTAAAATCGGAGGTAATTCGGTCCATATCCCCCTGCCTTGAAATACCAGAACACTAATGAATTGCCCATCAGCTCGGATTCCAAGGTTTTGTGATGAGCGACTGGCTGGGAACCCATTCTGGTGTCTCCAGTGCACTGGCAGGTCTCGACATGACTATGCCGGGCGAAGCAACAAATTACAACCAGCTCGACTCTTTCTACGGCACTAACCTCACAGTGGCTGTCCTCAATGGCACCGTCCCAGCATGGAGAATCGACGATATGGCCATGCGTATCATGGCAGCTTTCTTCTACGTGGACGGCCAAGTAGAGCGTGAACCTGAGAACTTCCAGTCCTGGACGACAGATACATATGGCCCACTTCACTTCTACACAGGCGAAGGTGGCATCCAGCAGATCAACCAGCATGTCAATGTCCAAGGCGATCACGGCAAATTGATCCGCCAGTGGGGCGCTGAGAGCACTGTACTCCTCAAGAACGTCAACAATGCACTTCCACTGTCCGGCAAGGAGCCACTCACTGCTGTATTCGGTGAAGATGCTGGTCCAAACCCATCTGGTCCAAACTCATGCTCCGACCGCGGTTGTAACAATGGTACCCTCGGAATGGCTTGGGGCTCTGGAACCGCGGAGTTCCCATACCTCGTCACTCCAGACACAGCAATCCAGAACGAAGTATTGGCCAATGGCGGTGCATATGAATCCAACCTGGACAACTGGAACCTTGAGCCCATCGGCAAGCTCGCGCGCCGTGCCAACGTCTCCATCGTCTTCGCGAACTCAAACAGTGGCGAGTGGTATCTCGAAGTTGATGGCAACCTCGGTGACCGCAATAACCTGACATTCTGGCAAGGCGCGGACGAGGCTATCGAGCGTGTCGCAGGCAACTGCAGCAACACTATTCTTGTTGTTCACTCCGTCGGCCCGGTCTTGCTCGAGAAGTACAAAAACCACGAGAACATCACAGCTATCCTTTGGGCTGGTGTGCCGGGCCAAGAGAGCGGCAATGCCATCGCTGACGTGCTTTATGGACGTGTCAATCCAGGCGCGAAGCTGCCTTTCACTATTGGCAAGGACCGCAAAGATTATGGCGCGGATATTTTGTACTCCGAAACAAACGATTCGGTTCCGCAGATCAATTTTCAAGAGGGACAGTTCATCGATTACAGGGCTTTCGACAAGCACAACTCGACTCCTTCGTACGAGTTTGGGTTCGGCCTGTCATTCACGACTTTCAACTACAGCAACCTCGAAATTTCGAAGCTGGAAGCCCCAGCTTACACGGCCCCCTCCGGCAAAACGAAGCCCGCTCCAACGATTGGCAACTTCTCCACAAAGGCCGAAGACTACGTATTCCCAGCCAACTTCAGCCGTGTCCGCGGATTCCACTACCCATGGTTGAACTCGACCAACTTCACCCTCGCAACTGATGATCCACACTACGGCCTCAACATCTCCCTTCCTGCGCATTCACAAGACGGCTCTGCTCAGGTGATCCCCAAGGCTGGAGGTGCCCCAGGTGGTAACCCTCGTCTCTACGATGTTCTCTACAACATTACAGCCACCATCACGAACACTGGCAAGGTTGCTGGTTACGAGGTTCCACAGCTGTATGTCAGTCGAGGAGGACCTTACGACCCAGTGCGTGAGCTCAGAGGTTTCGAAAAACTCTGGATCGAGCCTGGTCAGAGCAAGACGTTTGCTGTTGGCCTCACGAGAAGGGATATCAGCAGCTGGAGCACCGTGGAGCAGGATTGGTTTGTGAGAAACAGCACCAAGAAGGTCTGGGTTGGCAGCTCTAGCAGACAGTTGCCATTGACTGCTACACTGCCTCAGTAAGTGTCAAGCGGGAAAACAGAAACAGGGTGGACAACGCCAGCGACCTTTCGTCATGAATCGTTATGTGAGATTTGAGAAATTATCATGAAACTTATGTACAGCTAGATGGTAAAAGTAAAATCATCATGAACTACGCATTCACGCCAGTCGCCTGCGACCCAGCGGCCTGCAGGATATACTCAGCAGCCTTCTCCGCAATACCGAATGCTGGCATCTGTGTGTGACCGCTGTGCACGTACGGCATAATACTGCAGTCCACAACGCGCAGGTTCTTGGTCCCGTACACAATCAGATGCTTATCCACGACGGCAGTGGGGTCCTCCCTCTTGCCAATCTTGCACGTTCCGACAGGGTGATATGAAGTCGAAGCGTACTTTTGCACATGTGGTTGCCAGTCCTCGTTCGTTTTGTTCTTGTGATGATTCGTGCCCGGTGGCCAAGAACCTTTGACGACTTTCTTGGTACCTGCACCCTCCATGACGACTTCGTTGGCCCATCGTACACCCTCAGACATCATGATCAGGTCACGCTTATCGGAGAGGTAGCGTGGGTCGACATATGGTGGCTCGAAAGGATCTGTGGTTTTGATCTTGACTTCGCCGCGAGATTGTTGACCGCAGAGGAAACAGCACATTGCCATTGCGTATTGGCCTTCTTTGGGTTTGTCGGTGTATTCTGGTGGGCCACCGTAGCAGATTGTATTGAAGAATTCGAGGTTAGGTTGGGTTTTGGTGAGGCCCATTGGGTCGCGACCTTCTTCGCGGGGGAGGGCGGCCCATTCGGGGTTCTCTTTATCGAGACGTTCGCTGAGGCGGGTGAAGCCGAAGGCGCCGAAGGGGAAAGTGGCGGGCCAGCCGGTCTTGTCTTTCAGCCACTCCTTGTGTCCGTTCTCGTATGCTTCCGGGTCGTGGTTTACTCGTGCGTCGTCGGTGAGATCAGGTCCGTCCACTTCGTAGTAGGTGAAGATCAATTGGTGGTCTTGGAGGTTCTGGCCGACGGCAGGAATGTCCTTCAGGACGGGAATGTTGAGGTCTTGGAGAGTTTGCTTTGGACCGAGGCCAGATCGCATGAGGATGGCTGGGCTACAGTATGTACCACCGCAGACGATGACTTCTTTGCCTGCTGCCACCTTTACCTTGTTGCCGTTGTCATCGACATATTCGACAGCTTTCGCAACCAGCTCGCCGTCGGAGCCTGGCTCCAAGATGACTTTGTCGACGGTTGCATTGCACTTGATTGTTACATTCGGTCGCACCTTGTCCTTCGTGATGTAGTCTGCGGCTGTCGTTCGCCAGCCTTGATATGTAGTCCTCATTGCGTGGCCACAGCCATGGGATGCAACACCAGAAGAGAACATATCAGGAATATATGGAAGTCCCTTGTCTTTGAAAGACTCGAACAAGGCATCAGCGATCGGAATTGGTGGGAGGGCGGGCTCAATGTGTAGTGGTCCATCGTAACCGTGGGCGTCTTCATCGTGTGCTACATGAAATAATATCAGTGGAGTAATTGAGAACATCTTGCGCACCCGTCACTTACGGAACCACTTCTTTGGGTGGAATGTCTCAGCCTAGCTAGATAGTCAATAGGTTGTTCGCGTTGGTTTTCGTGGCCAGACTAACCTTCTTCATGGCCCTGAACATTTCGTCTCCACTCCATTCTGGAAAGCCCCAGTCGTCGTAGTCTTGCTTCACACCACGCACGCAGATGGTTCCATTGGAACCACTGCTACCTCCAAGAAATCTGCCGCGAGGCAGCCGGCATTCCCTATTCTCGAGTCCAGGCTGAGGTGGCGACACAATATTCCAGTCTGTTGGTCCATAATGGTTCTTCGTCCAACTGCAACATAATAAGCGCAGGTTAGCAAAAAAAAAAAATGTAGCTCGCTACACTCACGCTCCAGGCATGTGCACATTGTCCAAATCCTTATTGTCTGACCCTGCCTCAAGGATCAGAATCTTAAGATTTGATTGCTCGGACAATCTTCCAGCCACAACAGGCCCGCAAGTTCCACCTCCACAGATGATGTAGTCGTATGTCTCTGACATCTTGGTAGCCAATAAATTGATTCAGAATAGTTCAATGGCATAGAATGGAAAATAATTCCTTCGCTTCTGTGAATATGACCCCGCGACCATTCCACCTACATTCATATATGCAGAAACGCATTGTACGTACCAGGTCTAGAGCCTCCAAGCTGCAAGCGGGGGTGTGCATAGCTCTCATGCAGGAGCCCTAGCAATCGTGCCCATGGGGGCGGGAACGCGGAGCGAGGGTCTTCGGTTGCCGTTCCGAATTTCCAGAAATGGTCAACTAGGGCTTCATTTCGCTATACCACAGTCAAAACCAATGCGCTTAAGCGGCCAGTCCAGCCACGCTTGGACTCGATTCCTGACAGTCCAGACTGCAGCTACAGACTCGCTTGCAAGAGACGAGCAATGAGCATATTGGCGGGTCACAGCTGCCTCTCACCCGACGAATGTGGCAATTTCACCGCGAGAGGCCACTGATTTCTTATTTCCAAAGCCAGGTACTCAGCATGTGCCGTGACGAGGATCCATATGTCCGGAGCAGGGCAGGAGGGAGCTGGTTGCAATCTCCACAGCTGTTCTGGCGAGTGAAATGTGGTAGAGGACATCCAGCTTGCTTCTTGTTTTGCGTGTCTGGCTCTCGATTAGGCCAGACTTCGACTCGAGGACTGCGGGGTGCATGTCCTGCGATCGGCAGGATACAGGAACGCGGGGAGAGTTCCTGGTACACCTTTGCGCTGTACATGTAGCTCTGGAGATTTTTCTTTTGCAGATCAGAGATGGCGTCACACATCGGCAGACTGGCAGGCGCAAATCGAATGCCTCATTTCTGACACCGACCAGATGATGGCGGAATAATGAACGTGTGTTGTGGCCAAATTAGCGGACTCTAAGAGCAGAAACACACTAGATGGTAGTGTCAATGCCAGAGCCTTGAAGGCCAGAGAGAGGTGAGGTTGGTTTCGCGATGTCTTGGCATCGACGGCAGAACTTCGTTGGTGGTGCAACTGCGCAACCACCGCATTCTCTATCTGTATCCATCACAAACGCGCCAACGCTGCGCGATCACCACCCTTCGCCGGCAGCTGGAGTTGCTTCTGTGCCTCGGGCACGAATTCGACCCGCCCTCGCACGGCCTCAACGTCCTCGACGCAAATCTTCTTCGTCTGTGCAGCCGGATTGTATCCAAGTCGCTCTCTTCCGTCTCGCACGTGTTCCACCTCCTCCCACTTCACTGCAGCGCGCCCGTCGGATCGACGTATTATCAGCACGCTTGTTACTCCTTTGCGTCCCGACGTGTACAGCAAGCAGTTCTGTGCATCTACCGGAAGATCGCCCGCCCAGCCGCGGAACTGCCAAACTAGCAATCATCAGTGGAGGCGAATGCTGGTACGGGCAAGATAAGACTCACCGAGCGTGACGAGCGCCGCCAGGCCCGTTGTGCTACCTTCAGACCTCAGCGATCGGGACAGCTCTGATGTGGCAGCATCGAAGCCGGAAAGTGCTCGAGGATTCGTCTCACGCAAGTCATGCGGTAGGTGCAGCAGCTGGATATCTGTAGGTTTCAACTGCGCCTGTCGTAGTGCGCTGCCGACAGCTGTTCTCGCCGTTCGAGAGGGATCCGACGAACCCAGTGATCGCAAGTGGATTGGACTTGCCAATGCAGAGCCACAGATGCGAATGGAGGAGTCTTTGAGGTACGCATGGGATGTCAGGAAGAGCTCCGAGACGAGGACAACTCCCACTACGAGTGTCTGTTCGATCGTAAGCCATCCTGTCGTGCTCGGCTGCCCTCTTCGCGGCTTACCTGGGCTGAGGCCGCACTCTTGGATGTGTTCTGACAAGGCTTAGTTTCTTTCACGGACGTATCTTGTGAAAAACTCACAGTATCGAGACCAAGAACCAGAGTACAGTCGGACTGTCCAGACCTCACGGATTGCGTTGCTGCGAACAGAGCGGAGCCGTTATTCACCTCTAATACTGGTGCTCCCTCCAATCCAAACGTGTCGAGAGATCTTGGAGATATCGAAAGCTCATCCTCAAACGACACGATGCTCTGATTTACATCGGTATACGTGATGCCGGCATCCAGCATTGCTCTCGTTGCAGCTGCAACCACTGCATCGCTTAGATCTCCATCCTGACTTTCTGCTACGGTCGCTCCGGCTATGTGAACTTTCGGATTCCCCATGATTGCATTGACATTGCAAACAAAAGTCGTGTGAAAGTCCTTGTATCAAGTGCCTATGATTTCACGCGAGCACAACAGCACTTTGACGTCGCGGCCGCGAGATGGAACAAGCTTCGTGCGCGCGGCGGGCGTGCGGGGTCGAGATCGGGAACACTTCACTCGCGGGTGATCCCAGAACCCAGATCTCCAGCCATTGACGTGTCGTCGGCTATCTCTGCGGTATGAGGAAAGGTCGAGGCACAGATCGCAAGCACCACAATCGTCAATAGTAGGCATGTCGTAGCGCAATCTCCTTGACTTCGTCGGCAAGCAGATCTCGACCAGCAGACTATTGAAGCTATCACATGTACCTGGAACATCACCGTCGTGCCAGGTCGTGTTGGTCTCCAGAATATCGTTGGTTACCAAAAGTCCAGAAATACTGCTGTTCTTCAAACGTAACCTGCAGTCTTCGAAATGGCAGCAAGCGAGCAGTCAAAAAACGCCGCACAAGCTACACAGGATGGAAGACCACCTTCAATTGTGTATGGACCTTCGGCACCAGTGCCTCTAACACTGACCTTCGCTCAGCTCCTTGATCACAATGCTGAAGTCAGAGGCGACAAACCGGCAGTCATTTCACACCCACAAGATGGCTTGACCTTATCGTGGGCACAGCTCCGCGAGCGAAGCATAAAACTGGCAAGAGCCATGGCAGCGGATGGTGTAAAGAATGGCGACTTGGTGGCCATCTCTCTGGGCAGCAGAGTGGAATATTTCGAGACATTCTTCGCCTGCACCAGGCTCGGAGCCGCACTCGTACTTCTCAACTATGCGTATGCAGAATCTGAGATGATGGCACTGCTCAAGGATGTCCGACCCAAGATGTTGGTAGCATCTCCTGGCTTCACATTCTACGACAACACGAAGATCCTACCCAAAATTGCAGAAGAGATACCTGCCATCCAAAAATTCATCATAATGGACGATCTGGCGCAGAAGTACAGATTGGCTGGCTCCCTTGCGAGGTCTGCCAAATACGAGGAATACATTGAGCAATACGACGCAGATGTGCAACAACTGCCAGATGCCGACATCTCACCACACGACATGGTTAACGTTCAGTTCACATCAGGATCAACTGGTCTCCCTAAAAGCGTGGCTCTCTCACATTACAACATCATGAACTGCGGTCGCTATATATGGCAGCAGACACGGATGACAGACGAAGATCGCGTTTGCCTACCTGTTCCGCTCTTCCATTCCTTCGGCATGATTGTTGGTATCAGCTCTAGCACCGTTGGAGGATCCGCTCTTGTCCTTCCCCACGAAATCTTCAATTCATCGGCAACACTACGATCCGTCGAGAAGTACAAATGCACAGCAATCTATGGCGTACCCACCATGTTTGTCACCGAGATGGAGCAGAAGGAGTTTGACTCGATAGATCGATCAACTATCAAATTTGGCATTATTGCCGGAGCTGCCATGCCGCCAGAGCTTCTGCGCCGGATAGCAACCAAATTTCCGGTCCCCAGAATCTACACCTGCTATGGAATGACAGAACTATCAAGCTTCATTAGTATGATGCATGAGACAGACCCATATGAGAAACGCATACAGACAGCAGGTAGACTGTTCCCACACTTTATTGCAAAGATTGTCAAGCCGGAGACTGGGATTGTGCTGCCTTGGGGTGAGAAGGGCGAGATCGTAGCTAGTGGATATGGCCAGATGTCCGAATATCTGAACAACAAGAAGAAGACCGACGAGTCCCTAAGATATCACCCAGAAGATCTCGAACCTGGTGGAGTTGGAGGGTTGGGTGACGGGTGAGTACCAAGTGGGAGGCTTCTCCGTTGCACCGCTGACATCCAGCCAGTACTGTTCTCAGAAAGTGGATGCACACTGGCGACGAAGGCTATCTCGATCCAGAAGGCTACTTCATCATATCGGGCCGAATAAAAGATCTCATCATTCGCGGAGGAGAGAACATCTCGCCTATGGAAATCGAAGACAGATTGATCGAACATGAATCAATTGCACAAGCTTCGATTGTGGGAGTAGCAGATGATAAATATGGAGAAGAGTTGGGCGCATTCATTGAGTTAAGAGATGGTTTCTCAGCGAAGCGACCAAGCAATGATGATTTGAGGGCTTTCGTGAGACAGAAGCTGGCACGGTTCAAGGCACCGAGATATTTCTTCTTCCTTGGAGATGGGAAAGCGCCAGATGAATGGCCCAAGACCACCAGCGGCAAGATCAGTAAACCACATCTGCGAAAGATGGTCGATGACTTGGTCAAGTCATAGACAGCTATATATCCTGATAGACATTCAAACCGAAGCAGAAGCTGCGACAGACAAGTGTGGCCTCAGAAATCATAATCATTCTACCCATTCGAACGGAATTTTCCAGAGCACAATACGATGCAGACTGTATTACTGACACCCAGGAGATCGTGAAGCATCGCTCCGTTCCTCCGGAAAGAGCGAAGGCAGGTGAGGCGAAACATCTTGGCAGCGACCATTCTACTCGCTAGCTCGAACCATGCTTCAAGCCCTCGACGCACGTTGACCTCGGGGCTGATATGCACGTCCCCGCAGAGCCCGATCGCCTATGGTTAAATCTAGAAATGTTTAACGATCATCAACGAACGTCGAGGCATGGTCGGCCTACAACAGTCAATGCCTTTCGCTGTTTCGTGATATACTCTCAACACCGCAAACATGTCTTACGGCGCCAAAATCATCGCCCAGGCTCTTCATGACCTGGGTGTCAGGGTAATATTTGGTCTTCCTGGATTGCCAGTGACGGATATCGGACAGGAGGGGCTGTATTTGGGCATGAGATTTATCAGCTTTCGAAATGAACAAGCTGCGGTATACGCTGCAACGGCATATGGATACTTGACTGGCAGGCCAGGAGTGTGCATATGTGTGGGTGGTCCTGGTATTATTCATGCGATGGCGGGCGTACGTTCCAAAACTAGTGCAGTCAAGATTAGATATATTGACAACAGTGTAGATACCGCATGCTGCGGCGAATTCTTGGCCATTGCTGGTGCTGGCTGGTTCCAGCGAGACACACAATGCTGGCAGGGGAGCTTTCCAAGAAGTTGACGCCATTTCCATGTTGACGCCTCATGCCAAGGCAGCAGTACGACCTCCAAGTCCAGAATTGATTCCCAAATTCATTCGAGATGCATACCGTGCTGCATACTTTGGACGACCCGGGCCTGCATTCGTTGACTTGCCTGCGAATTTGATTCTAGGAACATTCGAAGTTCCCCGAAACCAGCTCGTCAAGTTCAAAGAGGCTCCACTATCAGTCGCGCCGGAGAACAAGATCAGAGAAGCTGTGCAAGCTCTCAAGACCGCCAAAGCACCTTTGGTCGTGATCGGGAAAGGCTCAGCATACGCTCGTGCTGAGAAGCATATCAACGCCTTGGTGCAAAAGACCGGCATTCCTTTCGTTCCTACGCCCATGGGCAAGGGTGTGATCGCGGATTCACATCCAAGCAATTACTCTGCAGCACGCTCGACTGCTCTCAAGGAGGCTGATGTTGTGCTTCTGCTTGGCGCCAAACTGAACTGGATCCTATCATTTGGAGAGGCTCCAAAGTGGAATCCGAAGGTGAAGATCATTCAGGTCGATATCACGGCCGATGAATTGGGCAAGAATGGCGGCACTCCCGAGCTAGGTCTTGTTGGTGATGTCGGGTTAGTCGTTGAACGCATCGTCGAGCACCTCGGAGATTGGAGGTGGCAAGGACAATCGTCTGCGTTCATGAAGAGCCTGAAAGCTGCAAAGACCAGGAACGAGGGCAAGGCCGCGAAGAAGGCCGAATCTTCGAAGCTACCCATTTCCTTCGAGCATTCTTTCGGAGTCATCAAGAGCACGCTCAACAGTTTGTCGAATCCCAGAGATGGAGATATCGTGTATGTCTCGGAAGGCGCAAACGCTATGGATATCTCCCGATCAATTTTCACGATGGAACATCCTCGTCTGAAGCTGGATGCGGGAACATATGCCACCATGGGTGTCGGTCTCGGCTACGCAATTGCGGCGTGGGCAGCATACAATCTGCCAAACCCAGAGGGCACAGCTGGTGCTTCAGGGCGCAAGAAAGTCGTGGCGATCGAGGGAGACAGCGCCTTCGGATTTTCTGGCATGGAGGTGGAAACGATGGCCCGGTTCCAGATGGACATTTTGATTTTCGTGATGAACAACAGCGGACTGTACCGAGGTGATGCTAACACATCTGAAGAGTGGGAACGCCGCCGCAAGAATACTGTTGCTGGAACCACGCAACAGAAGGGTGCTGCTTTGACCGCTTGGTCACTCGGGTACCAGATCAACTACCAGAAAATCGCAGAAATGGCTGGTGGTATCGGCATCGTTGCTCGAACGCCTGAGGAGTTGAAAAAGGCTACTGAGATCGGCTTCAAGGCCAAGGTGCCGGTGGTGGTGAATGTCTTGATTGATCCGCAGGCTGATCTGCTAATGGTGAGTGCTCATTTCATATGCTCTTTGTGTGTCAAGGACCAGCTGACTGACGCAGGACTTCTCCTGGCTCGACATGGCACCACCGAAGAAGAAAGAGCAGAAATTGTAAAACAGGCAACAGGTGATTGTGATCCACGATAGTAATGTGGCATGACAAGCAACTCGAGTGCGCGTTTGAAAGTTGGCTTATGGCGTGCTGGCCTCATAGACTCAAAAATAGATCGCTCCTGCTGTGTCTTGTCATGAATGGTCTTGCTGTCCGCTGATTTATACAATGCTGCTCCAGCGGTCATGGACGGCGGCCATGTCCCCCACTAAGAACATCGTGGCGAACTTCAGGATATGCTTAGAAGCATAGCAGCTCGCGTAATTGCGCGTGCAGGCGCGAAAAGAAGTCATGGACGTGCTTGTGGGCACTGCCGACTGCAAATCCAGGCCCACTTTCAGGCTTGGCACGGTGGTCTGAGGATATGAGACTACTTCCCTCTTCTTCTTGACTTGTGACCTTTTCTCCATGACCTTGTCGTGCCATGCGCTCGTCCCATGTTGTGACTACGGGGCGTCTACATCTGATTCACATCTCATCATGTCGCTTCTCGCCGTGAGACAGTCCCGTCTCGACATACACAAGCAACAAAGTACACGTCGATGTGGCAAGATGTTCATTTCCTGGTCCTATGCGCTGGTATTATCGCAACTTCTCTGCAAAACGTGTCAGAGAGCATGCAGCACCGGCATACCGCAGCCGAAAGGTCTCTTGGTAGTCGCGAGTACCTCTGTATGCTCTTTCTCTTATCGCCGAATGCGTTGTGTCGCTCCGCGGAATGCTCATGAAGCCCAAGAAGCCAATGCTCGGCTTACGACGACCTCATGCATGCAATATGCTAAGGCTGAAATCTTTCGTTTAGGTTAACTTCATAACTATATACATGCAGTCTCGACTCTTTCGGAGAGACTGAAACAAGTCATTGACCATGGACAAGCATGGGATGAACGTCGTGGACGGGGCCAGCGCCCTGCCAGCGCCTCTGCCATATTCGCAGAACACCGAGTCCTCGAGCAAAGGTGAACGTACAACACAAGCTGCGAACGATGAACCTGAACATCGCTCCAAGTGGAGGCTTTATCCGGCGATGACTGCCCTCTACCTGACTCTGTTTCTCGCGGCATTGGACATCACCAGTCTTGCGACCTCCATTCCCACGATCGCGGCCGAACTCAACTCGGCTGCAGGTTACTCATGGATCGGCGGTGCGTTCCTCATTGCAGACGCTGCAACTGGTCCTATCTGGGCCAAGATGTCCGACATCTTCGGAAGAAAACTCGTCATTTCTTTGTCGTTATTGTTCTTTGCGATCGCTAGCATCATCGGCGCCCTGAGCAATACAATGAACATGCTCATAGCAGCGAGGGCGATTCAAGGCGCTGGCGCCGGGGGAATGGTCTCACTAGTCAATATCACCGTAAGCGACCTGTTCGGCCTCAGGGACGGAAGGGCTCTGATATTGGGCACGCTGGAAGCTGTGTGGGCTGTCGCTGGTGGAGCAGGACCTATGATCGGAGGAGCGATAACCGAAAACATTGGCTGGCGATGGTGAGAAGAGCGTGGCTAACAGTGCTGACTGATATGACTGACCAATGTGCAGGAACTTTTGGATCAATCTGCCCATAGTAGCTATCGCTCTCGCGCTGCTTGTCATTTTCCTCGATGTCCACAATCCTAGGACGCCTTTCTGGACTGGGATTGCAGCGGTCGACTGGTACGGCATCTTCGCATTGCTTGGTGCCATCGTTCTTTTGCTTCTCGGGTTGAACTTTGGCGGCGTAACGTACGCGTGGGACAGCCCGGAAGTGATCTGCCTCCTTGTCTTTGGCGGCTTGATGATCGGTGTTTTCATTGCCATCGAATGGAAGCTGGCAAGATACCCACTTATGCCACTGCCCCTCTTCCACGACCGATCGAACAACTCTGCCTACCTGGTCGCCTTCACTCACGGAATGAGTTACATCTCGGTGGAATACTACCTGCCGCTCTACTTCCAGAGTGTTCGGCAAGCTTCGCCTACAATGTCCGGTGTTCTTGTACTTCCGGTGACGTTGAGTGAAGGCGTGGTCGGGATAATTGTCGGCATTCTGATTCACAAGACTGGGCGATATCGCGAAATCATATGGGTCGGAAAGCTGATGTTGACCTTGGGCCTGGGTCTTTTCGTCCACCTGGGAGTGTCTTCGGGGATCGCAGAGATCATAATCTTCCAACTTATCGCAGGTGTCGGATCTGGTCTCCTCTTCGAACCGCCTTTGATTGCTGTGCAGAACAACGTGCAACAATCTGATACTGCAACAGCTACTGCGACACTTGGTCTCATCCGGAACCTTTCCACCTCGATATCCGTCATCATCGGCGGAGTGGTGTTCTCCAACAGCATGAACAATCGTGCGTCTTGGCTTACAGCTCAAGGTGTACCAGAGTCTACAGCGGCGGATTATGCTGGCGACAATGCCTCGGCAAATGTTGAGATGATTCCCGATATTGACAACGCGGCCGATCGCGTAGCGGTGCAACAGGCTTTCGCATGGGGGTTACGGAATATGTGGATCACATTCTTGGCTTTTACTGTGGCAGGTTTGGTAGCTGGGTTCTTCATCAAGCACAAGAAAATGGATCATGAGCATACGAGAACCAGGACGGGTCTGGAGCATATGACCGACCGAAAGACCAAGAAGCAGCAGGACGCAGGCTCGCCCCGAAATGACGAAGCGAAAGAGAAAGAAATGGCTTGAGAGCCTTCAAATCCAGGTCTGAGGGAGTTTCTGCTACTTGGCATGTCGGAACGCACTTACGAAGGGGAACACTTGTATCTAATGCGAATTAGCTGTCAGAAGCCACGCTGATCTTTCTCTCTTCGCAATGTCACGACGAGCTCGTGGGTTCTCCACTCACCTTCTCGAGATCCCACACGCCGCTCGTGTAGTAAATGTCCTTCTTGATGAGCTCCATGACTTCTTCTTTGGAGTCCGCAACAGCCATCAGGATGCTTCCATTGATTTTCGGGCCTTGACCCTCTTTCAGTGGCTCGTCGAGACTTGCCCCGCCTAGAACAAAAAGACCAGCTTGTTCATGAGGCTTGATTGCTTCCAGATGTTGACTTTGCAGCACATGTTAAGGATTGACAGAATGCTCGGCATAACGTGAAAGCGAGACTCACGGTCGGACCTTCATGCGTGCTTCGAGAGCACCTGCTTTGTCCGGGAGAATACACTGGTAGTGAGGCAACGTCAGTCTATGTCGGACAAGATTCAGGAAGGTGTTCAAGATGGCGATACCATCCATTCTTGCTTTCCCATGACTGCAGATGAGTTCGAGAAGTGACGAGGGAGGAATCGGGAGCCGGGCGCTGTCGAAAGGCTTCGGAGGGCGTTTCGAGCAAGAAGTTGAGTTGACATTGAAGCTATCGTCCGCAGTCTTGAGCTTCGCGATATATCTCGGACGGACGAACAGCCATTGGAGGATCACGCTCACTCACGCTGTGCAGCTGTGGGGGCAAGTGGTAGAGCCGGAGCCAGAGGCTAAAAGATCTACCGACGGGTAGCATCTGCTTGGCATGCGGTTTCCAGGGCAAGTCAGCCGAGCAACTTTTTGAGATCGAAACTTTCCCATTGCAGAAGACGTCTCTGTTCACCAACACCATGGCCGCAACGACACCGACAGCGCTACCTGAGGTGCTGTCCGAGTTCGAAGCAGCTTCAAATGCAGCACTGAACGGGCTTCCTGCAGCGGATGCGATTCTACCACCGGAAGACGGGATCACACTGTTCGATACGAAGAACGAGATCTTCCTCGCATATTTGCAAGCGCTCGCACTGAGGAATCTGAACGTCATCCGCAGCGTAAAAGCCGGTAGTGATGTGCACAAGGCGCAGAGCTTAAGTGATGAGATCACTAAGAAATTGATCGAGCAGAGAGTGTACCTCGAACGAGGCGTGGGCCCGCTGGAGAAGAAGCTCAAGTATGAAGTCGATCGAGTGGTGAAGGTGGCTGATGAGGAGGAACGAAATATCACTCAAAAGCTGCAACAGGCGGTCAAGGCAAATGGGCATGCGAGGGAGAAAGAGGGTGGAAGTGTGAGCGGGGAATCTGGTTCAGACTCAGACTCGGACGGTGATGGGGGCCTTGCCGGCGACGCAGATGCATTTATTCGTCCCGACTCATCGAAATTGTTCGGAGACAAAGGCCCGCAATCAACGGATGCTGTCTCTGCAGCTCGGGAAAAGAGTGCTTCAGATGGTGTCTACCGCCCGCCACGAATCTCGGCCACGGCCATGCCCACAACCGAGCGGCGGGAAAAGAAGGAGCGAGGTCCCGGACGGTCTGCAACTCTCGACGAGTATGTCTCGACAGAGTTGTCTGCGGCGCCACTCGCGCAGCCTAGCATCGGCTCGAATTTGGCAGCTGGCGGCAGAACGAGCAAGAATGCAAGACAGATGAAAGAAGAGGCCGAGAGAAGAGATTATGAGGAGACACACTTGACACGTCTGCCGGCTATGAGCAAGAAAGAGCGCGCGAAGAAGGGCCTAGGTAGAGCAAGGGACGGAGGCTTCGGCGGAGAAGAATGGAGCAACATAGGTGCCAGCTTGGATCGTATTGGAGACCTGACGAAGCGAAAGGGCAAGGATAGTGCACTGGACAAGAGTAGGAAGCGAAGAGCTGTGGAGGATGGACCACGTGGCGATGGCATTGGCGCAAGCTTTGACACGAAAAAGAGAAGACTGGCAAAGAAGGGCAGGATTTGAGCGGAGCTGGCCATAATCCTCTTCACCTCGCCATTCCGAATATGGGTCCGGTTGGGATGAGCAAAACCCATGTCTTCCGCCGTTTCCCGTAATACAACCACCTTAGAACAAATCTTCAGAGTCGCAGGCGATGTTCCCACTCAATCGGCAGATGGCAAATCTTCCCGTCTTCTCATGAGAGCGTGGCGATCGCTCCGGCGCGCAACTCATGTTCTTCGAGGACGAATGGGAGCGCGACACTGCCTCCGAGCTTCGAGCAGACCAACCGACATCCACGGGAATCGTTAGCCAAAGGAGCCAAGGTCACGTCAATGAAGCGTGCACTCTCGGGTACGTCTTCATATTTCAAGACGTGATCGTCCTCATGACCGCCACATTCTCTGGCCGATCGCTCCTCGAGTACGATAGCGTATGCTGCACAGATGGCCAGCATATCGCTGTCCAGCATGCCTTCTTGAACTCGGACTCGACGCAGGAGCTGCAGCGCTCTTCTCCTGACTACTTGATCTCTGCATTTCAATGCCACGAGGTACAGAGGCAGCAAAATACCTTGGCCCATGGCGAAACTGCGTATTCCCTCTTCGTTTTCCCGTTCGCCGTGAACGACTACTTCGATGCGTGGCAGAGAGTTGATATACTTCTCAGCTAGGTCCAAGATATGCGGGAATGATTTACTGAATCGATCACTTGAGCATTCGTCTCTGTCCTGTAGAGTGGACACCATGTACCAAAACGCCCAGAACCGGATCTCGAGCAAGAGTCTGATCTGATCAGTGTTCGCGCTGTGGGTGGCCGCCAGGCTTGCAAGAGCAGAAGACCATGCTGCCGTCGCATCTCGGACTTCTCGCAATTGCCGGCTGACTGCCTCATCCTCGTCAAGACGAACTATGCGTTGATATGAGTGCAGCAAGCACCATGACTGGAATTCGTCTTGCGACTCGCGTCTCACTTCCTTTGCAAACTTCTCCGCCGCAAGCTTCAGCAAAGCACCCTGCACGCTCGACGTTCTATTTAACAATGCATCTAGATGCATTCGGGCTTCCTGTAAGCTGCGAAATGCTCGTGGTATACTTGCTTCCCTCCCGGGATTTCCGTCACGACAAATCGCTTGCATGTACGGATGCTCGTCGCCCAGCCAGGTCGTTTCCCAGTCAAGTCTGACGAATATCTGGGACAGGAAGTCCATGGGTCTGCGGGGCTCTGCCTCTAGTCGTACCACACGATTTGCCGGACGTTGCTCTGATCGTCCGAGATGTTCAGAAAGAATGCCACAGCCCAGTCGTAGATGCCGCTTCGCCATCTCGTGCTCACACTGCAAAGTCTCAAACGTGATGAATAGGAGACAAGCCAGCAGAACCATCTCGACCACTTCAGTCGTCTCATGGTTTCGGGAGTCGTCGATGAATCGCTGTATGGCCGACACAGCACGAGTATACTGATTCATCGCAAACCGATGTCGCACCGTGTCCATCTCGGGCCGGAAACTGGTTGCTGGCACTACGCGGCGTGCTCTGTGGATCGCACCCACGGCAACCACAGCATAAGCCATCGCCGGCTCAGAATGACTGAGCTGCATCACCATCGCTTCCCATGCTGTCGATAAGGAACATCCGGGCACTTGAAAGGCGGTCTGTCTCCGGAAAAAGTTGAAAGCATCTTGCTCTTGAGAAGTAAATCTCAGCGGGAAATCGTTGAGCCCAGCCGTCCCGGGAATGAGTAGGCAAGGCTGTTTAGTGACATTTGCTGTATCTGGAAGTAGTGGCCGCGAGGCGGCGTGATCTTCAGCTTGCACAAGAGCGAGAGAGATCTCGTACCCAAGACAAGTCCTGCCAGTAGAGGAGCACTTCCTACAACAGGGTCGCGCCTCATCGCACTTGATACGTCGTTGTCTGAAGGGCACCTCAGCCACTGACAAGATCGTCACTTTGACACATCCATGTGGTCACGTACCTGCATGTCCTGCATCCGGTTCTACACATCCATCAAAAACCAATCAGCTCTCTTGCTCCCGATCGTAATCGTTGTGTGAATTCTTGAGTTACCTTGTCTTTGGCTTTTTGGCCTTTTTCCGCGCAGTCGGGACTATCATCGTGACTGATACTCGACTTTGAATTGATCACATTGGATCGCATGCCACTTTACTCGTGCCCTCGCACTTAACATCTAGATGATGATCAGTCAGGCCTCCCAGGCTGAGAATTATGCATCAGCTGGAGCAGAATGTGACATAGCTCGAACGGAAGTGCCGATGTGGCATATGAGCGGAATCTCGTTCATGGGCGAATCGGAGGGAAAGAGGAGCGCCACGAGTGAAGTGTATTTCGTGGGCCCCAGCGTTAAAGGTATCAGTCCACCAGCATCGAGGTGAGCTTGTACGGCATCTGCACTGGCAAAAGAAGATTGATGAAAGGCTTATGATCGATATTGAAAATCATGACGCGTGCCTTGAATGTCGAAATTGGAGCTTTCTCGGATTCCGCCACGTTGTCGACATGTGCAACAGCAGCCATGGAGGCCTGGCTGAATGTTGTCCTCCGTACGTGTGAGGATATCTTACCGGTATGCTATAAGCACCGCGATTTGTGAACCTTGTGTCAAGTGAATCAGCTTCGCTGACGAGGGCATGCAAATGTATGACCGGCCTATCCTCCAGCTGAGAGGCACGGTCGCATCGCAGAGTCCCTCGTCATTGGCAATACTGATAACTGGCGTATAGGCATTCCTGACTACAATGATCGTGAGCGATCGTGAAGGAAGCGTGATTGTGGTGCCCTTCCCTGAGAGGCCATGGCGGATGCCTGGGAACAGCGGTCCCGGCCATTTGGAAACACGAATTCATCGGCCAATGGGGGCAGGAAAGCAAACCCGGGCCACTGATCGGAGACTTCGTGGGTGTACGGCTGCACTATCGCTCAGTCCGATGATGTTGTGCATTCCTGAAAGAGTGAGACAGGTTGTCATCAAGGAAAGTATCATCTGGATGGATCTCATGATAGAGTAGCTGCCAAGTGCCGAAGTTTAGCCGACTATCACCCCATCAACCTTCTATCACAACATCGTCCTCTTGACTCACTTTGCTATCCAACGACATGGCTGCACTGAGAAATGTCATCGCTGCAGCGCTGCTGGGCAGTGCTATAGCATACGAGCAGCAGCCTCTGCTCTCATCGAGCGGCAAGAAACTACCACTGGTCGAGACCGAGAAGCTACAGGATGCTATCAGTGGCGATAACCTGCTGGCCAGAGCACAGGATCTATACAAAATCGCTGAGCTATCATGGCATGAATATAATCACCCCACACGCGTCATCGGCAGTGCTGGTCACCAAGCCACTCTCGAATATATCTGGGCGACAATCGCAAAGCTGGGCGATTACTACAACCTCACCGAGCAGAACTTCCCCGCTTACTCTGGCAATGTGTTTGAATCACGACTGGTTCTGGGAGATGAAGTCATTAACAATGCTTCGGCCATGAGCTTGACACCTCCGACTAAGGATAACGAACCTGTACATGGGCTTCTGGTTCTGGTGGAGAATAGTGGTTGCTCCGCATCGGACTATCCGGCGTCTGTCAAGAACAACATTGCATTTATCAAGCGTGGACAATGCGCCTTTGGTGACAAGTCGCTAAATGCTGGCAAGGCTGGCGCTCTGGCAGCAGTCATCTACAATAATGAAAATGGCACTCTGCATGGGACCATGGGCACTCCAGATCCGCAACACGTTGCAACCTTTGGCATTTCCCTCGAGGAGGCTACCCCAACGCTGGATAAGCTGAAGTCTGGCAAAGAAGTAGATGCGATTGCGTACATCGATGCCGTCGTCAGCACTATCCGCACTCAGAACATTGTTGCTCAGACCAGGGATGGTGATCCAGACAACTGTGTGATGCTTGGCGCTCACTCTGACTCTGTCCCTGAAGGACCCGGTATCAATGACGATGGAAGCGGGACAATTTCTCTGCTAGAAGTGGCCAGAGAGTTGACAAATTACACTGTCAACAATTGCGTTCGCTTTGCCTGGTGGGCAGCAGAGGAGGAAGGACTGGTCGGCTCGAACTTTTATTCGTCCACCTTGCCCGAGGAGGAGAACCTCAAAGTCCGCCTGTTCATGGACTATGACATGATGGGTAGCCCAAACTTCGCGTACCAGATCTACAACGCTACTAATGACGAGAGTCCGGTCGGAAGTGAACAGCTCAGAGACCTCTATGTCGACTGGTACAAGAAGCATGGACTGAATTACACATTCATTCCATTCGACGGACGCTCGGACTACGATGGCTTTATCCGAGCAGGCATCCCAGCCGGAGGAATTGCAACTGGCGCTGAAGGTATCAAGACGAAAGAAGAGGCGAAGATCTTCGGCGGCAAAGCTGGAGATTGGTATGATCCATGCTACCACCAGCTCTGTGACGATGTCGGTAACGTGAATGTGACTGCATGGGTTGTTAACACAAAGCTCATCGCGCACTCGGTTGCTACATATGCTGTTAGCCTTGATGACTTTCCAAAGAGAACCGACGCTGAAGTCATGAAGGGCAGTGTGTATGTGCAGAACACTAAGTATCGTGGCAGCAGGTTGTTCATCTGATCTTGAGGCTTGCCGGGTCATTAGATAGTATGTGTATCATTAGTGCCAACCCATGGCAATTATTGAATATGCTCAAGTACCTATAACACATAGTATACGCTTTGCGAGGGAATAAAATGAGCACCTTGCCCTGACTTCGTGTAATCTCACTCATGTTTATGCCAGCCCGACTGCCAAGCTTTCCGAGCGCAGTTGGCAGGGGTCTGTTCAGATAGAGTTACATGATGGATGCTGCACATGCACGTCAGTTGTGTAGACCTGGACTTGACCGAGCTATCAGAGCTAACGCCGGTCACACGCACCTCGCAAGTACATCAGAAGCGTACTCTGCCCACTCCGTCATTCGTTTTACCCAACATCACGACAATGATCTGCGAGCGACCACGATAGTATCCGCTACCATGCCATCCACCTCTCCTGGCACCGCGCCTACTGCTTTCGCGGAGATTCTGCCCGGCACGCCCACAGAATCGCTGCAGGCCACGACGATATTTGTGTATCGCTTCAAGCGCTACATTGCTTATATCTCCGGCCAGCAACTCAACATCTTGTCCGGACCCAGCACGCTCGTTCAGGCACTCACATTCCCTCATGAGCTAGTTGCAGTCGCAGCAGACGCGAAATCTGGCAAGCTGCTCGTGGCTGGAAAGAAGCAGGCATGGATACTGGAGCCCGTGGCTGAGGGCTGGACAAGGCTATGGTGGGAAAAGGCATTGCTGCTGCGCCATAAGAGTGGAGAGGAGGAAACATGGTCGATATGCTGGAGCAATGAGGGCGAAGCGTTGCTTGCGGGGAACACGTCTATCACTCTGTTCTCCACCTTGCCTACGTCGCGAACCAGCTCGCCAAGGACTTCCGCAGTAGACGACGTAACAGTGGAAGAGCGTAGACCATTGTGGTCGAAGCCTGTTGCGAGGCCTGTGCAGCAGGCAGCGTGCAGCCCGAGCTCCACTTTGATTGCAACTCGAGCCCGTTATGATCGCCTTGTCAAAATATGGAGACGTCTGTCGTTCGAGGAAGGCTTGTTCGACCACACCTACCTGCCACATCCCGCTGTGGTGACCCATTTGGAGTGGCGCCCACTTGACGAGCACTCTGACATTCGGAGAGGCAGTGCAATCAGTAGGCGGCACGATGAGGAGCACGAAGTCCTGTTCACTGTAGCCGCTGATGGCGTGCTACGGATATGGCGCACCGGTGGTACACATGAACTGGATGTGCTAGTCCTGCATACGTCTATCGACTTGGTGGCAGCCATACCGGACTCGCCAAGTATCAGCGCTAGCGGCAAGCAATTCGTCACCAAACCTCCACGATGTGTTGTGATTTTGCCTTCAGATCAGTTCTCGGCTGCCCTCAATGCCGCCATTGGTCTGTCGCTGGATAACAAGATCAGCCATGCCAAAGAGCTTATGAAAGAGCTTGTTTCGAAAGAACTAGATGTGATCATTGTTCTCGATGGTCAAGGACGAATGTCCGCCTGGGGCCTTCACAGCGTTGGACACAAACGACGACCGGGAACTCCCACTGCTGTACAGCCATTCCACATTGCTCACACCGAGGGCTTACCTCTGAGGCTACCACCGGATACTCCTGCTTTGCCGTTCGCATGGTTTCAAGATGACAACATACACATGCTCATGCAGAGCATCGGTGGTGCTGGTCAGATCTCGTGGTGGCAAGGCCTGGTCGAGAGCTTCTTCTCAACCTCGGCGTCAGGTGCTGAACGATTGGAGTTAGCAAGTACTTGGCGTGGCACCGACATCGCCGACTGGAAAGGTGTTGATGTAAATGGAGAGAACGCAGGGTCACAGAAGGGCAATGAAGGGGCGACCGAGCAACACTCAATCAAACTGTCTGAAGACGGCAGGGTCACCATCCTTGGGCAGCAGGATGCTGATGCGGAACGTGTTGTTGAAACAAGTATCACAAATGGCGTTTTGCTGGCGGCCAACACCGAAGTTGCAGTACTTCTCGGCTCTAATGACAACAAGCTTCTGCTCGTAGACATTCTCGACGGGTATGTTGAGCATTGCCAGGTCCTCGATCTGCCCGCGCGTAGCGCCCAATGCGTCGTACTGGGGCCAAGACAGAGCATGGTAGCGATTGCATATGATAACAGCGTCGATGTCTTCGCCCAAGGAAAATACAGAGAAGGAGACGATACCAAGCAGTCATGGCACCACATTCGACGCATGTCAGTGGCTCATACTGGTCTTGATATCACTGGACTGGCATGGCGGTCAGACGGTACTCTGGCTGTCACAGCAGGCACTGCCTTGTTCGCAGCTGATGTCAATACTCCTCTCAATGAGCTGCAGGAAGAGACGCGTCAGCTGCTAGACGCCAACGAAGAGGACAAAACAATGCAACTGCCGTCCTTGGCGTCGCAGCTGAGCAGGCCTCTTCCTGTCTGGCATCCGACCACCATCGAACGGCTTGTATTACACGGCCATGCTCGATCGGCGGTATCATTGGTCAAGAGACTGGCTTCCAAACTGAAGTTCTGGGGACCAGGAGACGACTTGGATTTGGTGCTTGAAGAAGATATCGACACGCTCCTCACGCAAGATGACACGCACAAAAGCTGGATTGATAATGAAGTCGCAGATGATCTTAAGGAACAGCTCGAGGAAAAGCACTTACCAGCAATCACGCGAAGCGACCAGAGACGTCTCGAACATGTTATTCATACTCTACTCTACCTGCGCGATCACGTCAAAGGACTGGACCAAAACGCTTTGTGGTACCTCTTCTCATGGAAATTGCAACTCCTGCTTCACGAAGACAGCTTCGGTCAAGCCAATGGCATTGTGAAGGAAAATCCAGGCTCTGACAACAGTGATGCATTTGTGCCTGAGATGTCCTGGCGCGAGATCACCTTTGCATACCACAGCACTTCGCAGCAGCCTCTGCTTGACATTCTGATCTTGCACCACGACAACAAAATTACATGGGATATCGCTCGCCGTCTAGGTATCATGTCGTGGTTGACCGACCGCGAAGCATTGCTCCAAGTCTTCGAACAGATGGCTCAGACAGCATACCGTTCATCATCACCTCCAGACCCTGTCAATGCAGCAGTGTACTACCTAGCTTTGCACAAGAAGCAGACACTTTTGGCTCTGTGGAGGATAGCGACATGGCATCGTGAGCAAAGATCGACAACGAACTTCCTCAAAAAGGACTTCACTCAGCCTGATGCTAGAACTGCCGCGAAGAAGAATGCGTATGCGTTGATGGGCAAGAGACGCTTTCACTATGCCGCAGCCTTCTTCCTGCTTGCAGATGATGCCGCTGATGCTTGCAATGTTCTGGCAGGTCAATGTGACGATGTACAGTTTGCAGTCTCGGTTGCAAGGCTATACAGCGGTGACGGCTCTGATGTACTCCACAAGCTGCTAGTGGATCGCGTCATTCCAGATGCGAAACAAGCTGGCAATCGCTGGCTGGTCAGTTGGTGCCATAGTGTACTTCTTGAGAAGAGAAGAGCTGCCGAGAGCCTTGTTGAGCCTTTGGACGGCATGGTGAAGACTTGGGAGCAAGACGACCCAGCATTGATCTTGCTATACAAACAGCTTCGCAAAACGCCCAGTGAGCATGAGCCTAGTGCTGTTGCGCGATCTGCGAGGATTCTAGGACGCATGGGTCTGTCACTTCTCGGAATAGATCTCACCAAGAATTGGATATTCGCACAGCCTGATCCAATCTCAAGTGGCGAGACGAATGGTATCACAAATGGCTTCCACGCATCACTGCCCGATCGCACCATTCCAGAACCCGAGTCTCCCCGCGCCGAACTCATCGAGCCGCCTTCGCTGCTCGACAGCTTCACCAGACCAGAGCCGACAAGATCTACATCAAAGGACGATCAAGCTGCACGAGAAGCCAAAGCTGCCGAGTTATTGGCGAAGCTCAAGGCGCGGAAGAATGCGTCCGCGCCGGAGCCCGAACAGAAGGCAGACGAGGAGAAGACGAAGAAGAGAGAACCTACGCAGTTCAAAGAACCTGATGCTAACAGTCTGTTGGATTCGTTCGGGTTTTGATGTTTTGATAGTGAGTGTAAATATGATGGGAGGGTATGTGGTTGATGGGTCGTAGCGCGGCGTTCTGGGAGACCTGTTTCGAGTAATATACGGTGTCTGCAATGAATTATTTCTTTGACTTCTCGCCCTGACTCTTTTCTCAGTCCATCCTCACCTGGTGCCGATGGGTGTGGGATGCGAAGTTGGTCGAACATGAAGTGAGCGAACAGCAGCTCGACCAGAGACAGTCACATCTGAGACACTGGCAGCAGAAAAGACAATTTTTGAGAACCATTGTTGGCATTAATGTCTTTAAGCTGTAAATTCCATAATCGACGATTCTTCATCTTCGTCGGCCGGATCAGCGCCAGAGTTTTGTTCCCACTACCCAACAACGACAACAACAGAGTAGAGCTGACCAAAAGCCCAGCCACGCACACGCGCGTGATCATCCACATCATGTGCAAGCAAAAAAAGTTTCGGACGTGATGATCATCCGAAAGGCCTGCCTCCGAAATGCTTCTCGCTCCATCTCTTTCTCCTTCTCTCAATCTCTCTATTCGCAACGCCTGCGAGGATACGTACATGGGAGAACACACATACACAAAGGATGCCAGTAAGACCCAAAAGTTCGAAGTTGCTGTGCGCCGGTCGCGATGCTGTACAGAAACAGAAACGCCGCAGGATGTTGGACGGAGGACTTGTAGGTCGCTCCATATGCAGTCGGTACAAAGAATATGCACACTAAAAAGGGACTTCGCAACGCAAATGTAACACTTTCATCAGTGTCGTCATGATCCAGGCGGAGAGTTCTCGTGCTTGATCGGGTGATGTAGTACACCTCGCAAACACATTCTCCCCGTACCTTCCTCTTCTTGTCGTTTCCCGCCTTCTCCGTTTTCGTACTGCCCTAGCCATCTTCGCCAGAGAGCACCGGAGAAACCCGAGTTGTAGTAGAAACTGCTTCCGAGCATGTTGTGCTCACCCCAGCCGAAGGGCGAGTCCCAGAGATTCTTGGGGTAGTTGAATACTTGGTTCATGTACTCCAAATCCCAATCTCGGTCGAAATATACGGGATGCGGGGCGTAGACTGCTTTCAATCCGTGATGTAACGCCACAGATGGCGGCCACATTTCTGGGAACATTGTGTGTCGGAATCTCCATGTTTCGTGGTGAGCAATATCCAGCAATCGTTTCGATAGTCGTGCTACTGTCACAATGGCGCATCTTCGTGGTGGAGGTGGCAGGTCTCGTCGGTAGCCGGTAATATCCCAACTGAACACCCAATTCGTCTGGCTCGGATCGAAGATTGGGTTAAATGTAATGATGTCGGCCTCCTCGTCAGTTCCCCAATCGTAGTTGTCCATCTCATAACTTATCAGAGGTGTCACGCCCTCAGGTGGATCCAGCATGCCGCCATTCGGAAAATCGCGTACGGGGCCCCAGACTGGGATGGGACCACTGTCAGTCGGGTTGTTCTTCGGCTTGTCAACGTACTCGACCTCATTTTCCACAAATTTCGTGAAATTGTCCCAAGTTCCATGGTACTTCGGGATGTAGAAACGTGAGCTTCGCTCCCACATTCCCTTGCGAGGCTGCTTCCGTGCCCATTCGGTGATCTTCTCATTGAATTGATAGTAGTGGCCGGTATATCGAATATCCATCTCCCAGTTCCAGAAGAAGTCGTATTCGGGGTGTTGCTGGCTGAACCATTGCAGCGCGAAATGGGCACTTCTGTACACGCCGTGAATGCTGCTCCCGGCCATGTTCGCGAAGTTGTCCGGGAAGGGCTCAGGGTAGTACATCTCCATCTGCTTCTCCGACCACAGAGTTGCAATGCCCCAAAATTCTTGCGGCACGTTTTGTTCCACGATTTGCTGATAGACCCGCTCGTCCGCCCAAATTGGAATGCTGTCATCCTTGACATGCACCAGCAAATGTACGTCGTACTCTCCACCTGATTTCAAGTTCAGTTCAGAGATCATTGCTCGCATAGCGATAATTTGATGAGGTTGGTACTCGTATCCAGTCCATGTGCGTAGAACATACGCTTGCCGACTCTTCTTCTTTCGTCCGCTGATCGGGTCGTCCTTGAAGCGGGCCTTGTTCTTCTCGTAGCAACGCTCTTGTGCACTCCCCCAGTCCACGTTGTCATAGTTCACGTAGCCCATCTGCTCGAAGACCTTCTCACTTCCAGCACTTTCTGCACTGGCACCGGGGCCCATGCCGCCCATGGTTTCATTGTACCCGTACCCGTAAGGGCCGTATCTTCCAAATCGCTCGAAACACACTCCATCGTTGAGACCGAGGGTATCGTAGTCGCCGTAGAATGGCTCGGCCATGTGCTGTGGAACTCCTGGGTACGCGTACACATCGGGAACCTCGATTGTCTCCTCCTCGTCAACATAGCAGGTCTGGATACCTTGGATATTTTTGTAGGGGTCGAACTTGACGGGGTCGATGGGCGGTTCGGGTGATAGTCGCTGGCGGCCCAGTTCTTCTGGACTGACGTAGGTATTGGGCGCACTTTTGTTGTAGGCGTTCTCGGGTTGCCATTGAGAATAGGGCACCAGCGTTCGTATCCCGTTGTAGAAGCCATTGAGGCGCGCGTAGTGCATCCACTCAAATGGCACATCGTTGTTCTCGTTTTTCAGTGACCATTTCCTATGTTGGTGGTAGCCCCCGCCTCCCAGCAGCGCGAGCATGAACAGCGCTGCTAAAGCAAGGTACACGGATCTCGTAAGCGATATCCGCCCAATGCCCCATCTTCTTCGTGCTCCATCTCGCCACGGAATCCCGCCTTGTGGCCAGTCGAGTGCGGCAATATTGATGCTGTCGGCAGAAAGTGAGGGTATTTGTTGGTATGCAAAGCTGTGCTTGGAGAAGATTCGCAAAGGATTCCACGTTGTTAACCGCGGGACGGATCGCATAGTTTTGGGAAGCAAATACGAGTGTCCGTCAAACTCTCCGGCATCAGAAGAGCGGCTGCTCTCTGAATGCCACTCCTTCGGCTCCTCCAGCGTGGCCGGCGGTACAGTAGACTCTTGTTGCAGAGTGTTACTGCGCTGGCGAAGGTTCGACGACGCCACGGTGACGGAGGCGAGGAGGTCGTATTATACACTGCGGGGCTCGCCTGTTGCAGAAGGAAGAAGGAATGCCGGGAGCAAGAAACTGGCGGTTGCAATGTCGTGAGAAGGAGAAAAGTCGTGGCCGTCGGGCGAGCCCTGTCTCGATGGCGGTTGTGATGGGGGCCGAGTGGGTAGGGTAGGGTCTAGTGGTAGCCACACTGCCGCCGCTGCTTGCGCACTTCTGGTGATAGCCGGCGCGGGTGAATGCTACAGCTGCGGAGGATGCCCCGTCGTTACACAGGCAGTGCGTTCGCGAGCTGCAGGCGGCACAGGAGCGGAGGTCGGCGCGCGGAGGAGGGGTGGTGGTGACGACGACGACAAGACGGACGAGGGAGAACAGAACAGGACAGAACAGAACGGACGAGGGTAGTGCCCAGGAAAGAGGGAGACAGCAAGACCAGACAAGACCAGACAAGACGACGGCGGCGATTGATTGCATCTGACACAAGGACCCCCCATCGCCCACGCCTAACTAACCTACACTCGCCCCCTTCTGCACCTCCTCACCACTCTCCTGCTGCCGCGCACGAATCTCTCACACGCGCAACGACGCAGCAGCAGGCCCAGCGCTGTCCGCAAACCGCTCGCTGGTCGGGCCAACTCCACCAGAATGAAACCTTGTCCATTCGAAACATCTTGCATCCAGCCGACCACGCGCCTTGGGATCCGCTGCGGCTGCCGCTACTGCACCGACCCGGAAGCCAGTTGGCGATGCGAGAGAGTGCGTGCTCGCGGTGCGTCTGCAGCACAGCAGCAGCAGCCGATCGCCATCTTGCCAAAGCGACATGCCTGCAGCATATCCTGTCTGGCCGTGCCATTACGCGCGTCGCGAATGCAGCTACACTACTGTACACCACCAACCCCCATCGTAGCAGTACACCATCTCGACATACCATAGCATGCTGCACAGACGACTCCCGAACCGTTGCGCAGCCGATTTTCGAGAAGCAATCCTTCGCCGCTTCTCAACCATTTTCCCGAGTGGTCGAACGCCTGCACGCTCTCATGCGCCCATGGGCGGCCCGCCTATCTTTAATTCCTTTCCGCACTATGATTCGCTCTGCCGCCGACCAAGCAATGCATGCATCCCCGTCTCGCCCCCCCCCACTCCTCACGCCCTCCTCCCAGTCGTCTTGACATCATGCTAATTTGGCGACACCAGCACGTCAAATCAGATGCAAAATCGCTGGGGCAAGCAAGTGACGATAACAGCCTCCCATTGTTTTACCCAGAGAACTGCCCTCACATCGCAAACACTTCGGGAGCGCCAGGGCGTGAAACGGGTGTTTGAGCTAAGGCGGAAAAACCGTTGCGCATCATCGTTGGACGATTACCGTTGCCCTTTGTTGAGGAACGGCTCTTTTGCAGCATAAAGCATCCATCTAATTCAGGAGACGGGTCTCGCCCGAGACTGCATAACGCATTTCATCACTATCTTAAGAGTGCAGACGCAATCGATGCTGCACGTGGCCTGCTACATGCATCGGACTATCGAATCTGCAAAATGCCTGGCAGGTTGCGTTCTTGGTCTGCATGATGAAATGCTTGTTTCCAGCTCGATCGAGCTCGAGTGCCGTTGGAGCTGGCGAGCTGTGCTCCTTGATGACTGAGTCGTGATGCTTGCTCACATTCGTTGCGCCATCGAACATATTTGTCTGTCACCCTGCTCATCTTTTCTACGGAGCATCAAATCACAGCTCGTTATCCGTGATTACAGGTCGGGCCTATGTCCGGGCTTGGCAGGCTGTCAGAACGCGCGTCAACATTTGCGCAAAGCACCAGTCTCACCAAAGCACTGTCCAAGTGCATCGACTGTTGTGCGCTTGTGCAGATCCCGTAGCACTCCGATATAACACCCGTGCTCTCAATGCGGACTTTATGGTGATGGGAAATCTTACTGCTGTCGACGTTTGCGCGTCCCAGTGATGGTGTAACATCAGCTCACCAACGAGATGCTTCAGGTTGATAGAGGGACCTGGTCTCTTGGGCGAATACGACACGCATTCCTTTGTCCAGGTGCATTAGTTGCAACAACCGATCCCATCACTAAATTATCAGTCGACACTGTTGATCATTGGAGTGAAAGCGGGGACAACACGCGTATGTTGGGAGTAGGTTCAACCTGGACAGTGAGCATGATAATACAGCATGTTCCAGATCGATCTTGGCTGCAGCCCTCACAGAGCCTGGTGGGCCGAAATATAGTGGCATATCCTACTGTAAGCGTTCATACTCACTGCTGTAGGTTCGTTGACAGCACGAGAATCGCTATTACCACACGAAGCCTTCCAGACAGAAACGAGCCTCGCAGCTTTGCTCTATAGCGTGCTTTCTAGCATAGCATATGCCCCGGTTCCGAGGCCAGACACGGAGGGATGGAGCTCGAGTGATGGGCTTACAGACCTTTCGTTGGTGTCGAGGCCACGCGCTTTGAGACAAGGACTTGCAGCTGGCCTTGAACCTGCGACTGGCACATGCGGCATTCGCTCTGCTTTTTGTGCTTTGACCGAGACTGGGAGGTAGACTCGCGTCGCCACTGGCCTGATCGAATGGCATTGAGGGGGATTTCGAAACCAAGGCCCGACAGCTTCACACAGCATCAGACTGCCAGCTGTGTATTGACCATCTCATAGGGTGTCGCGCATCCTCGGTCTGCGCTGCTGCGGATATGCTGTAGCCTGCTGCGTGCTGCGACTAGCCCATGGAGGGTGCCGACACTTGCTCGTCCTCCGAGGCTGACGAGCTCTTGCTCTCGCTGTGCAGGCGATGTGATCGAATTGGTAATTTGTGCAGACAGACAGCACAATATGCTGGTTCAACGGCAAGTTGGCCAGTCCAGCGCAGTCGACGCCAGTCCAGGTAGGCCTACCACAGATGGGAAGTCGGCGTAGCAGGAAGAGAGAGCATGGCTGGAAGCGGAGAGAGCTGACTTGGTGACTTTCGCGGAGATTTCGTGAAAGCTTGGCGCTCGCGCTCCACGACCCGCACCTCGGCAGGTCGTCGTCAAGAGCAACCCAAGTGCCGGGGACATATTCAGGGAGCAAGACCGCATCCCACTCTTGCCCACCCCTCCAGGCGGTCTCAGAAACGGCCGGCAGGATCGCGAGACTGTTGCATGCGGATGCGTGGTTGCGTGGCCGGCGGCGTGTTTGGGAGCGATTCATGACAGCAGCAGCATAAACACACGCGAACAACACCTCCCAATGTAACCACAACACACGACAGTCGGTATTGTGCAGCCATGGCTACACCTCTGCATAATTCTCCACTGGCCAATGAGACGGCGAAAGAAGATGGCACTCCTCCTGGCCTTCGACTCGAAGCACCTGCATCGGTGACACAGCGCTCGCGCAGGTTGCAGCTTCGCAATGCCGGCTTTCGGGGGCCTGCCGTGAGGAAAATCACGCCCAAGTCCTTGCCGGCCATGCCCACGACTGCCCCTGACCTATCGCCATTGTTCACGAAGCAGTCGCAGTCGCAGGCTTCAGATGCAGAAAATGTATCTCCGTCCGGAACACGCGCACGCGACACCTGCGGTCTTATCAATCACGACTCTGCCGGAGTCCTGCAAGACATTGGGAATGCAGCCGATGGCGCTGGCACCCTGCGAGCAAAGCGAGTGAGACAGCGAGTGACTTCCACCAACTTCTACACACCCGACGTCAAGCACGGCACCTTTGGCGAACACCTGGGCTCTTCACCTCCGAACACAATTGTGCAGTCAAATCCCAAGTCACGCTCCATCAGAACACGAGTCTCCAAGATGTCAACCCGGCCGCGGCGATCCATTAGTGCAGAGACCCGTCGCTACGTTGATCATCTCGAAGAGGAGCTCAGCGCTGCGCAGGCGCAGCTGCAAGCAGTCAACTCTCCGAGTGTGACCCGAGAGCAATCGTCCAATATGCGGCACTTGAAGGCAGAAGTAGCTCGACTTCGAGATGAAATTGATGAATGGGAGACACAGTTCGACAATCGTCTGCACGAAGAAGTTTCCAAGTCCCACAAAGCAGAGCAAAGCCTGAGGGCTCAGCTGCGATCCGTCGAGGAGGAATGCGAGATTTCCAAATACCGGATCCATGAGCTTGAAAGCCAGCTGCGTACCACGACAGAGGCGCTCGATGCCACAGAGACTGCCAATGTGAACATGGAGAGAAGGATTGAATTCTTCTCCGATCTCATCGCCAGCTCGCCCACGAAGCTCGATCTGCACGCTCAGACACCCGGTCGGCCTGGCCATTCGAGACTACCATCCATACTGCCACGTTTGCCAACTGCGACTTCTCTATGCAGATCACCGGAGCGTCAATCTTTCACTCGGCCAACATCTCCAATGCAAACCCGCTTTAGTCCAGGGCAGCCGATCTCCCCGCACAACGCGATGTTCTCCCCCGACATCCCGTCCTCAGATGAGGATTTCAATCAGTCTGAGCTTTCCGGTTTTGCCAGTAACAACTCCCAGCAGCCCAACGCAAAGAGACCAATGCGGAGAATGCGTCGATTCGGTGCTGGTAGTCTAGGACCTAAACCGCTCATTCTACCATCAACAACACACTGCGAGCACGTTCCAGCTTCAGCACCGCCGTTCGACAGGGGCGAATATCCGTACGATGCGGCATTCGACATGCATGCGGAAGATGCCTGCTTGGAACCAAGAAGCCCAGAAGTGTATCGCCGTAGGACTGTGAGCAAGACGAGCAGCACTGGCTCGCCTGTGCATCTAGCTGGCTCGCCATTTCCAGTATATCAGGAATTCGCCAGCTCGCGTGGCATTGAGGCAGGACCCAATTCGGCCGCGCTTCGCGAGCCCATGTCGCCTTTCCGCAGCACACAATATTCGGACGACGATGACCCCCTCCTGGATAATTTGCTGGGAGAGCACGATACTATAACGAGATCTCACGCAAATACGAGCAACTTTGGGTCTCTTGGCTCCGCTACTGGCGCGGCTATTGGGCGCAACCTACTAGACGAGTTGGAGGCTGCACAAACACTCTCGAGCGCAGACCACTCGTCACGTATGTTCGAATATGCTGACTCTGCAGGCGTGGCTGTCGGCTCGAGTTCTAGTCCGTTCGTCTCTGATGCCAGTGGCGAGAGGCCGAGTGAGCGCCTCGAGCGACAGCCAAAAGAACGCCTGTCCTCAGACTCAACTGCGGCACTTCCAGCGATGCCTTGCACTCCATCTGTATCACGGCTCCCGCGCAGCGTCAGCAGTAAGACTCTTGGCGTGCAGTCCATTCGAACAGTTTCGACGCTCGACTCTTTGCGAGACTTCTTCGGCGATGTTTCGGCATCGCCTCTCAGTGTAGCTAAGTACTTGATTCAGAGAGCCCAGGCTCGCATGCGGATTCCTCGACCACTGCTGTCTATCCAGTGGTGGCTTGTGGGAGTTCTACTTGGTCCAATGGCCAAGAGACGGTTGATCGCGAGGCAGACTTGCTGCACGCAGTCGAACACGTCGGAGCAGGACCTTCTGGGAGACACAGATTCCAGCATTGCACTTCACGATGGGCTCGACTACGGTCAGCTGTATCAGACGCCTCCGCCGTCATCCTCGCCTGCCATTGGGGCCCTTCGAAGCCGTGGCCTTGTTTCCGGCAAGGGCAAGAAGCGAGCGTCGAGCACGTCTAAGGGGCGAGCTAAGAGCTGTCAACACACCCAGCGTTGGAAGCACTCGCCACTGTTGTGGTTGAAGTTTAGCATGACTTTGGCCGTTGCTGTTGGCATCGCGTTCAAGGATGGACCTAGCAGCCTCCTGAAGGAAGCGATCTGCAATTGCAAAACAGTGTCGAGTGGGAATTGGAGGCAGACGAAGAGAGACGCGATAGTGTCGCCGAAGGACGAATGAATATGCTACTACGAAGAGGGCATGCCTGACGTGGTTTGCCAGCAATAATGCACAGAACAGGATTCCTGGGACTGGATCAGCCATAGTGGCTTGACGGCATGATGTATGAAGCAATGAAGAATACACGATATGAAATATGATGACATCAATTCCAGCCGTGATCTCGCAGTCAAATGCGATTGGTCTTTGCCAAAGGCGGTTTATGGTACACGTCGAATTCCACAAAGACGAGGTGCTGAAATATGGCACATACGACAGACATGAGGGTCTGATTCGATGCTAGCTGCGATCGATATCGCCTGCATGGTGCGGGAGAGCTCCCGCACTCTTTTTGTTCATCAGAGCGCATCCAATAATGCTGACTGATACCTCGTGATGCATCAAAAGCACGCCGCGAATCGAAACTAGGTTTGCCTGGGCACGGTTTTTCGGATTGTTCCACAAGCGCACTGATTACCGCATTGAGTAGGTATTCAGAGCATTGATGCATCTATAGCTGACACTGTGGCAGCCACGGGACGAGCAGCAAGTTTTTAGAGCCTGCAGCTGCGCCATTGTGCCTAGGCTGTAGGTTGTCGCTCGTGGCGGTGTCCGCATGTACTTCATGATTGAGGCCGGATTTCATGAACATGCCGTTGATATCGGACCACGCATGACTGTTCAAACTTATCACCATTCATCATTGACTCTGTGATCCTAGAGCGTACTTGGGAATGCGCAACATAGTGTCGAGAGATGGTGTTCCAGATGATGATGCCTCGGCAGGTCTTGTCTCACTTTACGCAACGTGCGATCGCATGTCGCACTTGCAAAAGAAGACCACCAATGGCAAGTCGTCGAATGCGCAAAAGTCAGCCCACACCTCACCTTGCAGAGTTCGACTAAGCATACCGCGTTGCTTTGCACTGGAATCAAGCTTGCGGCAAAAGCTTCTTGTAGGCTTCGGCCAACCTCAGCAGATGCAGAACAATGTTGTCTCAAATCGACAGTTGTCAACTTATTGACGATGGAGGCTCTGGAGATGACAGCATATGCATCTTGTGCACGATCACAGACTCACGAGATGTCGCGATTGCCAGCGACGGTTCTGGTCTCACATTGGAAGTCCTCTAGAAGCTCTGCTGCATTGCAGATCGTTGCGAGATGCAGCAAGCGCATCAGCGACTACTTGCCATGTGCTTCGAGCTGTGCGTACCTTCGTCGAAGCTTCTCAGGCACTATTGGATCTGCGTGCAGTACCTCCCCTATGTGGTAGCCTTGCAAGTGACCGAGGCAGTGAGGGTATTGCGAGGACCAACGATCACTCTATAAGTATGGGTACCTCATTCAACAACATGTGCACCGGCAGACCGACTCTCCACGCACTTGTCCAGTCACAGAATTGCAATAACAATGGCGAAAGTTCTACTGGCTCTCGCAGCTGCGCAGGGCGCCTTCGCCTATCCATGGGTTGCCAATGTACCAGGCGTCGATTCTTCGATGCTTCCAAAACGCTCTGCTCGCATGCAGATGCCGAGAGACTCACCGGATTGCCCGTTCAATGCCAATCATGTCCCAGCTGCTCCGATTACTGCTCAGTATCCTTACCTGGGCGCTATCAATGGAAAGCCTGGTACTGGTAAGGGCGGTATCTTGGTGCCTGCTCCTGGAGATACAGCACATGAGTACCGTGCTCCCAACCCGAAGACAGATATTCGAGGTCCTTGTCCTGGTTTGTTGCACCCCATTTTTCACATCGGTACACTTCAACTGATGAAGCACAGGTTTGAACGCAGCAGCCAATCATGGATTCCGTGAGTCGACCTGTTCCCTGATCTGTTTGACATTGACTAACGGCTTTCAGTTGCTCGTGATGGTATCACAACCTACAACGAACTCGTTGATGCGCAGCAGAACTTGTATAATGTCGGGTATGATCTGGCCAATCTCCTTGCCATCGCTGGCGTTGGACTCGATGGCGACCTCATCGGGACCACCAAGTTGTCCATTGGATGTGATGCCAATTCACGTACGGTGACTCCTGGTAATGTGCTTGCGGATGAACTTGGCCTCAATGGACACAACCATTTCGAGGCAGATACTTCTTTGACGAGGAACGATTACTTCTTGGCCAATGGCGACAACTATCGATGGAACGCCACTGTAAGCGGAAACAGTACAGATCGTTAAAGGCTACATTGCTGACGTTCATTCAGTTGTTCACTCAGATGATGAGCTACTGCCAAGGCAACTGCAACCTCGAACACTTGGCATTGTATCGAGAGTTGCGATACAACCAGTCGAAGGCTGACAATGGCAATTTCTTCTTCGGACCTGGTTCCTTGTTGCTTTACGGCGCTGCGTCTTTCTTATACGAGCTCATGCCAACCGCAGGCGGTACTGCTGATGAAGCTGTAAGCATTTCCTGTATGGTTTCTCAATCTCAACGCTGACGTTTTCCCAGACAATGATGTCGTTCTTCGGTGCTGACAAGGTTAATGGACAATACGTCTGGAACGGAGGCGAGCGTATCCCGCCTAACTGGCGCAATCGCGTTGACTCCTACGACAACAACAAGGTCGGCTCTCAGATCATCAGGATGTATGCACTTCATCCAGTACCTTTCGGCGGCAACATTGGTCGCAACAATTTCAATGGCTTGAACTTCAGCACCTATATCCAGGATGGAAAGTTCAATCCGGATACACCAGCCGATGCAATGTGCTTGATCTACCAAGCACTTACTGGTGGCTTTCCTTCTGAACTGGGACAGGTTATCAACATTCCAGTCGACATTTCTAACGCTATAACTTCGGGCTTATTGCCTATGGCGAAGAATCTTGGTTGCCCGCTCAATCATAACTCGGGTGACAGCGCTTCTGGTGCAGCATGAGAAAAGGTCGCGAGCGTCAATGACTATTTAGAGATCGAGAGCATTATAATTCTCTCATTCGATCTAGTTTCAGTACCTCTCTTTCAGCCAACTCACAATTGCTTCACCAGTCTCTTGTGGCTTCTCGAGCATCAGCCAATGACTTGCTTGTACTTCCTTCACAGTCACCTCTGGTAAAAGACCTTGTGCCTTCAGACCTTCGATCGCGACAGCCGGCGCAAGCGGATCCTTCAAAGCTGCAATAAACAAGTACGGTACTTTCACAACGTGATTGCCAGCCTCCAATGCCTGCTGGTCTCGCTGTAGCGTCAAACTTTTGACAACTCCCTTATACCACAACATCGGCGCGCGAAATCCGTCCCTCTCAAGTCTGCCAATCCACTGCTTGCGAAACTCTCCGCTCTGAGCATATGGAAGAACAGCCTCTGTACCATCACTTCCATCTTTCAACCAGTTTTCGAAGGCATTAGGATAACAGCAAACCTGTTTCATCCTTTCTCCACCTCCGTGCAAAGCAGTGAACATCCTATCCACATGCGCATCCATCAATTCGTAACCTTTATCAGATGTGAAGAGTGGGAAATACCAGCCTGAGCAATATCCCAGATACTGCTCCTGCATTTGGCGAATTTTCTCGAAATCAAATGGCTCGGGCGAAGGAGGAGCGTGAGCTGTTCCGAGGGTGATCAGGCCAGAGATGCGGTCTGGGTGGTATGTGATCAATTTGCTGGACACAAATGCTCCGAAGTCGTGGCCGAGTGTTACTACTTTTTCTAGTTTCTCGGCGTCGAGGATGGAGATTATGTCTTTGCAGATGGAGTCTAGAGCATAGAGGTTGATGTCGTCGGGTTTGTCTGAGAGGCCATAGCCGATGAGATCAGGCACGAGTACGCCGAAGCCGTTGGGTACGAGATAGTCTCGGGTCAGGTCCGCCCAGAGGTCTGAGGAATCTGGACAGCCGTGGCACAGGAGAATTGTTGGTTTGTTGTCTTGAGCTGGGGATGTATAGTAGTTGTACTTGACTCCGCTTGGCGCTTGGTGAGATTTCTGCTTGAGGTGGTTCATGGTGTCTCTCTAATTGTACTACAGGTGGAGGGTCAACAATGTGTAAGGACCTCGAAGTTAGGGTTTATTGAAGGTCAGTTGTGAACATGTGTAGCTTCGAGCTCAGCCGCAGTGGGTCGGCAGGATTCGCCAAGGCTACTCGGTACTACGAGGGTGGATGTAAACGAGGGGTGCCTCAGTGGATTGTACGGAAATGGAGCGATATCCATGTCGAAGTATTGTTGCAATGAATGTTGCTGGAAAGTCTTGCTCACAAACATCCGTTTCTTACCTCTTTTTTCCTGGCTCGGCTGACGAAGTATCAGCAGCCTATGAGCATCTACTCTTGCGCTCACACATTTCGATGGTGTCGTAGCGGCGCTTCCCTGCTTTTCCGTTGACGCTGTTCGTCTTCCTCTTTCATATGCTCATGCTGCTCCAACAAGGTCGCGAGGTTCCACAGGATGCGATCTGTGCTGTCACTTCCATCGTCCAACTTACCATGAGCAGAGATGGTGGGCTGTTGCCCAGCAGGATTCCACTCACTCGTTTGAGGCATTGCACCTCCAGTGCCGTGCAGGACCATATTCTGCTGTCGCTGCTGTGCGCGATTATATGGGTAGGTCGCTCTGATTCCCCCTGTTCCGCCCGCGCCGTCTGGTTTGTGCAAAGCTCCGTACTTGAAATCGGTCATTCGATAGAGAGGGGGCTCCGAAACACGTGTGCACTTACTGATATCTCCAGGAGCTGACAGCACCCATGAACCATGCTCACCAATTTCTGATTCGAAGATGATCGTGTAACCTTCTCGCAAGGTGCAGTAATTGATTGTGCGCCGATTGACGCTGAAGCTGATTTTCGTGATTTTGATTATCGATTCGATTCTTTCTGGGGTCCTGGCGGGCAAGGTCGCGGGGAGTCCGTAGTAAACACCTTCCATGATCTTGACAGCATACCGAGTGTGGTGTTTCGCTATGCGAGCGCTCCCAGCTGGTTCGCCAGCTGGCGTCACCGGTACGCCAGAGTGGTGGCTTACAGTAACACCTTTTTGCTTCGGTGTAGTAGGTGTCGCTTCTGAACCAGCCACTGGCGACGAAACTCCGGCGCGCGAACTCCTGTTGGTAAAGAGACTGCAGTTTGAGTCAGAAGTGCCGCAGTGGGTTTCATGAGCTGATACAACTTACGTGTCGGTCCTGAAGTTGCTACGCACCTCATGTGCTCGCTCATGCGAGCGACGAGCTGGTCCGTGAGCAAACCTCTTCGAGCAGTACTTGCACTGCTGAGCCATGATCGGGAAGGACGGCGGATTGAAGGCTGCACGAAAGTGTTGAAATCGTGTGAGATATGTCAGTGTGTGTAGTGAAACGAAACAAGAGGATAATGCATCAATTGGGAGCGTATAGAGAGCGCGATGGGAGCGGGAAAGCCCGTGCCAGCGTTATTGTGAAGTGATTGTCTCCGCTTAGGGTCTCACAGATCAATAAGTATTGTCCGTTAGTGTACGCCAGAAATAGCTTCTCAGGCCGCAGCCCTGTACAATCATGCTTGCCATGCTGGCTTCTTCTCATTCCTTCACCACACTGCAAACTTCAAGAGCACGGTATACTCGCAGCCTCTAGAAAGGGTCAAATTCCAAACGACTTGCATTCCCGAGCGGGCTTCGCGTTTGTTCGCCTCTTTACCGGACATCGCGAAAACTTGGGAAATGGGGACCTTGAATGCTTCTGTTCGAGATGATGAGCCTGCAACAGCAGCCAGAAATGCCACAAATGTTCGAGAACTAGACGTGAGTGGCGCAAGAAGGCGAGAGACAATTCAGGTTGCAACGTTGTTTGCCAAAACAAATTACGTCATGAGACGACAGGGGGGCTCTCACTTCATCTCGCGTACTTCTTTCTTTCAACTACCCATTGTTCTACTTTTTGTTCCTTTTCTACACTTTCACTCTGTGATCATGCATCTCTACCGTGATGTAGAGCTACTCCCTGTCCGGCACGAAGCCGTAGGATACCGGACGAAGAAAGCACGTCCAGATCTGTGATTTCTGCCCACGTACCCACCATGCTGTCTTTCAGCATTGACATATGTGTAAGACAGCATTATAGATGAGCAAAGCCACAGTAAACGCACGCAGCAGACTTGCTTGCGACGAACGGGAGCTTGCGTCCCCATTTGCCCAAATGCATCCTGCACCTGTCCGCTGCCTCCTGGGCTGACCTCACCTGGTGCTTAGGAGCCAGACAAAGTTTAGACAAAGTATTTGAGCTGACACTGCCCCTTCGAAAATTACTCTGGGACCACATATACTCAAGAAACGCAAAACATCTTGTCCCCGATAAATCGCACAATGCCTGTGTTCACATTACCAGTCCTGCTAGTCGCCGAGAGCCTGGACGCCGCCCACAAACAGCCGCAGAAGATCAAGCCTGGGCGAAAAGGCCTTCAACACACCGAAAACTTCACAATGGGCTTTCTGAAGCCATGATGTCGAAGCTGCCGACACGCCAAATTGGAAAGGTTCTCGTACAAGCAGGACTATTGAACAAGCTTGATTCTCCTGTCCCTCGAGCTGACTTGACAATTACCTCTGCCCGAATCTGAAAGCTCTCTATGGCTGTGTGGTTGCGTTGTGGCAATCGTGCCAATTATATCACTCCCGGTCATCACTGCATATATCCAATTGCTCCAACATATACACATCATCTTCTGCACCTCACCGGTTTCAAAGGACTCTAACGACACATATAGCTATGGATTCGACATACAACCCTCGGACGAGTCTTCGAGTGACTCGCCACTACTTTCCGATGCTGTCACTTCGATTTTGAGGGCCTCCAAGAATGTCATTGTCCTGGACGCGTGCCCGGCCGGTAAGATCTGCTAGCACGATACTATGGTGAACCGTCGGCAGACACAGGGATTGTGCGGGCGTGACTTTCTGATGTGCACTTCACGCGCGCGCGTGACTGTCACGAACTGCGTCCAAACATCAAAAGCAGACCTCCGCGAGCTTCAAACTTGTCACAACAAACCCCCGACCTCGAAAATCATTCCCAGAACGACTCGCCTCACCTTACAACAATACAGATTTTCTCAGGAGTATCAAGCTCATCGAAACACCACACTACAACATGGCATCCAACTTGCAACAATCTCATGCTACCGACATGGCGGATCACGAATTGCCTTTTCCGGGAATTTCTGCTGTGGTCATGTCGGTACCACAAGCGGGCAAGTCTCTCTCAACGAACCTCTCAACATTGTCGCTCTCCTCGCAAACTCGAAGCACTACGGGTGCTGCACCGAAAAAGCACCTAAGAAGCGACGAAGATGCTCGCAAATCACTTAGCGAATTGTTCCCTACACCCAAGTATTTCAGTGAGCCAGAATATTTCAATGGTGAAGCGCTGCCCAGAAGCAGTTTCATGAACAAGAAATATCACTCGAGCAACTTCGCAACCCTACCGCAACGTCGCCGACCATCCGAAGCCATCGACCCCAGCCAGGAGAACTTGAGCAGAACCGATCTCATCAAACTCGGACGGTCAGAGGCTCTTCGAATATTGCCTGAGGAGTATGCGGCCAAGTACATGCTGCGGCACGAAAACTTTACCATTGGCGGTAAAGTTGTCAACAAAGGTGGCTATTTGTTCACCGAGGCCGACTTCGAGGGTATGCAAGCCGAGGCCATGCAGCGCAAGGGCATGCAACACAGCTCAAGCAAGCGACCTCTACGAGATCTAGATCTCAGGTTCTCTGCGATTGAAGGCATGACGCATTTCGGCGCATGTTTCGTCACCAATGGCATCAACTATCCGCTTTCCAGCCGTGAGGAGAAGGATGCTGTCTTACAAATTTTCGATCAGCAAGTCAGTCGAGACAAGAACGCTTTATCAAAGGCGTTTGCAATCAAACCTCAGAATGGCATCTCACCGACACAAGCTACTGATCTTTTGAGGCATAAAGTCCAACGCCTTTTGAGGGACCGTGTTCTAACCATCTGCGACAATACAGTCGTCCCCTGTACCGAGGATGATGAGCCACTGGTTGGTGAACAGAATCGATACACCAGACGAGCGCTGAAAGAAGTTTTCAGACTTCTGACTGACGAGAACGATGGATGGCTGGCAGACGATCCGCTTGAGCAACAACTGGATCCTTTCAGGTGGACGCGGAGCATTGTTACCATCGAAACGAAAGCGGGATCTCGAGACATGGTCACACTGGCTATCAAGAGGAGGTCCCAAATGCTGCCTACCAAGACCACGGATATTTTCGGCTTCGGTCTCACTTTCGCAGAGTCATACTCAGAGCTCAGACGCGAGACCAAGGTCAGCGTCGCATGCAAGGAGGCGATTACCCAGCTGCGTGCAAAGAAAGCCTCGAAGGATGCTGATCCTGTGGTGGATGCAGAGGACCAGAAAATTGCCCCGAAAGTGCACACTTCTGAACCTGCACTTCATACCGGGCATGGTGGGCCACAGAATGACGGACCAGAAAAGGCCTTAGATCCATCATCAAATCCTGCAATCAGCAAAATCGCAGAAAGCTACGGCCCCGAAAAGCGAAAACGACGAAGGCCAGCGGAGAACTCTGAGCAATTTGAGCGAACTGCACAACAAGCACCACCAAGGAAGAACAATGGCGCCCTTGTGCGCATGAGATCGGAAGCGCTTCCTCGGGCCGCCGCATCTTCTGCTGATGGCACCTCCTCCACCAGTAATGCTCGTGCCGATGGGTACGACTCTTCGCGGAGATCCAACAATGACAATGCGGCACCTTCTAGGTTGGTCATTCTGCGCTTCAGCACAAGCGCTGCGACCAAATTCGAGGACATTGTCGATCGTCCAACAGCGAACAAACGACAGAGGCTACAGACTTACCCACAACAGGCAGCAAGCACTGAAGAGACTGCAGTCAACGATACCTCGACATCACAGCCTGCGAATTCTGAATCGAAGCCTCCGCAGAATCAGCTCAAGCCACAGCCTGAGAAGGGGAAGGGCCGGAGGGCTAAACGAAAGTAGAGGGCTCGTCAATAGCAGGAGAACGATGGAATACATATGTGTAGCGTACGGGGTCGATCTAAAGGACAAGAATATAGATCTTTTTGCATTTCTACGCTACTCAAAATCGCGGTTTCCCCAACAAAAGTTTCTTTAGTCTCAGCATTGTGAAAGACGGCGAAATCGAGACCCGCTAGACGTACCTGGTACCGCGCTAGGTGCGACGCAAATCTGCTGCTGTTCAATAGCTCCCCTGTCAAGATAACTGCAGTTCATGACAGGCTTGAGTGAAATGTGGAGCTCTCGAATTCATTGCACTGTATGTGTTTTCTTTTGCGGGATCTCATGTTGCACAATATACCTAGCTAGACTGATGGGCAATCGCAGTGAGTTTCTGCAGCATACCTGTCTCTCGAATCTTTACACCCCTTTGAACATATTGACGCTCTCTCTGCTATACGCCGTCACGTTCGGGAACGTGCTCCAATCAGCATCGAACAAGATGGCATCCTGACAGGCACTGCCAAGACCAGTATTGTTCAACCACGCAGGCTCCCAGTAATGAACACCCTGCCCGAGACCTCTCGGGATCCTGCTTTACATTAGCATTCATCACACTCTCACATTTTTGAATGGATACACTTACTCCTTGACGACATCAATGACCTTCCCAACCCACTCGAGCTGGCCTTCAACACTAGCAGGAATGCTAGGCTCGCTGAGCGTCGGTACGCCTTCTCCTGTACAAATCGCTGGCCAGTCCGTTTCCACGACTTGAATGGGCTTCTTATACTTATTGGCGACCCAGTTCACAGTTGTCTTCAAGTTTGCCAAGGTCGCAGAAGTGCCATAGAAGGGATAGATACTGAACCCGAAGATATCCCAGTCTGAAGTCTTGACAATGCCAGTACCCACAAGAGCACCAAACCAGCGTTGCTGTAGCGAAAGATCGTAGCCATTGTCGATATGAATCATGACTTGTGGCTTCCGCAGTCCAGCTTTAACAGCATCATCGACGCCATTTCGCGCAGCTTTGTAAAGTGTCGCAAGGCCAGTGAAATTGGCAATACGAGCAGATTCAGGCTCGACAGTCACACTCACTCTGCCCAAAGGCCAGATCATACCATTGCGGATTTCGTTGCCAAGACTGACCAATGCCAAATCGACGCCAGCTTTGTGGAAAGCTTGGAGACTCTCAGAGACGTAGCCACGGAGTGTCTTTGCGAGAGGCTTGAGAGTTGTTGGCCAAGCGACAGGTTGCCATTGCTTCTGTGGGTCTGCCCAGTAGTCGGAGAAATGGTAGTCGAGGTAGATTTTGTAGCCCTTTTTGTGGAAACGCTTGGCGATTGATAGGACGTATTCGAGATCGTAGGATTGGTAGTCTGGGAAGAATCAGTATCGTTTTCATCTTGCCGCGGTCGATATTCGTACATCCTCCATCGAATGGCACTGTTGGGTCCACCCAGAGCCGTAACCGAACGGTATTCATGCCACCATCTCCAAGGATATCCTCTGCTGGCCTGGTTGCATTGCCTCGAGCAGTGTCCTTGTATACGGCGCCGCCCTCTTCAAGAATCTTCAGCGATGACAGATCATGGCCTTTGTAAAAGTACGGCCGCTTTGGCGCTGCGGCCGATACAGCTGTTGTTGCCGACAAGGCGGCGAGCAGAAAATTTGGAACCCTCATGTTGATCGACAACGGCACCCTCCAATACTTCAGGCGAAGACTATTTCTTATATTTGATCTCGCTTCGTTACACAAAAGACCGAGCCGACGTGCCCATGAAGTCAGCAAGATCTAGCCCCCAGACGAGTTAGTTCCACCAATCAGCTGCCACTCTCCCCATATATCGGGACCTGCGCCCACGCAGAGCAGGGGTCGATATATTCGAATGAGGGGAAATCTTTCGACCTGCCGTGCCTGCCAAGTTGAAACAATAGTCCCTCCACATTCGCCAATTGTGGTCCCGGCAATGTGCTGCCACAAGACTTGAGGATTTCGATGCCGTTTGCTCAGTCGGGTTTGGCAGCGTATGTTCAAGTGCTTCTGCCCAAAAGGGCTGCAAAACCAGCTCGTGGCAGGAATCTGGGAAGCGTCAGCCGATCACTGCTGCAACCTGGTTTGTACAAACTGACTGACTCCAGAACTCGGCAATTGCAGCAGAATTTTGTCACAATGTGTCCATAAAGCCGCCATCAGCCGTATCCAATGCTCTATCTCGTGGACATGCCACCACTCGCACTTGCACTAGCACTAGCGCTCGCGCGTAGTCCGCTCGCAGGCATGGGGCTGTCATTTCCATCAGCGGCTATAAGTCAACAGTTGCGGTGCCTTGGCTTACTTTTTCTGGAGTATAGGCTCCGTGTCCTGACCAAAGAAAATAACATGCACGGTAATGTCGTCTCGCACATATCGTGCGAGTGGTGTCTGGACGCTCATCACACCTGTAAAAAGGTCCCTTCGTTTGCCGCCTAGTGCATTCTTGACCAAATGAATACCACAATTTTCATCCTCGTTGACAAAATGCTTTGGGGAAACGCGCCATTTCAAGCAACCTTCGTTCTCATCGAAGTAGGTGTCCTCGTCGTTGGCCAGATCCTCAGCACTAGTAAAGCTGGGCGCGCGAGTCGGAGCAGGTTGCTTACGCAGAAAATCCTTCCACGAGGTGACCTCTTCGTCCCTCTGCTCGAGAAACGCAGATGGCCTGTTCTTTTCCAGCCACATCTGTACGCAGGTCACGGCATCCTCAGACGACATCTGATCCCACAGGCCATCGCTAGCCATGATGAGGAAGTCTGGGTGTTCGCCGTCAGTTCTCACCTTCGTCTCCATGATTTCAGGCTCAGCTGTGAGGTATGGTGGCGTTTTGATCATGCCATTAGGACGTGGAGATGGGCCCCAGTACTTGTCGTGGGCCAACTTCGTCAAGCTGTTCGGCCACTTCCATCTCGCATCGCCAAAAGCTCGAGAGATCGCGATACCGTGTACCCGCCCTGAGTTGGGATCGACAATGTTCTCCTCGCCGGGATGCTCCCGTTTTAGGCGAGCGACTTCATCCTGATTGAATCCCGTCTGATCGACAGACATTGGCTGCACAATATATTTGGTACCATCCCATCGGCCGAACACTGCTCGAGAATCACCAACGTTCGCCACACGAAGCACCGATCGAGCTGGATCATATAACGCCAGTAGTGCGCAGGATCCTGAGAAAGCAGCTGCGCCCACTGCCACAACTTGCGCCAGCGGCCCGCCAGTTTGGACGAGCTTGCCAGCCTCGTCCATAATCTCCTTGTCGAGCTCCAGAAAGGCCTTCTTGATGGTACTGGCTATGACAGGGTCGTTTGGGACGTATGGCCTCGTCATGCAATTCGCTTCCCACAATCGCTCACCAACGATAGACGGAAGTACCTGCTTAAGCACTTGCGCCGTTCGTGGGCCCGCGTGCCCATCAAAGATGGCCCACTCATTCCAGTCTCTCATCTTGTCGTTGAACAGAGTGAAAGCGCCTGACGATCCAGTGTCCTCGCATGGCATATTTGCCGGCGATTGGCATGTATGCGCCACTGCCTTCAATCATGTCAGTGTGGCAAAGCACTCAACGCAGTGGGAAGCGCACCTTTGCAGTAACGGAGAAGCTTGATCGAGATTTGAGCAGCTCATCAGCTTCCTCTAAAGAAATCGGAGGCGTTTCTCGAGCAATGGCTTCCAATGCGGCGATAGCTACGACGTCTTCCATAACTTCGCCAGCATCGCCGATCATCCCTGCCAGATCATCCAAAGACCCCATCGAAAGTCGCGCCCACGAGTAGGTTCCAGCAATAAAACATCCTGCGCTCCAGAATGCTAGTCCGAGTCGGCGTGGCCATTTTCGAGGCGGCTGAACGGGTTGCTGAAAGTACGTCGTGTGACCTCCTTGCTGTGCATTGCCGTTGAAGCGCCGAGAGAATCGCGTCGTTCGGTGTGCTAAGGGCGCTTGCCGCTGACCAGCCCTCAGCGTGCGCGATAGCATCTTTAATGATGCCAAAGTGCAAGTTGTCGATGGATACGGCCAGAGTTCACAAGACGCGTTTAGCCAAGCGAAGATGCAGGAGGCAAGATAAGCTTTGAGCGGGTCCTTTCAGAGAGTTCTTACTGGATGTTAACAAGCGATGTCCTTCGAATCTTCGATGCACTTCCAATGAATATTTGTTTAACAAGCGAGATGGCAGTGTATGCTGGAAGGCACGACGTGCAGCATGCAACTGTTCTATCTGAACATTCACGTACGCATGTACCTAGTCTACATCATCGTCCTCATCATCATCCTCGTCATCATCCTCATCGCTCTCCTCCTCGTCCGTCACTTCGCCACCCAAGGATTTTATCTTCTCCTTGTACTCATCTCTCTTGGCTTCTATGTCGCCCATGACGAGCAGCATACTTTCAAGCTCTTCTTTCGCATTCTTCTCGCTCTCTTGAGCTGCCTTGAGAGCTGCCTGAGTCTTCTCGCTTTCGGCGATAGTGGCCTTGATCTTTGCGAGCTCAGCTTGTGCCTTCGTCTCCCCGTCCTTTGCAGCCGAAAGCTGTTCCTTGGCCTTGGAGTGCTCAGCCTCGATATTGCGAAGTTTCTCGAGCTCTGCTTTGGCATCTTTGTCTGCTTCACGCGCTTGCTCAAGTTCTTTTCGAAGCTTCTCTGCGTCTTCAGAGTCGGCCTTCGCCTTCTCGAGATCGGCCCGAGCGGTCTTCGCGCTCTCCTGAGCTTCCTTGAGTTCCTTTTCGAGTTTCTTGGGCTTCTCAGACTCGGCCTTGTCAGCCTTGCCAGATGCGCTTTTCGCCTGTTCGGCGGCCTTCTTGGCCTCTGCAAGATCTTTCTCAAGTTTGGCAATTTTGTCCTTGTCCGCTTTGCTCGTACCGCCCGCATTGGCCTTGTTGTTCGCGCCCTTTGAACCTTCAGCGGCTTTCTTCTCAGCAGTTGCGGCCTTCTCTTCAGCCTCTTTGGCTTTCTTCTCGGCTGCCACAGCTTTCTGTATCGCCTCTTTGAGCTTGTCTTCAGTTGTCTTGACTTTCGCCTCAGCATCGGCCGCTTTCTTCTCAGCATCCGCGATCTTCTTGTCGGAGTCCTTGCCAGATGCTGTTGCCTTCTTCTGGTTGGTCTCTGCATCTTTGAGCTTTTTCTCCAATGCAGTGATCTTCTCTTCGGCCGCAACTGATCTCGTTTCCGAATCTGTGAGCTTCTGTTCTGTTTCAGACAATTCTTGCTTGATTGTCTCAAGCTCGCTCTGTGCTTTCGCAGCGTCTGCTTTAGCCTCATCCGCAGCGGTGTTGGCGGCATCCACTTCAGACCTATGGGCCTCAGATACGGTGCTGGCTGCCTTCTTAGCCTCGTCGAGTTCCTTCTCCAGTTCTGCGAATCCGGAACGCTCGGTCTTGAGCTCCTCATCGCGTGCGACCAGATCAGCCTTGAGCTCTTCTGCTTCTGCTTTGTATTTACTCAGTTCTTCGTCGCGTGTTTCGAGGGCCTTTCTGGCTTCCGTGAGCTTTCCCTCGGACAATTTGATTTGCTCTTGTGCGACTCGTAGCTTGTTCTCCGACGCTACTTGTTGTTGCTTGAGGCCGTCGAGCTCGCGAGAAAGATCACGTTCCCGCTTGATGAGCTCATTCAATTTGCCAGTTGTGGACTCCAATTGCTGCTTCGCGTTCGCGTGTCCACTCGCTTCCTTTCGGTGTTCGTTGCCAAGCTCTGCGATTCGCCTCTCGAGCTCCTGAATCTTTTGGGCAGAGGCGGCTTCTCTCTCACGTAGACTAGCTTGAAGGGTCCTGTCTGACTCCTGCTTTGCGTTATTCAGGGCGTGCTGATGCCGAGTCTGGATTGTGTTCTTGTCCTGCTCGTGCTGCTTTGTAATCTTCTCGAGTTCGCTTTCATGACCTTGTTGCATAGCCTGATTGATCTTTCGAAGGCGCTCGATCTCTGATGACGCAGTCTGCAGTTCTTTACTGATAGTCATGTGATCCTGTTCCGCTTTCTCCGTGGCATCGAGCGCTTCTTGCTGTGCGACGGCCAGCGCGTCTTTGGCTGCTTGAGCCTGTTTCCGCAGCTCATCAAGAACGTCGCGATCCACACCGGCCTCTGCTGCTGATGCTGGCAACACCTCGACGCCTGGGTCTTTGTCGATCGCCCTACGGAGACGGGTATACTCAACAGTGAACAGGTCGACGAAGACATGACTGAGCATCCCATTACCGCCTTCATCTGTTTCTTGGTCTAGATCGAAATCTCTGATGGCTGGCACTCGCCGAAGTTGGAGAAGTGCGTCCAGATATTTCGTCCTGCCGAGCTTTTGTTGCACCAAAGGTGCCAGCGTACGGCGTGGAATGGGCGAGTCCTTAGTACTGAACTCATATACAATGCCGAGAAGCACCGCAGCGAGACCGGCAATGATGGGGTCGTCAGGTGTCTTGACCACTGCAACAAGGCCTTGTAGGAGGCTCGAGCCCTCAGCGAGCAAATCATCCACGCCTGGTGCAAAATCCCACAATAACGAAGACAACAAGCTTGCATATGCTGCGACCGTCTTTGTGTCGATGGGAGTTTGAAGCGCAGCGTGTAAATGCGATCCAAGAGCCTGTACAATACTTATCACATCCTCGCCCTCCTCTTCGTTCCCTTCGGAGACAGAGATGAACATGGTCTTGGCGTTCAGCTCCTCACCAATCAGTCCCTGAACTATCCAGGATGCATGCACCACGGCGGTTTCGTCACCTTCAGGAGGGTGTAGCAATGTGTGGAGCACGTTGGCAGTAGTTTCACCCTCAGCATGACCGTTGATGGCGCGCTGCAGAAAATGTGCCTTGACCCGATCATGACCGCTGAGATACGCCTGAATGAGACCACAAGCCGCTGCACGCAAAGCTGCTTCCGCGTCACGATCATCCAGTGAGGTACTCAAAAGCGCTTCAATGATGTAACTTCGCCGCTTCTCCAGACTTGCTCTCGCGCTCTTCTTGCCTCGCGCATTTGGCGTTGTGCCGTTCGTTTGACCCTGCTTCTGCTCTTCAGTGGCGTTGTGGTCGGCGTCGTCAGGCGTAACAACTGTAAGTGCAGCAAATTGTTCTTGTAGAGGCGCATTGGTTTCGATCAAAGCTGCCGCTGCCCGCAGTGCCGACGAACGGACTGGCACAGGGATCGCCAGCGTGTAGCCAAGATCGATCAAGACTTGAGCAATGCCAGCTCGGAAGAAAGCAGTTTGATTCTGGGGTGTGCTGGCTTCTCCGGGCACAAGAAATAGCCTCAGGAGCATGAGTAGTCCCCATGCTGCCTTCTCCCGTGCCTGGGCATTGAATGGCAGCTCATCTGCAGTAGGAAATGCTTGCTGGAGTAATTGGACGAGCTGAGCCACACAGCCAGATTCTCGAAACATGGTTTGGTTCGTAGATGACCCACGTATGAGGTTTGCCAGCAAACTCAGGCAATCTTGTGCTGTGATTCCAGCTTCACCAAGGCCACCTTCGAGCTGTATCAAGGCGAACGTCTTGCTGAAGACATCTTCGAAGGCAACGATCTTTCGCAGCTCCTCGTTCGCTCCGCTTGTCAAGTCTACTAGCAGAAGCAGGCCTGCATTGCGAACCGCGTCTCTTCCGTCGTCCAGGATGCCGACTAGTCGTGAAACACCCAGTGGTGCTGCCAATATGCACTCCTGCAACCGATCGGGGCGCGCAGCGCATATTGCTGACAGAATCTGTACTGCGTATAGTCGCGAATAGTAGTCTGCGTACGGGCTCGTAGGGTCTAGGAGATGTAGGAGAATGGATAGATTGTCTTGACGCTGTACCTACCTTAGCTATCGTTCTACACCGGATGCCATTCGATCGACCTACCATGGAGAACTCGTCAGCTAAGAAGAGTGCTATTTCGTCGCCGGCCTCGGGCGAGTTGCTATCGGGACTGAACAGCATGAGCAGTGTTTCCATGACGAGACGAATCGTGTCCACATCTCCACCCTCCGCCTGTTCGCCATCCTGGCTCTTCCTCGAGCTGTCGTCCCCAAGTCCATCCCGTTTCAAGGTCGATATGAGTTCTCGGAGTGAGCCGCTGGCGACTGAAGCTGGGAACTGTTTGGCGAAACTCCTCAGACCCAGGATCGCAGCTCGACGGTCCTCTAACAGTGTCGCGGACTGCAGGCGACCACACAGCGTGTCGATGGTGGCCGTAGCCGTCTGCATCGGCGGTGTTTTGAGCATGATGGGTGGTGACTGCTGCCCGGAGGCAGTCTCGCTGTTATTTCATTCCTGGTTGCCAGTGCGTGTAAGAATCTTCGACACTGTGAATGAGTCCAAAGCTGTGCTGCTCGGTCGTGGGTAACGCTCAGTCGAGAATGGCTAATTTATTGAACGTTCAGTACTTTCGGGCATTGTTGTCCTCAACTGCGCAACGCTCATTTTGGAGACAAGCTTGCGGGAGCTGCCGCGCCATCGATTCGGACTTTCCCTGTCTCCGTCGTGCACTTTCTCGCGCGGCTCCCTTTTCCCTTCACTTTCTTCAACCACACGCCCGCCGGCAGCATCATCACCGCTTCTGCCTGGCATCGCCATTATTTATCGCGTCGCTGTGACCGACACGACGCGACTCCACTGGACTCGGACGGACGAAGCGCGCCACGCTGAGGACCATCAAAGGCAGCAACCCGCGCACGCGACGTCGACTCTCCATCCTTTTCCACCCCAGACACCTCTCTCTGTCGCGTAGCCTCTCTTCATCGCCACGTGCATCGCCTCCGACAGTAGCCCGTCATGGGTGTGCCAGCCTTGTTTCGCTGGCTCAGCAAAAAGTATCCGAAGATCATTTCGCCTGTGGTCGAGGAGCACGCGCAAAAGGTGCAAAATGCAGATGGCTCCGAGACGGTTATTCCCATAGATGCGCGGGGTCCCAACCCCAATGGCGAGGAAATGGACAACTTGTATCTCGACATGAATGGTATCGTGCATCCGTGTTCGCACCCGGAGGACCGGCCACCACCGGCCAACGAGGAAGAGATGATGATTGCCATCTTTGAGTACACTGAGCGCGTAGTCAACATGGTCCGCCCACGTAAGCTTCTGATGATTGCTGTCGATGGTGTCGCGCCTCGTGCCAAAATGAACCAGCAGCGTAGCAGACGTTTTCGAAGCGCGCAAGAAGCCGCCGAGAAAGACGCTGAGGCTGCTGAGTTCCACGCGCGCATGGTCGCCAATGGCGAGCGTAGTGCTGATGGTGAGGGCGCTGACAAGCCCAAGAAGACATGGGACTCCAACTCTATCACTCCTGGAACACCTTTCATGGACCTGCTCGCCCAGTCACTGCGTTATTGGATCAGCTACAAGTTGAGCACGGATCCCGCGTGGGAGAAGCTCAAAGTCATCATCTCCGATGCCACTGTTCCCGGTGAAGGTGAGCACAAGATCATGAACTTTGTAAGATCGCAGCGCAGCTCGCCCGAGCACGACCCCAACACCAGGTAAGTCATCCGACACATCTCTCCGCTACTCAAATTTTTGCCTGCATGGTCAATGCACGCAATTTTGGTCAACGGATGCTAACATGTGCAGGCACGTCATGTATGGTCTCGATGCTGACCTGATCATGTTGGGTCTTGCTACCCACGAACCGCATTTCCGCATCTTGCGCGAAGATGTCTTTGCGAACGACACGAAGCCGGGTCACTGCAGGAAATGCAATCAGCCAGGCCACATAGCGGCTAATTGCCAGGGCCTGACGGCCAAGAATGACAGATCCGCGGAAGAGAAAGTCGAGAAGCCCCTCAAGCCTTTCATCTGGCTGCACGTGGGAATCCTGCGTGAATATCTGGCCATCGAGATGAGCGTGCCAAATCAAGGCTTTCGCTTCGACCTCGAACGCGCACTGGACGACTGGGTGTTTATGTGTTTCTTCGTCGGTAACGATTTCCTTCCGCATTTGCCATCACTGGACATTCGTGAGGACGGTATTGACACACTCATCGCCATTTGGCGAGACAACTTGCCTGTCATGGGTGGCTACGTGACCAAAGATGGGCATGTGGACCTGGCCAGGGCGCAGCTCATCCTGGAAGGACTTGCTAAACAGGAAAACGCGATCTTTAAGCGGCGTCGCGAGACCGAAGTGAAAGCCGCCCAGCGACAGAAGCAGCGCGAGGACCGTGAGCGACGTCAATCAAACAAGCGCCCGCGATACTCGAACAATGGCGAGCCAACCGGATTCGATGAGACAGTCATACGCAGAGGTGCCAGAGGTGGCATCATTCGTGGAGAAGCGGCGCCTGATCCAAATGCACTGCCTACCTTTGCACCGAGCCTGGCGCAGACCATGAACGACCCACGATACCAGAAAACCCTGACGCATGCTGACATTGTCGGCGGAGCCAGCGGACAGGAGAACAAGTCTGCCGCTGCGGCACTGAAGGAGAAATTGATGGGGAGCAACAAGGGCTCTGACAACCAAAGAGCAGATATTGAGGCGCTGATGGCCTCGACTACTGGTGGACAAGACCTGACTCCAAAACTCGGCAAACGTACTCGTGACATGATCGATGACGCCGCGGCAGATGATGCGAGTTCAGACCCGTCAACTCCGGGTCGCAACACGCCTGACAAAGAGATCGCAAACCCTACCAACCGTGGCACATCTGGCCAACTTGGAGGTAACAAAGATGCCTCAGATGGCATGCCAGAAGATACAGTCAAGCTGTGGGAGGACGGCTATGAAGAGCGCTACTACGAGCAAAAGTTCCACGTCTCGCCGGATGACATCGAGTTCCGGCACAAAGTGGCGCGCAGCTACGTGGAAGGGCTTTGCTGGGTATTGCTCTACTACTTCCAAGGTTGTCCATCGTGGACCTGGTACTATCCATATCATTACGCGCCCTTCGCAGCCAACTTCAAGGACATGGACAAGCAAGTGGTTCATTTCGAGAAGGGCAAGCCTTTCCATCCCTACGAGCAGCTCATGGGAGTCATGCCTGCCGCTTCGAACCACACTCTCCCTGCGGTATTCCATCCACTCATGACCGACGATGACAGCCCGATCAAGCAGTTCTATCCTGAAGACTTCGAAGTTGATCTCAACGGCAAGAAGTTTGCCTGGCAAGGTGTAGCGCTTTTGCCATTCATTGATGAGAAGAAGCTGCTCGAAGCTATGCACACAAAGTATCCTCTCCTCACCGAAGACGAGAAGCGGCGCAATGGATTTGGCGAAGAAGTGCTCATTTTCAGCACCAAGCACCCACTATACAATGAAGTTGTGTCGAACTTCTACGGCAAGAAAGCGGATAAGGACAAGTTCAAAATCAACAGCAAGATGTCGGAAGGCCTCGCTGGCAAAGCATCGAAAGACGCCTCATACATTCCTAACTCGGAGCTAACCTATCCGCTGCCTCCAGGTGGTCAAGATCAGTTTACGAGCCTCGATGTTGATGAGAGCGTCAAGGTCTCCTACCACATGCCTGTCATTGGCCAAGTGCACAAGTCTATGCTGTTACCTGGCGTCAAGTTCAATGCTCCTGTTTTGGACTATCAGGATGTCGAACAGACGCGCCAAAAGGCTGAGCGTAGCGGGCGAAGCCACGGCGGCGTGCAGCTCTCGCACAACGGCGATCGATCTGATGGTCGCCGCATCAACTATGCTGCGCGAGACAATGGCAACTCAGGCTACGACAATCGCAACGGTGGCGGCTACGGAGGTGGCAATGGTTATGGCGCCAATGGAGGATACGGCCGCAACGGGCCTCCTGCACCAGACCCATATGCTAGCCAAGCTGCAGCGGCTTTCCAGAATCTGCCACCACATCTGGCCGCACAGGCTGCGCAGCATGGCTACGCTCCGCCTCCTGGAGCAGGCCCTCCGCGAGGCTATGCTCCTCCACAGCCACAGTACGGCTATCCACCAGCGCAAAACGGGTACGGAGGTGGTGGACGTGGCGGCGGCGGCGGCTATGGAGGTGGAAGAGGAGGGTACGACAACAGAGGCAGAGGCGGCTACGGCTACGACAACAGATCAGGAGGGTACAATTCTGGAGGTGGCTATCAGGGCTACCAAGGAGGTGGCAGAGGCAATGGTAGACGCTACTAAAAGCACATTGTAACATAATTGTATGATTGCGCATTGAAATGAGAAAAGGTTGGGATTACTGCTTTACGATGTTGAAGCCTTCACTTTGCTACAACGCAATCATTTTTCCATCCGCGGACACAATTTCCAACATTTGAGGATCTCTCTAATGTGCGTTGATAGATTCCCAGCACACAAGATTTGCACTCAGCAGCTGAGTGAAACGACTGGAGATGGAGTCATGACTGTTGGTGTCATGCAATTTACTTTACATTGGCTCGTGTCACATACGCATAGTACAATCGCTCTAGATCGAAGTGAAAGGTCTCCGGCGAACAAAGGCCGCACTCAGCAGCTGAAGCAAACAGACGTGAATGGAGGCATTGAGAGTCGGAAAAACACTCTAGTGCATGTTGCGATATCTCTAGCTAACGAAAGCAGCATTCAGCGTCTGAATGAAACTAGTGGGAATGGAGGCATGCAGGATTCGAAGTCACTCTGACGCGTGCTGAATGATCTCGAGCAAACAAAATCTGCACTCAGCAGTTCAATTGAATGAATGGAAATGGAGGCGTGTGGGATTGGGAAATCGTTCTGACGCACGTTGGGAGGCCTTAAGCAAGCAGTCCACGAACTCGGCAGCTGCATGAGACGACTGGGGATGGAAACAAGTAGGATCGGAAATCGCTCTGCCACACGTCGAAGGACCTTTAACAAGCGAACGCCATACTAAGCAGCGGAACAACTGAAATGGAAGTAGAGACATCAATATTCGCGTCACGCAGTCGGGGTATCATTCGCTCATCTCATATCTGTACAGTGCAATCACTTCTTAAGCTCATCCCTCGCTCCTTCCACAGCCTTGCTCTCTCTCGCCTTCCAGTCATCGCTCTTCACACGTGCATGGCTCTTAGTCCTAGCCTCCTTTTCAGCCATCTTCTCATCTACTCGTTCTCCTGCACCACAATCGCAAGGGCATCCGGCCGTAGGACATCCTCTATCCTTCGCCACAACATACCAATCATACAAACATGCTGCGTGCCCGCTATGGCCGCACAGAAGACACATTGAGTGCAGAGTCGAGGTATGTGTCTCGAAGGGACTATTCTTCATCCAGCAAATCGGGCAAGGCTCCTGCTTCTTACGGCAGGATTGACATCGTAGAGTATCTGAGCTCGCCAGAACTGGCTTTCCGCAGCCACCGCAAGAGAGGTACACGCGGTTGTCTCCGAGGAAATCTTCGTATACGGCCGGGTATGCCGGGTAGCTCAGTTGGCGGAGAACTGCCGCTTCGTCGAAGAGTTGATACCGTAGGAGTTGCTCATGGTATGTGGACAAAATGCTCTCGACTTGCAGTGGCTGTAGCCCGGCTCTCATTGGCTGCTCGAAACATTGCTGGATGAGTGCCGGGACCTCCTCGGGATTCCAGCCCAAACTGTTGATGAAGTGGTCCACGTAGCTGGACACTGTCTGGTGAATCTCTGGTATTGGCAGCGGATGTGTGCGAGGCAGGAGGGGGCCGACGAGCAAGAGGAGTACTGATGCCATCTGGGGAAATGGCTGCTCATTGCTGTAGAAATTTATGAGCTGTTGTAGCATTTCTACTATTGTCCAGATGGCGTTCTCCTCCAGATCGATGTCCGCTTCGTCGGCCAGGCCGTCGGGAGGAGCATCACTCGCATAGCCAGTGATTGTCTCCACTGCTATGCGAGCGATCTTGAGCTCAGGTTCTCTCCATTCAGTGCCACGCAGGCCGTGCTCAAACCCGAGATTCTTCTTGACGGCTGCCGACCGGCCCTGCGCCACCTCTGATGGTCTTTGCTCCCGCGCGGCAGAGGGCCCAGGGCCACGGTCCCAGTGATCTTTGCTCGCCTCCGGACTCTCGGCAAAGATTGCTTGCTCCACGTCTGAATCTCTTCTGTTGTCAGGCTGAATCTCCGACTCTGTCGTCTGGACGCGCCTGGGCCGGGGGCGAGTTGGGTGCGCAGAGACCATGGGTAGGCCGGCCGACTTGTGACTTTCAAATGAAGCGGGAAAAGATGCCTCTCTCGAGCCAGCCGAATCCTCCAGGAACTGGAAGCTCTCACCACTTCCGTGGTTTTCGAGCTTGGCGAGTGGGATCCTGACGCCTTGATGGTCTACTGGGTCGAGGTTCAGGACGTTCTTCGATTGCGCACTCCACCGCTTCACCATCTCGCTCCTCTCAGCCGTTTCCTCGTACGTCTGGTGCTTCTGCATCTCAGCGAGACTATCCATTGTGAGTCTGCGGGTGGACGAGCTCAGTGGGATCGGCGGTGCTGGAGGAGGTTTGAGCATGGACGAGGTGAGAGAAGGCGGTAGGGTGACGGGTTCGCCGGCTTCAATATCGGGCAACGGTTCGCGATCTCCATTGGAAGGGCGTGCAAGTGGAGTCGGGACATTAGACGTGCTCTCTGCCTGTGTCAAGTGCTGTGCGATTGTCTGCGCAGGCCGCAAACTCGCCGGGGAGTGGACAGGCGACTTCAAGTGTTGCGCGGCGAGGCGTGTAGCTAGGCCTTCAATCGAAGTGTGTTGTGTGCCGTTCACTTGGGGGGATGGCTTTTGCGAAGCTCTCCTTGCCTTGAGTACGGCTCGATCTGTCAAGTGCTTGATGACACAGTGACTGACCATTTTCCATGTTTGCGCCTCTCTCAGAAGTCCCAACGATGCGGCGCGTTCTTCATTTTCCTTGAATGCTTTGTCCACGACGGCTAGAAAGGTCGGGTCGTTTGGAGCAGCGCGGAACTCTGTTGCCCAGCGATCGGCCATGTACGCGATGAACCTGCGGTTGTTATGACTGGGCAGCTGTCCGCGGCAGGCCACTTGCTGCGGGCGAAAGGATTTGCGGTTGGTCAGGACGTCGTCGAGTTTGATGGTTGCCGAATGCTTCTGGGCACGAGGAGTCGGCGTGGCGGAGACGAAGCGCCCGGAGTTGCTGGTTCGGGGCTGGCGTTTGGCTGGTAGGAGACTGAGGAAGGAGGAATCTAGGCTATCGTCTGCCCAGCTGCGGCTCAGAAAGGTTGACTCTGGGCTGGTGCTGAAGCTGGTCGGTTTCTGCGGCGTAGGGAGAGCTGGATTCGGCTTCGGCACGCGGCGTTGCTTTCGCGACTGGGTGACAAAAGTGAGCTCGCCAAGCGGAGAGACGTCAAGTGTCTGCAGGTTGCATCGGTCAATGACCTTGGACGTGTGCTGGATATCCGTCTGGAGAAAGGTGCCTTCACGACCCACGGTCCACAGCAGATCTTGCGAGTGCCAGAGCATGTCCGTCGGCGCGGAGGGATACGGCTGCAGCTCTCGGAAGGGAAGAAGAGGCCGTCGAAAGTCCCACACGTGCAGGACGGGGTGGTCACGGTCGTAGCAAGCCACCACCTGCGTACAGAGACCAGCACCATCATCTTGTGCGATCGCCGAGCGGCAAGAAGGGCGCCATCTAATGTTCATGACAGGATGCGCGGCTTTGATCTCCCACGACGCCTTCTTAGGACGACTTCCGGAGACATCAAACACGCGGATCGTCTTGTCACTGCCGGCCGTGACGATATGCTTGCCATCGGGATGCCAGTCCACAGCATTACAAGCAAGAGAGTGTGCCGGGATTCTGATCTTGGGAGCTTTCAAGTTCCTCATATCCCAGCGCTGGACCTCTCCCGCATCTGTACCAAAGGCAAAGTCAAGACCTTCGGTGGGACTCCACTTGACATCTCGCACGCCGTCGCTCTGACCCTGGAACCTCCGCTTGCTCTGTATATCTCCGACTTGTCTCTGGTTCCGAACGTCTCGCACGTCCCACAGCCTTACTGTGCCGTCCTGGCTGCCAGACAGCAGGAGACTGCCTTGATGTGGGCTGAATGTGACATTATGGACTTGTCGCTTGTGCTCGATGAGTTGTGCTGCCTGCAGTCCAGCATGGCCAAGATCGTATACGATGATCTTGCCACTGGACGTTGCTGCTGCGACATACTGGCCTGTGTTGCCTTTCGCCCAGGCCACATCAGCTATGTCGATCGAATAGATTTGGCGAGGTTGTCCGGATGCCTGGTTCGGTGTACTTCGGATCTTCGACCTAAGATTTAAGTCCTCCGCGCACCGTCCATCGACAACCGAGACTGTCTTGAAGATCTCCTTTCCAGCAATGATGGCATGGCTGCCGCTCTCATTGATGCTGATGGTCTTGATCTCAAGTCCCGTTTTGTGGCTGGTGGTTGCATTCTGCGACGCACTGAGTGGCGCTGATCTCATGAATTGACTGCCGCCGTGGGAGTAGCGGTCATCGTCCTGTGCACCCTGCGGACTCGGCGGCCTCGAATACCCGAGCAGACGCGATGCTGCATCTCTGGCCCGCTGCAATGGCCTTGGGTTCGGGGCTGGCAGTGGTGGAGCTCTCGGTGGAATCAATGCCGCCGCTTTGCTTGTCGACTGTCGCTTGTTGTGTCCCGACTCGTTACTCATGGTGGCGACTTCCCGCAGTGCCAGATCCACTTAGACCTGGCTGATGCAGACTGTACTTCTCCGAGCATGCTGCTGATGGCAGCGACAGTCGTTGATGTTGTCAACTACGCGGAGGACATGGTGGTAAGAAGAGAGACGGGCTGTGAGCTCGCGTCGGAAACTTGCTTTGCTTGGCATGAACCAGACCGCGCTCACTTCGCGCCTCTTTCCCTTTGCGCTTCTTCTCCAACTTCGGTCTAGCTTCAACCACGTCAAGGTAAGGCCTATCCATCTACGAGGCTCATCATACGGTCATACAATACCCTGGGATCCTTTCCCATGACCTACAGTGAACGACGAGCGCCAGCAGCACGCGGAGCGGCGGAGGACGGCGGCACCGTCAACGTGCCAGCTGTTCACCATCACAGCGGCGCTCAAACTGCAATGACCAGGCGCGATCAGCGGTCGAGGCTCATGGGATCACACGGGGGCAGGCTGACGGGCAGTAAAATCGGACTCCACCTGCCGGCGCCCTCATCGCGACCATTGCTCCATCTTATGCGTGGTCTAATGGACTCATTCGTCGCCACTCTGCTGACTACGATGGCCGTCAGGTTTCCACAGTATCATGGCAGTCCGGTAAGGCCATAGTTCAACAGCTCCACTGGCTGCTCAAGGTAGGGCACACAGTCCAACGACGGAAATTTCACAGTTCCTTCTCCTTCATTTCGTCTTCAAACTCGCCGCGAACTCGCCGTTCTACCTGACCATTTCCCTCGATGAGACAAAGACCATAATCCAGGTTGCGCACACTCAAATCAGAGCTCGTCAGCTGAGGACTACATACATCTTCCGCCTTTCCACGGCGCCTGCACGCTTGGACACCAGATAAGGCGCATTTAGGGCAGCGAGATTGGTTCTGCTGAGCACACCCGACGACTCCCAAGAACTTCATGGTTGCCGCCCTTTGTTGGAAGGATATCGAGACAATGCGGTGTGCTAGCATACAGATCCGGCGAAAAGAGGCACTTCTTTATTCATGACCGACTTGTCTATTCATGTGCCTCTCAGAAAGCAACTCCTCTTACAGCTCAAGGAAGGAAAACAAGCAAATGGCTGAGAGAAGGTCTGCTGAGAACGGTTGGGATACCTACTTAAGATGGGAATTGAGGTGATCATGCTCCAGTTGCGAAACAGTGATATATACATCCTAATTCTTCACGCAGCACTGCCACACACAGAAACACAAAAGAGAGATCAGATCATCAGAAACGCATACGTAAAGCATGGAATGCGATACCAGACAGGAGGGCCTACATAGAAGCAATCCGCGGAGTTGAGAGCTGGCATTCAAGTGCCGAAACTTGGAGCGATCGACTATCTCGCAGCCGCAACACACTCCAACCCGAAGCTCTTGCACATCTCCAACAAACCCTCTACCGTTCGCTAGGCATGGAGCTCTTCTTCCTACAAAAACTGCAACGTCAACAAGAAAAGAAAGACAGATCCGGAAGAACACAAACAGAAGCCCGAAGTCTCGAACACACAGCCTCTAACATCCAAACCACAGCCCTCGCACTACACATCCTCGAGCCCTCCATCCCACCCCTCTCCATCGCAGAGCGCCTCTTCCCCAACCTCTCAACCTACGCCCCGCGCCTGCAATCCCACATCATAGAATCCTGTTCCAAACTCCGCGAAGAACCCAACCCCACCCTCACCTCCATCGCCGAAACAGAACTCCTCTCCGAACTCAAAACCACAATCGCACTCTACGAGTCCACAAACGGCGCAGCATTTGCAGGTAAACCCCTCGCTCAAGACACTGCGCGGAGGAGCAAAAGAATGGGGTATCGCCGATTCAAAGGTTCTCACCGTGGGATTGAAAGGACGTATAGTAAACAGTCTATAGACGCGAGAATTCCGTTGGGTCCGAAAGATCGTTGGGAATTGTTTGAGGCGCCATTGACGCCTCCGCCCATCCAGGATTGTACAGGGATTGTGAAATTGTATCGGTGGTCGAGGGGTAGATAAATTGGTAATAGTATTGAACGTGCCACGTTGCATGCAAAATAATTTGTGGCGATGAGATTGAATTCTAGGAATTTTGTGACCAGAAAGACCACGATGATGAGAAAATGTAAGGAAAAGGGACGGTTCGCAGACCAAATTGTGCGTTTGATTTTCATAAGATACATTATTCATGCTGATTCGTTGGGGTATCAAAAACTTCGATAGTATAACCTCCCACCTCCAAAACGCCGTATTCGACTGTTCCCTACGATCTCAGAAGCCGATGGCGAAAGCGCTTTTCTGCCATGCCCTGAAATCCTGCTCATCTACATCATGAAACCAAGTTTGCGAAACGATGCAAGAACGAGCGCGAAGCATATTGTGATCGCGACAATAAAAATGCCAATGACTTGCTTCTTCATTCTCTACCGACGGCCATTAGCTGCACGGTAGTTGACCTGCTGTGTCGGATCGCCAGTGACACCGAAGAGATAAGCCAGCTCCTGCACGCCAAGACGAGCAAGGTTCGCAGCCGACTGCTCGTCCAGCGCCTCAGAAATGAGAGCCCGCTTCTTCTCTTGCAGCTCGATGATCCTGTCCTCGACAGTACCCTGTATCAGCACACGATGGACTGTGACTGGACGCAGTTGGCCAATGCGATGGGCCCGGTCGATGGCTTGCTCTTCAATGTAAGGATTCCAGAACGGATCGAGGATGATGACCTGGCTGGCCATGTTGAGGTTAAGTCCAGCATTGCCAGCCTTGAGCGACACCAGCATGATGCGGACGTTCTTGCTATCATCCTTGAAGTCATCGACAGCATCAGCTCGCATGGTCGCAGTCATGCTGCCATCGTAACGACGATAACCGTAGCCCTCGCCATCGATGGGAATCTCCAGCAGATCCAGCAGCGATGTCCACTGACTGAAGATGAGAACTTTCTCGCCCTCTTTGGCTTCCATGATATCTTTCAAGATCTCCATTGTCTTATCAATCTTGGCCGATCCGACGTACGTCTTGCGAAGGCGGGCAAGGTACTTCTTCTTGGCTTTCGTGCTCTTCGCAGCTTCTTTCTTCAGATCTGCCAAAGTCACAGGACCTTTGGTCTTCTTCTTCTTCTCTTTCGCTTTCCCCTTGCCCTTCGCGCCCTTCTTGTTCTTCTTCGCCTCTTTGCCTTTGCCCTTACTGCTCTTAGACTTCTTAGCCTTGGATTTGTGTCCAGCGAAGATACCAGTGCCGTTAGTCGCAGGGCCCGCAACGCCCTCCTCAACTTTCGGCTTGAACGGTGCATCGAGACCATCGTCATCCTCTTCCAGCTCCTCATCGACTGGCTCTCGCTTGACGGCTTTGCCATTCTTGTCTTTCTTTGATTTGAGTTTCCTGTCAAGATCATCATCGTCATCGGAGTCTTCCTCGTCGGATTCTTCCTCATCGGGCGGAACGATGAACCCGCCAAGAGTCTCGTCTTCGTCGCTGGAGCTCTCTTCGTCATCGTCATTATCGTCATCGCTGTCATCCTCGACCCCAGACACAACTTCTTCATCATCTGCTGCGTTCATCTCGGCACGCTCTGCCTCGCTGAGCAGCTCAGGCATGTGCACCTTCTTGAAGCTGTTGAAATCCGTAAGGCGCTTAGCATTGATGTTTCCGCGACAATTCGGGCAGCGTGCACCTCCATTTTCGTTTTCAATGCCCTGTTGAATAGCATTGGCCGGGTCTGCGATCTTCGAGAAACATTCGGAGCAAGTGTCATGGCCACAAGGAATGAAAATGGCCGGGTTGGCGACCGCATCATAGCAGACTGGGCATTCGAAGTTGCCTCCAGTTGACTTGATCCGCTCCACGACTTGTGGATCGAGCTGCTTGGCGAAATCGAGCATCTGATCTTCAGTCATGTCTGCAGCTGCCGCCACGCCGAAATCTTTTATCAGATGAGGGTGGCAGCATGCCTGCCGCAATCGCAAGAGCAACACCAAGATTGCTGAATACGATTGACCGATAGTTCCGCGACGCAGATACTTGTTGAACTGCACCTGTGACTGCGATTCCAAAGCTGTGTAGAAAGCCTGCTCGTCTTCGTCGAATACTGGGTTGTCAACGGTGGTGCTGCGTTCGGGCAAATTGAGGATGGGCTCGCCTTCGAACTTGCTCTTCTTCGTACGTCGCAACATGATCGATTTGCACAAGATCTGCAGCTGCCGCATAGCACGCCCGCGCTGGGCCTCGTGCGTTGAGCGTAGTGGCGTGTTGAAGTCGAGTCTGAACTTCTCCCAATGGCAGTACGGTTTGATTTTGAGAAAATGGATCAGAGAGAACAACTCTTCCACGTTGTTCATCATTGGCGTTCCAGTCACGCAAAAGCGATATTTGGCTTTGAGCAAACAAGCACCTTTAGCACTCTGAGTAGTTCTGTTCTTGATGCATTGAGCTTCGTCCAGAATCACCCGGTACCATTGCGCTTCATCGGCAAGAAAGATCAATTTCTCAGTAGAGCCAGGAACTGCGGCAGGGTTTGCTTTCTTCCGAAGTAGAAATTTCTCCAGCTTCTTCAACTCCGAAGCGATGCTGCCATAAGTGGTGAGGACAACGTCATATGATCGCAAGTCGTCAAAGTTCTTCGCCTTGGTTCCTCCATGATGAGTGAAGACCGAAAGTTCGTAGCGACCGCCTTTGACCTTGTCCTTGATCTCCTGCTTCCACTGTCGCAGCAGAGCGACGGGCGCAATGATCAAGGTCGTCCTGCATCGGAAATCCTCTGACTTACGAGTGACCATGAGCGAAAGCATTTGTATCGTCTTGCCGAGGCCCATATCGTCTGCAAGAATACCTCCTTTGTGGGGACCCTCTTCCTGCTTCTTGAGCCAGGTCAGACCGACTTCTTGGTACTTGTGTAGTCTGATCGTCAGGTCTTCTGGTGTTTGCACACGGAGATGTGCCGGCATGTCTTCATCTGGACGGATGTTGGCAAGCAACTCCTGGATCTCCTCCTTGGTCTTAGTTGGATCGTTGTGCTGCATCGTATCGTACCGGTCTCGATAGAGGGCTTCGTTTCCAGCGTAGTTCCCATAACCAGCAGTCTGGCGGACACCAGTGTAGATGAGATCGTCATCATCGTCGTCGTCGTCAAGGTCCCAGGGATTTGAACTGCTTGCGCCATACACCAAATTTCCCACGTCTCGAAGCTGACTGCGAAAAGCTTGGGCTTGATTTTGCATGGCGCTTTGAAGCCACATCCACATGTTTGGATCATGCAGATTGTTCGCACCATTGCCGTACGCAGCAGGCCCCGGAGCCGGCCGTATACCATTGTTAGGGGTATTGGGGAACGCGCCAGGCATCTGGTAAGTTGGGACTGATGGGCCGGTTCTGAAAGGTGCAGGCTGCCTATCGCTGGGCGTGAATCTAGCAGGCGCAATCTCCTCTAACTCGTCGTCGCTATCGTTCGTTAGATCCACCACTTCGCTCGACTGTCGCGGTCGCTGCGGCAGTTGTTGCTGCATTCCGAATGTGGGAGGCTCAGCTTTGACTTGAGGCCGACCATAAGCCTGCGAACGCGGCATAGCCAAGCCGTATCCAGGATTCTGATGCTGATGCATTCGTTGCGAAGACGATGATTCTGCAGTGGGCTGCGGGGCTGGTCGCTGGTAGTTTCCACCGAAATCTATCGTGGTCTGAACGTTGGGTCTGGACGAGGAAGCGTGCGCATTATTCGGTTGGCTCAGAGCACGAGCGAATTCCTCATCGCGCAATAGAGCTTCTCGTCGCTTCCTCGCGGCATCTTCGGCTTGCTGCGCGCGCATGAACAAGCGGTTTTGCTCTGAATCGCGCGCAGGATCTCGCGGTACGAACTCGTAGGAGCCTTCGGACGACGTCGGAGTTGCAGCATTCGAGACATCGGGTGTCTGTCGCTTGTACGCGCTCTCGCCAACCTGCAAGTATGATGACTGCGGCCGCGGACGCTTCACGCCAGAACCGGGAGTGGCAGTAGGAACCGCGCCATCTGAACTGAAGGGATTGGCGAACGTATTGCCATTACTGCCGTGGTTGCTCGCTGGTCGACCGCCGATGGCGCTATTCCAGAAACCACGTTCGTCGGCGCCCATGTCGTGATGATTTTGGGAAGTGTGTCCGTTCGGCTGGTTTTGCGGGCGCGAGTTTTCGGCGATGCGTGCTTCGAGTTGGGCTTTCTTTGTGTCAAGCTCGGCTTTCTCGTCCTCAAGTTCTCGCAGCCTCACTTGAAATTCTTCATCATCGGGGTCGAGCGATATTATTTGCACGTCCTTGAACTGGATATCATCCAGCAGCACATCGTATTGATCGCTGAGGTCCATTTTGTGGCGCCGCGGAAGGCCAGAGGCACAGCACTTTTGCGCTCTTGGCGCGCTCCGACGTGCGTTATCGGTTCTTTACGCAACGGTGCAAACCAGCTAGCGTGTGTTACACAGTGATCACTTGCTGCGCACCGGCACCGGGGCGCAGAACAGGCGGCCCCTCGTGGCCAACAGAGGTGGCAATTCCAGCGGCGGCAGGCGACCGCGTTTGTCCGGAGTACAGGGCCGAATCATGGGTCGTGCAGCGTATTCTGCGGCGAGACGTGGCAGGTCAAGTAGTCGGAGTGGTGAAGGTGAAGGCGATGCAGTTGCAATCGCGACTAAACACGCTTTGATGATGCAGCCGCGCACGGACGGTTAACGGTGAACGCCTCGAGGCGCAGGGATCAGCGTGTGCAAGGCTGACCTTTCACCACTCGCCCTCTTTCACATACACGAGACAACATCACATGCTGATCGGGACAGACTGTCGCTTATATGCAGTGACACTGCATAGGCGGTGAACGATTAAACCATTCTGATTAGTTGATTGATTGACTACATAACACGTATTTCCGGAGTTTTGAGAAAACTCTTCTCTGCCAAGAATCACGTGGTCAGGGTGGTCCCGTAATTCAACACACCCCTTTAGTAAACATTGATTACTATAGAATCAATAGTTGCTGCCTTAGGTATAAAGGAACTTCTAACTTTACGTAGTAAATTCCTTTACTTTAATAAAAGAAATAATATTATAACTCTTATTCTACTAATTAAAACTATAATAAAAACGCTAAAAGTATACCGTTATACTTAAGTAAACTTAAATATAACGGTACTAAAACTCTTAGCGTAGGGACTACGGAGTATACTAGTCTAGCGTTATTAGAGTAACTCGAGTAATACTCTTTATTCGTAGCTAGAGGTCTTAAATACTATTATCTCTACCGATAGTTTACTACCTCTAGAGCGAATAGAAGAAGTATAAGCCTCTAGAGTAATAAAAGAAGTTTAGTAATAACGTAGTACTTAAATTTTCGGCAGTTTGTTATATTATACGTCTTAAGTTAGTTTAGTAGGTCGTTCGGTTCGGTAGGTCGTTCGGTTCGGTAGGTCGTTCGGTTCGGTATCGGTAGGTCGTCGGTTCGATTCGTAGTTCGGTTATAGTTATTTTATAATAGCCGAAGCTAGTTTTAGTAGTTTTTATACTCTTCTAGTAAGTTTAATTAGTTAATCCTTTAGTAATCGCTATATACTTATATAGTAGCCTAAGCTATATAGACTCTTTATAAGCTAGAGAGGCTATAACTTGCTCTAAATTACGTATATATATAGTATATAATTAAATACTAATAGTTAATTCTAAATAGTATATATATGCTCTATTAAATTAACTATTATAGCTGCCTAGTAGGTAGCTATAGAAGGTAATATCGTCGCCGGAATTAAGCGGAACCGAATCCGAGCTAATTAGAGCGCAGGAAATACCTCTAACTTATTATTAGTAATAGCGGATTAGTTCTTAGTATACTTAGAATCGCTACGGTAGAGGCTCTAAGATACTAGTATTATATTCGAATCCGGTATTAACCTTAATTACTATATAAAGATAGTATACTTTTAAGAGCTAAGTAGTTTAGTAAGGCTATCTATAGGTATCGATTTAGTTTTAATCTATTCTATATAGAGGTAACTAGTAGTATATTCTTAACGTAACTAGTATTAGTAGATATTAATATACCTAAGCTTAGTATCTAGTCGTCCGGATTATACCTTAATAATATAGATAGTTTGCTAGTTATTATATAGAAGAGTTAGTATCCTTTAATTAAAGTTAAAGCTAATATCGATAAAGAACCTCTTCTACTATATTAATTCTAATCTAGTATATAATACTACTAGTAACTTAGCTTCTATACTTAACTTAGTAACGGTAGATTATCTTACTACCTTCTAGTTAATTAGTCTACCGAATAGTATAAATAACTATCCTTCTAATAATTGCCGTAATAGCTTATCGTTGCTAAATAAGGTATTAGTAGCTCTAAAGAACTTATAGTCTAGCTAATAGCTCGAGTAGCTATATACTATAATATCCGTATTATTAGCTATAGCTAAATATATAAGATAGTAGTCTTTCGTATATAGAAGGAAGCTAATATAGTAATTAGCTACCTTTATATAGTAAATAGAGGGGTTAGTAAGAAACCTTAATAGTACTAATACTACCTTAGCAATATCTAGCCGTATCTATATAGCTGCCTAATTAAGTAAACTAACCCGGCTTTAATATCCTACTATTATTACCGATATTACTTCTACCTCTTTATTTAGAATAGCCTCGAAATTATATAGTAGTAGTAATACTAGTCTCTTCTTCCCTTCCTATTCTACTAAGAATCTCTTAGTAATAGTTTTAATATAGGCTCGTTATAAGAGGGTAACCTTATTATTATCTAGTATTACTTTAATCCCTATAAACTATTTTAGAATACTAAGGTTATTTAGCTCGTATTTAGTACTTAGTTGCCGCTTGAATTTAGCAGCTACTAAGGCGTTATTTAAGTAATATATAATTATAATATCGTCTATATAGAAGAAGATCTAGAGTATTTTATCGTAGTTAATATATAGGCAGTTAACGTTCTTAACTAGTCTTAATCTAAGTTCTTCTAATATAGTTATAAAGTAATTATACTATAGCTTTAGTAACTCTTATAGTCCGTAAAGCGCTTAAATAAGTCTAAGTACCTTTCTAGGGTTCTTAAAACTATTAGGTAGCTTAAGGTATATAGTATAAGGTAGCTTAGTATTTAAGAAGGCATTAATAGTATTAAGTTGTTTAGCTTTAAGCCTAAACTTAGCTATAATAGCTATTATAGTACGGAAGGTTCGTACTGCTAGCGTAGCTACGTAGGTATCTAT